TGAACACAGGATGTCTTTTTATTTATTTGTCTTCTTTAATTTTGTTCAGCAACATTTTGTAGTTTCCAATGTACAAATCTCTTACCAACTTGATTATTAAACTTTATTAAACTTATTCCTAAGTTGTCATGGGGGGGGGGGTTTTGGTGCTATTGTAAATGAAATTGTTTTCTTAATTTCTTTTTCAGATTGTTTATTGTTAGTCTATAGAAATGTACCTGATTTGTGTGTTGATTATGTATACTACAACTTTGCTGCTAAATTTATTAGTTTTAACACAGTTTTGGTGTGTGTCTGAAATCTTTAGGTTTTTCTACATATAAGATCATGTTGTCTTTGAACAGAGGTAATTTTATTTCTTTCCCGTTTGGATATCATTGCTCTGGCTAAGGCTTCAAGTATCATGGTGAATAGAAGTGGCAAAAACAGGTATCCTTATTCTGTTCTTGATCTCTAAGGAAAATCTTTCCGTCTTTCACCTTTGAGGAAGATGTGGGCTGCGGGCTTTTCATTTATGGCCTTTGTTATGTTGAGGTAATTTCCTTCTCTTCCTAGTTTGTTGAGTGTTTTGTATCATGAAAGAGCATTAAATTTTGTTCAATGCTTTTATGTATCAGTTGAGATGACTATGCTTTTTTTTTATTCTATTAATGTGATGTATTTCACTGATGGATTTTTGTACGTTGGACCATCAAGCTTACATTCCAGGAATAAATTCCACTTGATCGTGGTATAGAATCATTTTATTCTATTATTTATTTTTATTGAAGTATAATTGACATATAACATTATGTTAGCTTCAGGTGTACAAAATAATGATTTGATATTTTTATATGTTGCACAACGATCACCAGAGGAAGTTTAGTTAACACTCGTCACCAGACATATTACGGTTTTTTTCTTTTGAGGAGGACTTTTAAGATTTACTCGCTTAGCAACTTTTAAATATGCGCTACAATATCATTAACCAGAGTCACCACGCTGCCCATTGCACCGCCAGGACTTACTTATTTGACAAGTGGGAGTTGGTACCTGTTGATCCCTCTTCGCCCACGGCACCCACCCCGCCCCCTCTGTCTGTCCCTGCGAACCACCACTCTGTTTTCTGTATGAGCTCAGTTGTAGTTGGTTTCCTTAAGATTCCACATATAAATGAGATCATGCAGTATTTGCCTTTAGCTGCCTGACCTCCTTTACCTAGTGTAACGCTCTCGAGGTCCATCCATATTGTTGCAAATGGCAAGATTTCTTTCTTGCCATTTGGCTGAATAACATTGCACCGTGCGTGTGTATTCTTTTCGATGTGCTGGTGAGCTCAGTTTGCTGGAGTTTTGTTGAGGATTTGTGCACCAGTGTTCGGAAGGGGTATTGGTATATAGTTGTCTTTGCCTGGAGCGTCTTTGTCTGGGTTTCAACATGACGCGATTCTCCCATTTCACCATTTGAGTCTCCGCTTCTTCATCTATAAAATGGGAGTAATAACAGAACCCCCTCTGTAGGACTGTCGTACAGATTAAATAAGAGAATACACGCAAAGTGCTCCAGGAGGGCCCAGCTCAAAATACATTAGCTAGTGGTGATGATGATGACGGTGATGGCGGTGGTAGTGGAGGAAAAGCTTGTCTCCCAGAGGGGCAGCCCAGCAGGGCGGAGCCTACACCTTCAGCCCACGCTCTGCCCACAGGAGCTGGGAGCGATTGCCCAGGAAAGAGGAGGGAGCCCGCGGTCTTCTGGGGTGGGACTAGGGCGCTCTCTCTGGGCCTGACATGTGGCAGAACCGCATTCCATTTTGCAAAGTCATTCAAAAGTTTCTGCTCGCTTCGATCTCTTAATAATGGCACGGCAGCTTTTAAGGAACTGAAAGTAACGAGGCCTGGGAAGAGAAAACCCACAATGCAACACGTACAATTTCTCTCTGTGACGGGTTACTGTGGGTGCACAGGGCACAGGGATAATGGGGATAGTGATGAAGAAGGCGTGGGTGGCACTTCCCAAAAAACTAATGAGTTTTAATGTTTTAAAAAAATACATTTAGAACTGTTTTAGGTTTACAGGAAATGGAGCAGATGGTACAGAGAGTTCCCCAAAAACCCCGGCCCAAAACTCACATAGTTTCCCCTCTTCCCAGCACCTCCAGTCGATGCGGTACGTTTGTTGCAACCGATACTGACGTATTATTAGTAACTGAAGTCCACAGTTGACATGAGGGCTCACTCTTTGCGTCGTACACTCTGTGGGTTTGGCCAGATGTATAACGGCATGCCTCCCGCCAAACAGTATCACACACAGTGTTTTGCTGCCTGAAAAACCTCCGTGCTCCACCTATCCGGCCTGAGCCCCCGGCAACCAGGATCTCTTCACTGTCTCTAGTTTTACTTTCTTCCAGGATGTCATAGAGTTAAAATGATACAGTAGCTAGCCTTTGCAGATTGATATCTTGCACTAAGCAATATGATTTAATATTCTTGCATGTATTTTTGTGGCTTGATAACTTACTTCTTTTTATCACTGAATATGTTTCACTGTGTGGATGTACCACAATGTGTTTATTCAGTCACCTTTTAAAGGGCAACTTGGCTGCTTCCAGTTTTTGGCAATTATAAACAAAGATGCTATAAACATGTTTCCAAAGTAAATGATTCCTAAAACTCAGCAATTAAAAAAAAAAAAACAGTTTAAAAATGGGCAAAAGATCTGCACAATCCTGGACACCTCACCAAAGAAGATATACAGGTAGCAAATGAGCATATGAGAAGACGTGCTTAAACATCAGATATCATTATGGAATTGCAAATAAAATATGGAATATCTCTTCATTTATTTAGATCTTTGATTTCTTTCAGCAACATTTTGTAGTTTTCTTCATACAGATCTTGTATATATTTTGTTGGATTTATATTTAAGTACTTCATGGTTTTGGTAATAATGTAAATGGTGTTGTGTTTTTAATTTCAAATTCCAGTTGTTCATTGCTGGTGTATAGGAAAGCAAATGACTTTTTTTTCCACTGATTTTGCAACTACAGTTGCCCCAGTTTTTCTCCCTTTGCCCTTCTCCGTCCAGCAACCCCCACTCCCTCAGGCAATACCCATGCCATTGCTCATGTCCATGGGTCATGCGTGTATGTTCTTTGTCTACTCCATTTCCTATACCATACTTCCCATCCCCATGGCTATTCTGTAACTACCTATTTATACTTATTAATCCCCTCACCTCTTCACCCATTCCACCATACCCCCCTCCTATCTGGCAATCATCAAAGCGTTCTCCATACCCATGATTCTGTCTCCGTTCTCCTTGTTTGCTTAGTTTGTTTTTTAGAGTCAGGTGTTGAGAGATATGTATTTATTGCCATTTTATTGTTCATAGTTTTGATCTCCTTTTTCTTAAATAAGCCCCTTTGACATTTCATATAATAATGGCTTGGTGATGATGAATTCCTTTAGTTTTTTCTCATCTGGGAATCACTTTACCTACCCTTTGATTCTAAATGAAAGCTACTCCTGCTTTCTTTTTGCATTTCAGTATTTTGAGTGCCAAAGTATTTGGCAGACATTTGCAAAGTGAGTAAGAGAGCAGACATTGGAATCAGGAAACCTGGGTACGAGCCAGGCCAGTCACACTGGATGACTTTGGGCAAATTTAATAATTCTGTGCCTCAGTTTCCCCAGCTACAAAATGAGGAGTTATTGCGGAAATGAAACAGGATAATGCAGTGAAGCACCTAGCAAACTTTCTGGCATGCAGTGTTTAATTAATATATTCTATTGGCATAAGCTATTATTACACAATACCATAATAAAGCTATATAATATAAGCTATTATATTAATATAAGCTATTGTGTATTATTATGGGACTTCAGTGTAGATTTGGAAGTACAAGTCCTCTTTGTATGAAAGCTCTATGAGACACTGTGAGAAAGTAAACAGAAAATAATCACACAGTTCTAGGCTGGGTGGGGGGGTGCCTCATAGGCAGTGTCTTGGGTCCCGATCCAGGGGAATGTGGCATTTCCTGCTGGGTGCTGAGTTTTGCTCACTCTTCTTGTCAAAGTGAAACTATAGAGGAGACTTCTGCCCCCGCTACCGATTCAGACACACCGTCTGAGGTCTTTTTCGGGGAAGCGTTGTCACACCCAGGACCCTTTAGTTAGATAAATTCCAATAGGCTTTTATGAAACGATAAAAATAATTAATCATATCGGGAAAGCTTCATCAAGATCTTTTAAAGGTTGCTATTAAACGGTGTTGTTTGGCATAATCTCAATTTTGTTTAAACTTTTTAAAGATTATAAACATTAAAAAAAAAAAAAAGACTGGAAGGATGCAAAGCAGTGGTAACAGTTCCTGCCTCTGGGGGATGGGATCCTAAGTGGCTTTAGTATCTTTGTGCATTTCTCTCGTTCTCATTTTGCAATATTAAGAAAAACATTATTTTAAAAATGAATAGGACAAATGAATGGATGACAAAATCTCATCATTACAAAATCTCCCCTGAACTATACCCTATTCCACCAACTTGGCATTTTCCTTGCAAGAAAATGAACAGTTAGTGGTCACTTGCCAACTGACCTTCCTGGTTTGTGTTTGGGCCATTTCTGCTCCCTTTCCTGCCATTCAGAACAACCAAACACATACCAGTGTGGAGTCTGGGAAACAGAAAGGGCCAGTTCCCTGGCTAAGCAGTGCCCATTCAGACTCCTTAGGTCCCTCTGCCTCTGATGTGCCTGATTCCCCACCCAGCAAACTCGGGTGCCTGCTCTGGGTCTGGAGTCAGAGAGAGCACACCTCCCAGCTTCACCATGCACTAGCTGTGTAACCTTGAGCAAGTCACTTAATCTCTCAGACCCTCAGCGTCTTCCTGTTCAAATGAGCGTTGTGGTGAGCGTTCAGCCAGGCCAGGCTCTCGGCACATTCTGCCACCCAGCGGCACTAGTAACTGTTAGGGCCCCGTCCTTATTCTTGTTTCCCTGGCTCTGACTGTCTCCCCTCCACTGCAGTCCGCTGACATCGACAACCATCACGCGCTCATTGAATATAACGAGGCCGAGGGCAGCTTCGTTCTCCAGGACTTCAATTCCCTCCACGGCACCTTCGTCAACGAGTGCCACATTCAAAATGTGGCTGTGAAGCTGTTGCCTGGAGACATCCTGAGGTTTGGGTCTGAAGGGCTGACCTACGAACTCGTCATCGAAAACCCACCCTCGGTGAGTGCCGCGGGGTCAGGCGGGGGTGGGGCGGATAGGGGAGGGTGGGCAGGGGTGCCGTGTTGCCTATCGTGTACCCGAGGCTCAGATACAGCCGGCGGTGGAGCTGATCCGGAGCGCGTCGCTCTGGCTTCACGCTGCACACGCGAGTGGCAGCTGGGACGTGGTTCTGTGAAGTTCAGACCCGTCCCGGTGGGTCCTGGGAGGAGCGAGTCCTTGCGCCCTTTCCTGGGCATTTTGTGGAATTACATGCAAGAGTTTTACAAGGGCCAACGGAGAACTCCACGAGTTTTCCTGAAAATGGGAAGCTTAGGGAGGGCAGATAGAAAGCAAGTGCGTGCTTTTGGAGATGGATGCTTCCTTTTCAGGCAGGTGAGCGCCCTGCAGCTTCCTAGCTCTGTGATCTCGGCCAGAGTTCTCTGTATGTCTGCGCTTAAAGAGTGTGTGGTCTTGAGAATAATCTATCTGTAAAGCGTGTAAGTCAGTGTCCAGCCTTGAGTACACACTCAACACATGGCAGCTGCCATTGTGACCTGGATCAGAGGTGTTCTTGGGATGAGGGCCTAAAGTATGGCCCCAGTTCAAGCAGAATGTAACACAAAACTTGCCCGTGAAAGTTCAGTCACAAGGGACATACAGTTCAGCAGGGAGGCAGGATGCACAGTCGTTGGTGACATAGGCTTCGGTTCCCAGCTCGGATGCTTGCCTCCACCGTGCACTCTTGAGCAAGCCACTGAACCCCGGAGAACCTCAGTTTCCTCATCTACAAAGCAGGGCCAATGACAGCAAAGACCGTGCAGGCTTGTCCCAAGGGCTGAATGAGAGTATCATTGTAAAACTCCCAGCACAGAGCCCGTTCATGAGGAACACACAATACCTGTCGTGTGTGTTCCAGAGACTCACTCTCCACCACCAAGAACGCTGCGTGGCCTGAGACCTCTGAGGCTGGAAATTCTTTCTGGGATGAGGCTGAGTATAAATAAGTAAAGTTTAAAGGATCTAGACAGAGTCCTGGGGTGTAGGACTCATAGGCAGTCCTAGATACACACTCCGAGAAGGTCACCGGCCTCCCTCAGGCTGCATGGGCCATGATGCCGCATCCATCATGTTTGGCTTGGCAAATCTGGGGCAGTTTTTTCTACTGCTGCTCAGCCGCCTTACCCTACCTACCTGCACCAGCATTAAAGCGTGTTTGCTCTTGGAGTGCACGAGCGTCTGCTGGAAGCCCTGAGGAGGGGCTCCTGACCCAGACGGGGGTGGAACCCATCAGGGGTTCTTAACACAGGCTCTAAGGGTGCCCCACATCAGCACCACGTGCAGAGCAGGCCAACGGGGCAGGTCCCTGGGCCTCACCCCAGGCCCGAGGACTCATAACCTGGGGTTATCAGATAAAATAGAGGCTACCCAGTTAAACTTGAATTTTGGATAAGCAACAAATAATCATTCAGTATAAATATGTCCCAAATAGTGCAAGGGACCACTTATGCTACAAAAAATTATTTGGTGGTTGTCTGAAATTCAGACTTAATATATATTTTATTTATATATCTATTTAGTCATGAATTTATTTATACAAATCTGGTGACCCTACACACACTCCCTGGGGACGGGGCCTGGGAACGTGCATTCTCACAAGCTCCCTGGTGATCCTGGTGCACCCTGATCCTAACAGAAGGGAGACCCAGTTTACATTGCTTGTATGGTGCATTTATAGGCTTATTTAGGAACCAAAGTCTGTAAATCCAAGTTTGGGAAGTTTGGCTCCATGTTTCTCTCACTTGTCTGATTACAAGATTTGTCTGGAATGTTCAGTAAAATTACAGGTTCCCAGGCCACCTCCCTGGGAAATTCTGATTTTGTGGCTTTCTAAGTCGGGGAGGGGCAAATAAGTGATATCTGTATTTTTTTATACAAAGACAGTCATTAAAATATCATATACAGGAGCATAAAATTTGAAATCTAAATGCCCATCCAAAGAGGGCATTGTTTAATAAAATACAAGGAGTTCATTCCTATGCGGACTACCATCCCGCTTTCTTTAAAAACAGCATTATGGCGATACAATCGACATACAAGAAACTGCCCCCGTTTAAAGTGGCATGTATATGCACCTGTGAACACGCCCATCATCCCCAACAGTTTTCTCGTGAACACAGCATTTGTTTGTTTGCTTTTAAGGGCTTCACTGAAGCGCACGTTATAAAACGTGACCTCCGCCCACGGTCCGTGGACAGCGCAGCCGATTGCAGCGCAGTCACAGAGCCCTGCGGCCGGTGCCGCCGGCCGCTTCCAGGACATTGCATCCACGTCGCCCCCAGAAAGAGGCCGTGCGGGTGCCTAGGGGCTGTTTTTGTTTTTAATCTTTTAAACTGTGGTAAAAGACACATAAAATTTCCCGTCTGTACAGTTCAGCGGCATTAGGCACATGCTCATTGTTATGCAACCACCTCCCTACTTTTTTTTTCCTTTTCCAAACTCGAACTTTATACCCATTAAATAAAAACCCCCTCTTCCTTCCCCGCCACCAGCCACCATCCTTCCTGCCTCTATAAATCTGGCTACTCTCCGTGCCTCACATAAGCGAATTCTTACCCTATTTGTCTTTTTGTGACCCTCTTTTTTCACTTAGTGTAACACCCTCAAGGTTCGTCCAGGCTGTTGCGCGTGTCGGAATTTCCTTCCGTTTTAAGGCCAAATAATATTCCCCTGTATGGACAGACCGCATTTTGTTTATCCCTCGTTCCCTCCATGGGCACTTGGATTGCTTCCACCTTTTGATTATTGCCAGTAAGATTGTCATCAACATGGGTGTTCAAATGTGGAAGGGGCGCTTCGTTTTAAGGGGCGCGTCTTACATCAGGCAAGTGTGGGAAGCAGCGGCGAAGAGCCCTAACCTTGACCAGAGGAGGGCACTTTGTGAAAAGAGAAGCAGAGCAGCAGGAGGAATCCCTGACGCTGATGACGCTGCGCCGAGCAGTTCACCCGCTTTCCCTTATTTAATGCTTCCAACAGCCCAGGAGGTGGGTTCTCTCACGACCCCATGTCTCAGACAAGGAATCCAAAGCTCAGAGAGGTTAAGTCGTTTCCCCAGGGCCACACAGCTAGTCAACGCGAATTCAACTCTCCCCACTCACAGATGACGGAGGGGAGAACACCATTTTGTCTGACACTAACTAGGGTGGTTTCACCAGCTGCTTTGCAAATGGAGCAAAGCTCACTTTCATGTTCACTTGAATATACAGAGATCCCTTGAACTCATTACTACATGTAGTAGCATCTCACTTCTTCCCCCGAGTGACTGCAAGCAGCTGCGCAAATGTCCCCTTGGCCTGTGCCCCGGGCACGTCACGGCAGCCCGAGCCTTTCCAGACACGGGCTTTCCCTGCAGGACTCTCCCCAACCCCAAGGGTGCTCCTCAGTGGCCCTAGATTGAGAGGCGTTGGTGCAAGCGTCCTCTCAGCTCTTATTAATGGAGGGTCCTTTCTGGGGCCTGAGTGAGGGCAGCCTTGTGACAGCAACACATTCCTAAGAATTCTATTTCCTGATCACCCGGACCTGCGTTATGTTTTTTTTAACAAAGGGAAAAAAGGCGGTATTGAAAAGCATCTCCTCAAACATCTTGAGGCCCACTTTTCAAAGAACTTTGTGGCCGCCTTGATTCCTGCATGCTCTCGTTGCTGATGGATTTTTGGGTCCCAGGGAAGGGCCCTGTTTACACACCCCCAGCGAGTTTCCAAGGAGAACGTCCTACGCCGTAAGCCTGGGGTGATCAGAACTGTGCTCTTCTTAACAAAGAGTTCCCAGCGAAAACCTTTCTTTTAGGCTTTGTGGCAACCACAACCCCTTGTGAGGGATGTGACAGTGTTTTATTGGGGGGTGGGGTGGCCAGTGGGGAGAAGGAGGGAATCGAGTACCTTTGCAGGCGGCGCAGCGGTTAGCGTGCACCGGAGTCACTCTCTGCAGCACAGCACACGCTGCCTGTGGGACCCCGCCCACATCGCTTCCCCTCTCAAAGACCCCCTTCCCATTACTGTAAATTGGGGCAATAATAGTTCCTACCACATCCGTTACTGTGGTGTTCAGTGGGCATGCATGTGGTCGCCTAGCCCAGCATCTGGCACCTATGACCGGCACGTCATCACTCTCAGCTTTAGAGTCAAGCAAACACAGCGTCTCCTACGTGAGTGTTCCTTTGGACAGGAGACCCCCCGCCCCCCGCAGCTAGCAGATGGATCCGTGTGCAAATAAATTACCCACGGAATGACACAGAAGATGGAAAAGGACATTGACACCCAGGAGGAGGAGGAGGCTTTGTAAATCAGCATCTCTCACACCAAAGGCTAACCTAGGGCCGCCATGTCACACAGCTCCAGGCTCACCTTCACTCCAGGGTCCGCGCGGACGGGCCGCCTGGAGCTGGGCAGGACCTGGCCCGCAGGGCCACATGCAGGGCCCTGAAGCCATCGTTAGGTGAGAGCGTGGGGTCTGTGCCTCAGCGCCTGGTGTGGGAAATTGAAGTCACAGAGTCGGCCGTGCCTGCCGTACCATGGATTTTGTGTGCTGCTGTTTCTCTGAGTGCTCCCCAGCCGTCCTGGTCACAGTGGCGGTGTTCTCCCACGGCAGCCGCGTGAGGAAACCCGTGTCACCCAAATGGAGAAACCGTGCCTTTCTCAGTCCGGAGGTGGCAAGCCGAATGGAAATGCCCAGAATGATGAACAGGTTGAGCCCTCCCCTTTCCCGGACATGGCAGGGTTCCATCAGCAATGACCGCAGCCAGGCTCTGGGCCGCCTTGACCACAGGGCCAGCCAGGGGCACCACAGCACCCACCATGGTTGCCTGTGCGTGGGCTTCCCTTCAGCCTGCTCTGCGCTGTGCCCATCTGGATGCCACCCTTTGTCCCTCTTGTTGCATCCGGACATCCTGTAAAGAGCACCCTCTGTGGGTCGTCGTCCTTGCTGCTCTCCGCTGTAATGGGGCCCAGAGTACAGTGAAGACGCCAGGCCCTGGGGCTTCCATAGACCCAAGTTCACGGCCACTTAACCTTTCTGAGCTTCAGTTCCCAGTATCTGCCAAGCAGCTATTCGTTCATCACAGGCTCCTCTTCCTCCTTCAGAATGTTTGTAGAGGCCATGAGGACCACTGCTATCATTGTATAACTGATGCCCAATCATGTTTGCCCAATTATGTCGGTATGGATGCATGTGTACTGATTGTATACTTTGGGGTACAATCCTATCTACAGTATCTATTTCACTGCTCAGATGAGTCCAGCCTTGGCCACTGGAAGCTACTCCAGGTTGGTTGCTGTGTCCTTTGAACGTCTCTACCCTTTTATTTGGAGTCAAACAGTATCACCACTTCCAGGCTGTGGGACCTTGGGCAAGTCACTTAACCTCTTTGAGCTTCAGTTTCTCACTCCACAGTATGAGGGTAAAAATGCTCCCCCTACTCCACGATTATTTTGGTGACAGGTAAAGCCACACCTGTTAAAGCCACAGCACAGTCTCTGGCATCCGTGCACCTCCTCTGCGTGACGGTTCACAGCTATGGCATCTCAGTGACTTCTCACCAACAGCAGAGCACATGACAGGCTCTCTGAGGGCAAAGTCCGCTTCCCCACCTTCCACTCAGCCTCCGGGGCTTCCCAGCAAAATGCATGAGTCCTGAGGCGCCCCAGGTACAAACTACCTTAATTTCTAGAGGGTGTCCCCTTCAGCCCACGCCCTTTACAGAATTAGAAGCCGATATTGGAGCGATAGCACAAAGAACAAGTAGATACTCAGAAAAAAATGGAGTGTGATTTCTTGAGTAAGTCATTGACCGGTGTTTGTTCAAGCTGATACAAGTTCAGCAGTGGGTATGGTCACAGCGGATCCAGGTGGCTGACAATCTGCTATTTTAGAGATAGGGTAAGAAATCAGGAATATAACATATGCTCCCTCAAAAACAGAACAGAAAAACCAACCATGCAATATACCACAGATAACAGAAGGGGAAAAAGAAAAAACAGAAAGGGTATTAGCATGGTTTTTTCCCCTTTATTTTTATTGTCGACTTTATCACAAAGATCCCATCCCCCACCCTTTGCCTGCCGCCGCCCAGCCCCCACACCCCCTTCTCTCCGGCCGTGACCACACTGTTACCTGTGTCTGTGAATTATGCATATTTGTGCTTTGGTTAATCCCTTCACCTTCTCTCATCCGGTCCCCCCCCCCCCCCGCCCCCGACAGCTGTCGGTCTGTTCCATTTTAACTAAAGTTTCTAAAACACAGGCTTGTTAATGACTGGCCTTGACCCCAAGCTCCACGGACACCCTTAGGTAAGCACAGCCCAGAGACACCTCACCACGTGACTCTTGTTTTCTCCCCCCACCCCCGCCCACCGCCCCGTTTCCTTGTAGTTACCAGCAGTAACGTCTTAGGGAACCTTGACCTTGCTTGTCTATTGCAGAGCAGGTCTGCTAACTAGAGAAAACCAACTTTAACTTCCCAACTAAAGCCACCCTCAATCAACAAGCTTTAGAGGAAAACACAACTTTATTTTTAATTTTTGAACCCACATTACCCTTTGGAATCTGTGCTGCCTTTGCTCATCTTTGGTACCTTCTCCTCTAGGGACCCCACTGTTAAAGCTCTGGGTGCTACTGTACAAGCGACCAGCTCTTGCCAGCCTCCAGGCTGAGCAGTTCAGGGTGCAACCCCAGCTGGAACTCAAAACCAGGTCCTTATTTGCTCCCCCATTTCATAGCAGCCTCTTCACAGTAGCCAAGAGGTGGAAACAATGCAAGTGTCAACTGATGCGGAATGGATTGAATAAACAAAATGTGGTACATACATACAATGGACTATTATTCAGCCCTAAAAAGAAAGGAAATTCTGACACACGTTACAACATGGATGAACCTTGAGGACATTATGCATTGTCACCAGTACACAAATACTGTATAAGTCCGCTTCTCTGAGGCACCTAGAGAGTCCAGTCCATAGAGACAGGCTGGTAGAATGGTAGTATCAGGAGCTGGGGGCAGGGGAAATGGGAGTTGTTTAATGGGAATCGAGTTTCAGTTTTGCAAGATGAAAATGTTCTGGAGATCTAACAACACTACTGAACTACACGCAGTACTTAAAAATGGCAAAAATGCTAAAAGGTATATCATATATTATTTACCACAGCAAACAGCAGCCCCGCTCCAGGTCTTGGCTACATTCTCAGGTCCCACAAGGTCACTCCAGATCCTGGTATCCAGCGGTCTCTCTGGGTCTCCTTAGCTCTGATTGGATCCCATGCCCCACGGCTGAACCAATCCCTATGGCCAGGGAATGTGATTGGCAGATCACTTAGCCCCACCCACAGCAAATTGAGAAAAGGAAGGAGATTCCCCAGAATCTCCAAAGAGCTGAGTGGGTTCCCACCTGTGCACGACAGCAATGGAGCACTTGAGGCATGAGACATGACCCCTCCCTTTAGCACTTTTGCAGTTAGTTGATGGCGAGGCACTTTAGCCTGAGCGCCCCAGCAGGAAAGGGAACTCCCCCGCCCTACCAGTGGCCCCCAGGTTCGTGTTGCAGCAGGCCGGGGTGAAGCACATTAGAATTCACCTCTCATCACCTCCAGCCCATTCACTCAATGAATCTTTACCAAACGAGTGGGGCGAGGGTCTAGCAATGACTGAGGCCGGACAGCCCCCGAGCGGGGCGGGGGAGGGACAGGATGGATGGAGAAGGGCAGGAGCAGCTTCTGAGAGTCGAGGGAGGAAGAGAGCACGACTGAGGAGACTGAGATGGTAACATGGAGAAAAATTCAAAACTGCGTGAAGGTGGCGGAGTGCCGGGCACTGCCGAGCCCGCTCCCGAGACAGACTCAATGTGGGCCAGTGTCTCTGTGAAGGCTGGACAGACGTCCGCAGGCAGCTGAGGCTTGATTTCCCGCAACACTATTCTCACTCTGTGCAAAAGAGCCCTCGGGGGTAACCCGCGGGATTCTTGACTTGCCTGAGAAGAACCGCTGCTAAGGGTTGGTTCAGGAGCCTGAGCGAGTGAAGATCCTTCCCCGGAAGTTATAACAAGTCCTGTCCCCCAGGGCTCCTGTTTTGGAAGCGCCCTGTCCTGTTTCTCATTGTGCGTCTCTGAGCTCATGTTCTCTACAGAAAGAGAAACGTGACCCTGGGGAGGATCGCTATGTGGCCTATGTAGGCGACAAAGCTTCGACGTAGCTTCTGACTCGGAAGTGTGTTTTTTCTAAGAGAATTGGGAGAGAGAGGAGGGGAGAGAAAGAGATAGGGAGAGAGACAGGAGAGACTGAAAGGAAGAGGAGAGAAAAAGGAGAGTGTCAGAGATGGAGAGAGAAAGAGAGAGTGAGGGAGGTCATCAGACCTTGACCCCCATTCGCTCTCCAAGCCTCATCAGTAAAACAGAGATAAGAGGACCTCCTTCCCTAAAGGGCTGTTGTAAGGAATATAGTAAAGTGCAATAAATGACCATAAATGGCAGCACTCACTGATGTTATTGTTTAACCACTAGGCACAGGGAGAAACCACCACTAGCAATAAACCAAGACAAAAGCCAGGTATCAGCACCTCTCACTTGGCACCGGCTGCTGCCTGGCTAGATGGACTTTGATGTACTCTCCGCCCTGAGTAGCTACAATCATTGTCCCCAGGGTCAGACAAAGAGAGGCTCCCTGCCTAGGTATTGATGGAGCATCTGCCAAGGATCAGAAGTGGTGGGTATCGAGGACCAAAGGTTAAGAGACAGCCAGGGTCCCTGCTGCCCCAGAGCTCTCAGCTCCGGGGGATGAATGGATTGCAGGTGCCGGAGACACGCGCAGTGTGGACGGAAAGCAAGCGGACTGTGGGGTCCTGGCCAGCTGGGCTGCCGTCTTAGGGCTTTGCTCATTCATTTCCCCAGCTGGCACTTGAAGGACTGTTTTTTATGTGCCAGGTGTTTGTTCTAGGCACTGAGGGCACATGGTGGCCAAGATAGACCCAAAGCCCTTATCCTCTTAGAGGTGACATTTTGCCAGCTCAGCAACTCACGAGCACATCTGGGAGCTTGGGGAGTCACCAGGCCTTGCTCAGCCTCAGCCTCATTGCAGGGGTCAGGCGCATTGAATGAGGTCATGGACGGGGACCTCTTGGCAAGGTGCCTGGCGTGAAGGCCACACCCAATAAACGTGGTGCACTGCTGTGCGGTGTGACCGCTGTCCCAAACTTGGGTAGAGTCAGGCACTTTCTGAGGGAAGTGACTTACAAGCTGAGACCTAGGGCTGCAATTATGTGGCTGGGACATGGGCGCGGAGACCGCCCCAGCCCACTGAAACCTCCCCGGACCCTCTTGTCTACCCCGCAGGTCTCCTTCCCTTGGGCGAGGGGTCCAGCGCCCTGGCCGCGGCCACAGCCCCCTCAGGCCACACAGCAGCCGAACCAGTCGCCCTTGCCGCCACAGATGCCCTTCCACCCCGGCACCCGGCCAGCGCAGAAGAGCTGGTCCCAGGGGTTCCCCAGGCCCACCAGGGCCCCGCCCGCCTCCCACAAGCGGCCAGTGAGTGCCGGCGGGAAGATGTTCTCCTTCGTGGTGGATGGCGCCCACCACTCACCCATCATCAAGCAAGGTATCCATGGGCGCCTGCACCGGTGGCTTGGGGATGGGCTTACAGCCTTGAGGACGCATGGAGCTTTTTTGCTTATTTTCTCTGGCTCTAAAATACAACATAGTCAATTGTGAAAAAAAATGGTAAGAAAACAGAGATCACCTGTCACCCGATTCCCCCGGGGACATTGTGGTACAGATCCCTCCAGACTTTGGGCTCTGCCGACATGCGCACATCGGTACCTCCGTGGTGTGTGTGTGTGTGTGTGTGTGTGTGTGTGTGTGTGCCTGTGTGTGTGCATCCATATAGATGAGTATGTAGCAGGATGTAAATTTATATACTTTGGCACCAATGTACAGAAATACCCTTGCCTTGGGAGGTTTTTAAATATTTTATTACCATTTTACAGGTGAGAGGAGCTGAGGTTTATGGAGGAAAATTGCTTCCCAGAGGTGACAAATTCAATCTAACCTAATGTTTTTCCATCAAATTTAAGGCTGGTTATGTTGGTGGCTGTCACTCACAGCCTGGTCACTTTGGGGATGCTGAGCCTCCACAGTCCCTTCCCCCATGCGCTCCCTCTGGAAGGCCTCATGGCACCAGGGGAGGAGACCTCTTGTCTGTCACTGTCCCTTGGCCTCACCAGCCTCGCTGGCGCTGGCGGAGTGGCTGGGTCGGCTTGGCCCCTGGCAGGGTTCCCGCATTTCCTCCATGGCTCCTGGTGTCAAGATTCTGTTCCCTGTTTCTGAGTCCCAGCCCTGGGCCCCTCTGAGTCCCCAGTCGCTCAGGAACATTCACCTTGTCCATTCCTCAGCCATGCAAATAATAGCTATGACTGTGAAATACACAAAGAAGTCAATGACATGTGTCTCTACAGTTGACATCACCATTGCCATCACAGTCATCAAATGAACCCTCATGTACCTACCACCCAAGTCAAGAAATTACTCAGCCATTTCCCCTAATGTTTTAATAGGAAAATATTCAAACATATAGCAGAGTAAAAAGAATTTTTCAGAGAACCCCATCTAATTCTACCATTCACATGTTTCTGTATGCTTTATTACATCTATCAATTCTTCGTTCATTCATCCAGCTTATGTTTTTATACTTTTCAAAGTAAATTGCACACATCTGTAGTCTTCCCCCTAAATATTTTAGCATATATACCATTAACTAGAGTTCAACAGTTTTTTATGTAAAATTAACATACCATGTGTATTATTTATTAATTATTGAATTATAATTTTCCCAAAATTTAGCAGCCTACAGCAAAAAAAACCCCACAAAAGTATGATATAGTTTCTGTAGGTCAGGAATTTGGAGGCCTCTCAGGAGGGCGGCTGTGTCACACGGTCTCTCATAAGCAGTGAAGCTGCTGCTGGCCAGGGTGCAGTCACCTGAAGGCTTGTCTGGGGCTGGAGCCTCTGCTTGCAAGAGAGTGCACGCATGTGGCCGTCAGCGGAGACCTTCGTTTCTCCCCACGCGGACACCGCCAGAAGGCTGCTTGGCAGGTCCTCATGACACAGCAGCTGGCTCCTCCTGAGCAAGTGATCCAGGACAGTAAGGTAGAAACTGCAAAATCTCTCATGACCAAGCCTCAGAAGTCACTCTCTGTCACTTCTGCAATATCCTACTGGTTACACAGTCAGCTGTATCCAGAGGGGGCGAAGATGACGCATGGGCCTGGATACCAGGCGGCAAGAACTCCTGGCAGTCATCTTGGAGGCTGGCTACCACACGCTGCCCTCCGGTCCTCCGTGATTCACCCCCACCTCAGCCTCTCCCAAGGCCCTCAAAAGTCTCACCTCATTACAGCATCAGCTCAATTTCCAGAGTCTCATCTAAATGAAGTCCAGGGAACAGATGGGGCTCATGGGTGGAGTTTCTTAAGGTCAGGTCAAATATCGTTGCTACCAATCTGAAGACCCGTGAACCGCAGAGACGAGTTGTCTGTCCCTCTCACCCAGCATAGCGTTGGTGGGACAGACATAGCTTAACTGCTACAGAGGCTCCTCTTGTTCCAAAAGGAGAAGAGCAGGAAACACACAGGAGTCACTGGCCCAAAGCAGTTCTGAAATCCAGCCAGGAAAACACTGGCAGTTTCTTGACTAGGCTTCAGCCCTACTCTTGCCCAGAAATAACTGACCATGGCTCTTAGCTCTACACTCCGGTCCCTTAGTTCCGCCCTCAGAATCATCCTGCCTTTTCACAAGCATGTGAAAGGTATCGCATGTTTGCAGCTGCACAGTGTTATCCTCTGCTTCCTGCCTGTAGGAACTTGGGAGTCCAAAAGCTTCTTTTCCTTTTGTGAGCCTCTGACTCTGTCAGTCCAAGTTGGGGGGGTATCTCCTATTGGGGTTCACCCTATTAGGCAAAAGCCCTTCAGAAGAAACGTATTTCTCCTGAATTATTTTTCTACCATGGATTAGATATTCCTGTTCTAGAATCTCAAATAAACAGGTTCATGTAGTATGTATTATTTTTGAAAGGCTTTTTTAAATTCAATTCAATATTTTTGAGATTCATTCATTTTTTTCCATGTTTGGAGTTTGTTCCTTTTATTTTGATCCTTTTTAGTTTGTTCTTTTGATCCTTGTTAGTTTGATCTTTTGTAGTTTGTCCTGTATAACAAATACAGGAACAAATAAACAATGTACAAGAACAGTAGACAGGAACAAATGTAGGTTCCTACAGAGAGGTTTTTTACCCATTCTTTTTTGTGGGACTCATGAGCTGGGTTTTTTTTTTTCTTTCTTTCTTTCTTTCTTTCCTTTTTTTACTCAGCCATTTGATTTTTCCACTGTAATCAGTAGATTTCGCCACCAGTTTCTCCAATGCCATGATGAACCTGGGGCTTCCCTGTGGGGCGTACATTCTCCCCAAGAGGAGAAGGAGTCGTCCCATGGCTTAGAGGCCCTCCCGTCTGCCTGGGCTTTATTACCACAGCCTCTCACCCAGGTCTCATCTGTTTTCAAACTTTCATCCTCATTCCCCTGACCCTCGGCCCTATACCCAGGGAAGCACTTTTTACTTCACATGGTGGAAATTCCCCCACTGTCAGCCTCTGGGTCTCTCTAGTCCATGCTTTGGAGCAAACTCTATGCTCCAGTTCTCCAAGCTGGCTCTTGATTTTTTAAAAAAACACGATTTTTTAGGGTTCTAAGAAAACCTTTGCCTCTCTTAACAAAGTGTGGACCTTTGCCCTGGCCAGTGTGGCTTGGTTGGTTGGAGCGTTAATCCCATATACCAAAAGGCTGTGGGTTTGATTCCCAGTCAAAGTACATACCTAGGTTGCAGGTTCAGTCCCCGAGCAGGGTGTATACAGGAAGCAACCAATGATGTTTCTCTCTCATGGTAATGTTTCTCTCTCTTTCTCTCTCTCTTCCTCTTTCTCTCTCCCCACCCCCCCCAAAAAAAAATCAGTAAACATATCCTAATGACATCCTCATGCGAGGATTAAAAAAAATAAAAGTATCTCAATATTTTTTGTCTTGGTTACATGTTGAAATAACATTTTTATATATTGCATTAAATAAAAATATCATTAAAATTAATTTCATCTCTTCCTTTTACCTTTTTAATGTGACTACTAGAAAAATTAAAATTGCATTATGTAGCTCACATGATTTTCTACCAGTCAGTGCTGCTCTTGTTAGTTGGGACTCGGCTGCTTGGGATCCCAGAGCGTCAGGTGGGGGAAGTGAGCCTCAAATAAACGTCTTCTGATCTGAGAGTTGGCTGGGGAAGTGGAGGGGGAGCCTGGGCGGCTGCTGGAACAGGTCCATGAAACTCCGCAGGAGGCCCTTCAGTGGCCCCCTTACTTTATTCAGCACTTAGCCCTCCTGCCGCCTGCGACGCAGCTGTCTCCAGAGACTGGAAAGGAAGACAAAAGGAGAACAGAGTGTTTGAGAAAGAGCGAGGGAATCGCCATCTTGGCTCTCTGGGCCCCAGATCCCCGCATGCGCAGTGTGATGAGAGAGTGTGGAGCGCGCATGCTCTGGGTGGCGCGGGTGTTCCCAGGGTGGGGCGAGCACACCTGCTGACCTCCGACACCAGAGCATCCGCTGGCACCTGCAGGGCTTCTTCCCTGAGTCCCACCGCCTGGCGGAGCGGCAGGCCTCTGCCATGGTAGGAATGTAGGTGGCTGGGTGGGGAGCTTTCTTTTCTCAACGATTTCTCGGGGACCTTCTCATCTCCCTTTGCCCGGGACTTCCCCGGCATTGGCACCGAAAGCCTCCCATCCCAGGAAACCCCTCAGTCCTGGGCTCACGAGACAGTCGGTCGCCTTAGCCGTCTCATCAGGCACTCGCACCCTCGTTCGTCAGTCCACCACACTGGGCGGACCTGCTAGTACCGTGATGGTTGTGTGCCGGGTTCTGGAGCCACACGGCCTGGGCCAGACCCTGACTGTGCCCCGTACCAGCTGGGTGGCCCCAGTCAGGCCCTGTCTGCGCCTGGCCTCCCCCAGTGTCTCAGTGGGGCTGGTAACAGTACCTGCCACACGGTGTTGTCATGAAAGCCAGCATTTACACTTGGGAAGCACCAGAGGCCGACAAGCCTTCCGTGAGACACCAGTTATGAGTGTGGGCCAGGCGCTGCGCTTTTGTCCTCAGTTCCCCTGGGCACCTTTTTCCACCCGTAGGTGCCCAACAGAACGGAGGCAGGTGGGGTGCGACCTCTCTCTAGCGGAGGGAGCTCAGGCAGAGGTTTTCTCTGTCTATGCCCCAGGCTGCACATCTGTAAAATGGGATTAGTAAGCTCATTTTAAGGGCCCCAGACTGACTTGGTCGCCGGGCACATAGTCAGGGATTCTGACATTAACAAAACCATCCTAGAACAGCATCTATAAAATGACAACTCCAGGCGGGAGAGGTCCCCGGTGCCCCGGGAGCTCATGGCTGTCAGACCCGACTTAGGTGGGAGATCAGGAAAGTGTTCCAGAGGGCGTGACACTCAAGCTGAGCGCGGAAAGGCGAGTGACACTCACTAAGGGCATGTGGGGCGAATAGTGTGCAAGGACTGTCAGTGGCATGTGATGGGAGGGATGGGGCGAGTTCAAGAGGATGGTCAGGGTGGCTGCAGGGCGCGCTCCCAGGGGACACGGCTCGAGACCACGTTCAGAGAGCAACGAGAAGTGATGGCCGCTGTCAGGCATGGAAGGGACGTGACCAAGGTCCGGCCGCCCCCAGCGGTGTCTGACTTTGGATACATTTGCCCCCGCAGGGAAAGCACCTTGGGCGCAGCTGAGAAGGGTTCTGCTCATCTCAACCTGGAGGGAAATCATCGGCTCTAAAACACATTAAGTAAAAAGTGTAGAATCAAAATGAATAAAGGACTAAATAAATGTCCACAGATGTGACGGTGCGCACTTCATTAATGGTTAATGTTAACATTCATTAATGTTTCATTCCCCTTGAAAACAATTGGTTCCATTTCTCACTTCACAAGAAGATAAAAACGCACTCATAAATCATAGTCGGTTGGAAATTTAAAATACAGCGCTCGGAGCCAAGTGAGCTCAAAAGCAGAATTATAGAAAGCCTTTCAAAAGTTCCTACACCAAAAGCAATTGTATTCGGTGTTGATGTGAACACATTCTGATATGTTCGATGTGATGTGAGGCAGGGCCCCCAAACAGAACAAAGCCAGAAGCCCTGGAAGTCATTTAAATAGGCCTTGTAATATTGGGGGTAAGTTTTTTTTTAAAAATCAGGAAGCCCTGGCCGGTGTGGCTCAGTTGGTTGGTACGCCATCATCCCATAAACTGAAAGGTCATGGGTTCGATTCTGGGTCAGGGCACATGCCAAGGCTGCAGGCCCTGTCCCTGGTCAGAGCACGTTCAAGAGGCGACCCACTGATGCTTCTCCCTCACGCCAACGCTTCTCTCACCCTCTCTCCCTCCTTATTCCTCTCTCTAAAATCAATAAGGCTGTTCTGGAGTGAGGATAAAAAAATCCAGAAAATCAAAACCAAGTATCTATCAAGTATATTCCAATTAAATACATTTAGGGACACTTGTACAATGAATGGATTTCAATGCTACTATTAAAAGAATGCAGTATACCTATAAATACTGACAATGGGAAGATATCTTTGACATATTGTCAAATGAAAAAGCAAGCCGGAGAAAAATCTCTGCAATATATACACGTTTTCTTTGTTTTATTGCTATAAAAATAGCTAGCATTCCATGCGAAAAGCTCTAGATCAAGGGCAGGAAACCTTTTCTGTGAAGAGCCAGAGAGTAAATACCGTAGTCTTTGTGGGTTCTACGGTCTCTGTCACTCCTATGCAGCTCCGCCATTGTAGCTGGGTTCAGCCCCAGACAATAGGTAAATGAATAACTGTGGCTCTGTTCCAATAAAACTTTATTTGCAAAAACAGAGAGGGCCAGATTTGTCCCTAGGTCCGTAGTTTGCCACCCCCTGCTCCACATCGTTATTCCATTTAATCCTCACATGGCCCTTTATAGCAGAGGCTGTCTGTGTCCCTTATGGAAACTAAGGATTTGAAAGAGTAAATGACCTGCCCAGCATCATCAGCTCTTCTGTGGCATAGGAAAAAGCCTGGAAAGAGACACATCAGAGTGAACCAGCACAGTTAACACCGGGAGAGAGGAACGAGGAGGCTCCTTCCGTTCTGACATGTCTGTGATATTTACTTCCGTGGTTATTCAAGGAACAGATACACCACTCTGTCGCTTTTTAGTTCCATGAGACATAAATCTCAGTGGGAAATGAATGTGAAGTTTAATCTGAGGGAGTCCTTAGGACCTGAGGGAACTCACGCTCTCCCCGTGCTCTCTGTTGATCTCGCGTTAGTGTGGACCAGCGCCGCGGAACTGCCGGGACAGTCGGTGGCCGAGGGCATTCCCGGGGCAGTGCCTTGCATGGAGGTTTACATGGACCAGGACCTGGCCCAGCAGGACAAGGTGAGGGGTCTCAGGGGAAGGACAGAGCCGCAGCAGCAAGCAGGACCGCAGAGGGACTGCCAGGGCCTCTTGTTCTAGAAGTGCGCTTGTTACTGCTTCCAAGAAACTACCTCTTACCCCCGGGACATTCAAACAAAGATTTGGGAGCTGCTCATTTTATCCCAAGGAACGACATCTACAGCCACAATGTATTGAGCACCTACTCTGTGCTGGACCGTGTCCTGTGCACTAGACATGCAATTACCTTGTAAATCTTGACCACCTTTTAAAAGTAAACTTTTTCATCCTTACTTTACAGATGAGGGAACTGGTGCTCAGAGAGGTTAAGTAACTTGCCCAAGGTTGCACAGCGTGAGGGGCAGCGTTGGAATTCTAACCAAGTAACTGTTTGGTCAGCCACGAGGGATGGAAGGTGGTGGGAAAGCATGTTTCCTGGCAGGAGGAGGTGAACACAGAGGTCAGAGAGGACTGAGTCAGGGGAGAGAACCAGAGAGGTTTAGCACGTGAAACAGGATCGGGAGTCGGAACAGGTGAACGCAAGCAATCCTGGGGCGGGTCCGGATTGATTTCTCCCTTAGACACAACCTGAACATTATCCTAAAAGAAGCAGTCGTGTGATATCTTGCTTTCCTGAAGGCCCAGGGCCTGAGCCGGCAGCCCTGCTCGGAGTCTGTGAGGAGGGGAACCACTCGGGGTTCTGATCAGACACAGGAGGTTCTGACGCAGGTGTCCTGGGACCAGACTTTGAGAAATGGGGCAGTAAGTTGACAAGCCAGGCTCAGAGGCCATATCAGGTATCAACTGCTGTGTAACAAGCGACCGCAACACTTAGTGTCAGCAATTTACTGTTTTCCAGGTTGATCTGGAAGGTCCTTCTGCTGTCCTGTGGCCTCACTCATGGAACTACGGTCAGCCGGTGGCCTCTTGCATAGAGCTTGCATAGAGATTGCCCGGCATCACTTTCACCGCGTTTAGTTGGTCAAAGCAAGTCACAGGGCCGGCCCAGGTGTACAGGGCGGGGGAAGCTGACTCCACAGCCAGATAACAAAAGCTGCAACGTATTTGTGGCCATTTTCCAATCCACCCCAGCTGTTAAACCGGAAATACAATGCAACCACATTTACATTTTCTTTTCTGTGTATGAGCCATTTATGCCCTGACTTACCAAGTCCTTACCAAGGACTCCTTCAAGTACAAGTGACAATGAACAAATTAGCATAAGCCAAAAAAACGTAAAAGCCCTTATTGGCTCCTTTTATTGGAAAATGTAAAGGCCTTCTAGCTTCAGGCACGGCTGGATCCAGGGGCTCAGCTGACACCATCAGAACAGTCCCCACTGCCAGTCTCTCCCCTGTCGTCCTCAGAGCTTGGCTTTCAACAGCAGGCTGGCTGGTGTGCGGGGAAAGACAAACTCAAGCAACCAAGACTGTCCGTTTAAAGTGTATGATCCAAAAGGAGTGGGATCCTTTCCCTCTGTAATTGACAAGTGACATCTGCAAGAAAACTGATCGGCCTGCCTGAGTCACTTACACATGGGGAGGTGGGACAGGAAGGAGCAGGGCACAGGATTTCCAGCCTTACCAAGACCACATGGAAGGGGGAGCGCTCCCTCGAGGAAGGGTGGGATGCCCCCTAGAAAGCCAGAATCCACAGCTGGACACCGCCCCCTGCAGGCTTCTTGATACCCCAGCACCCAGCATAGGGCCTGGCCCACAGTAGCTGCTCAATAAATGTTTGTTGCATGGTAATTACAAGCACCTGGCTGACAGGGGAGACTTTGGGTGCCTTAGCATGGGGCGAAACAAGGGAGGCTGCGCAGGAGTACAGAGCATACAATGCTGTCCCCTGACATCTTGTCACAGCATTTGCAGAGACCCAAGGGAAGAGCCTTGACAGCGGTTGGCAGCAGCAGACAGGCCCCCTCCTGACCCCGTCCTTCCCCGGGTCGGGACGCTGCAAGGTTGTGAGGCCGCTGGGACAGCTCCCCAGGCAGTGAGCTGGCCCAGAAGTGGCCCGCTTACCTCCTTCCAACCAAGAGAAAATGGTGGGAAGAGCAGGGGTTCCTTTAAAAGCAGAAATCCTACAGCTGCATTTGCAAATGCATCTGGGAATTTTTTTTTTCAGTCTTTCTGACATTTTATTGATGACTTCTAGTGACAAGTCTGGGGGATTTTTTGTCCCTTTGGGGAATAATCTCACAAATTCTTTGGCTGCAGAACTTTTTCTTGCAGAGAGATAGGGGGCCGCGTTCATTATACCTTCAGGTAAAGGCAGCCGGCGATTTTTTTCCACCCAGAGTTTACATGAGCCCACATAAATAAATCACCGTTCCTGCCTCATTTACCTTCCAGATTCAGTTTCCTGAATAAATTTTTACATGAATAACCAAAAGAGGCAGGAAATACCAGGAGAGTGGAAAGAGACAGGAAATATTTCAGAATATATTAAATTTTTTGAAGTTAAAAAATAGCCTTCATTATAAGCAGAATGTGGTCAAATTGAACGTCGTTCTTCTAATTACCTTCTCTAGGTCCCCAATGTACTGGGTTGAATATTATAAATTTAAAAAATATGATAAATAAACTTTCTAGCAGCAAAAGGTCTCAACTGGCTAGTGTCCTCGGTATGAAAGTATAATTTTTAGGGGAAAGGAAAGTTTTAGTGCCTGTGAGGCATAAAGCATCCATTTACAGGAGTCTAGACACAAGGAGATCATTTTAACCAAACTCTTGTCTCCATGAGGTTTTCCAAGTGACGGAGCCTGGAACGCCTGCCTCCCCAACTCTGCCTGCCCCCCTCCCCGCCTGCCCCCACTTTCCAGAAAGAATCACATCGCATTTTTCCTGTATATGTTTAAATGAGCTCTGCCTTGCCCCCTGCCCCACACCTAGTAAGCTTCCCATCTGCCCTCCATCCAGGATGAAATAATTCTGCTGCTGGGAAAAGAAGTCAGCCGTCTCTCGGATTTTGAACTTGAATCCAAGTACAAAGATGCTGTGATCATGAACCTGCAGAACGAATTGGCCAGTCTGAGTCAGAAGCTGTTGGAGACAGCCACCTCCAGAAGCGAGCAGGTGACCTCGCAGAAGTTTCCAGGTCCGGATGAAGACATCGACGACCAACAGAGAGAGATCCAGAACCTGAAAAGCCAGGTAGGACTCTGAGACAAGTCGATCGAGGTCTTAGCATCAGGGCACGAGGTGAGAGCTCTCAGGCAGAGCCTGAGGAGAGCTCAGGGGAGCCCTCCAGACAGCTAGGAAGGGCGTGGTCAGCACAGCATGGCAGGAAGGGCGCAAATCCCCGCGGTCAGAGACTTGGCAGGCTTCTGGCCTAGTGAGAACAAATATGAACCCTGATGAAGCATTTACCCTGCACAAGAACTGGTACAAGTGCTTTAGATGCATTAGCTTGTTCGAACTTCCTGATCCTCCAACACATGCATTCTGCAGATGGGAAGACCGAGGCAGGCTCGGTGACACCCAGGAACTTGTTGCAGCTCGCACAGCTAGCTAGCGATGGCAGCACGACCTGAGCTCCTTGTTGGCCCTGTGTTCTCTTGCCCCACTATAATAGTTCCACCCAGCTCTGTCGCTTTGGGGACCACCTCTCACACCCACCCCCAGCCAGAAAGAGCTGTGGGAAGTTCGCTAGAGAAGGAGAGACAGGGCCCCCAGTATCCCAAACATAGAGGCCTTTACCGCACCCCGAAGGCAGCTGCTGGCTCACTCGTGGGGAATTTCATCAAACAAAACTTCTCCACCCAGAATTTCTGCATGGAAGACCAGTCATGGTCTTCCTCTTGAAAATTAGATCCAATTTTTTTTTTTAAGAACTACTTTAAAATTGACCATAGCTTGTGTACATAAATTATAGCTCAGTGAAGTTGATGAGAAAAAGACATCGGCCACTAATGCATGTTGGCCTCAGTGCGTGGTGCTGTGTAAAGCCTTGGTCAGGCCTGGGGCCTCTACTCCCTGGTTCCGGTACTGCATTTCCCTTCTGTAACCAACTCAAGCTGCACAGTCTCCGTCCTAGACACGATGCCCTAGAAAAGGACATAGGTTGTGTACAGTGGACCTTGGAGATTCTCCCGGAGACTGTACACTCCATGAGGCCAAAGCTAGACCTGGTTACCTTCCATGGTCCTTCCGCCTGATAGCACCACACCTGTTCATTCATTCATCCGTCCATTCATTTGCTCATCCATGTGTCCACTCATTCAGATAGATATTGGTGGGGTGCCTACCTTTTGTCGTCCTTCTTCCAGGCTCGGGGAATTCAGCAGAAAACAAGGCAGGCGTGATCCTTGCCTTCCCCCAATTACATTCTGATGAGGGAGACAATAACCAAGTAAACAAATACATATCCTAACATTTAAATGAACAAATGATTCTCCTTCGGACCCGTTTTGGAAAAAACAATGAAAGTAGCTTGCCCTATAGGAACTACTACTACAGACAGCCGCCTTGACGTGTAGCTGACTCATTGGGGAGCATTGTTCTTTTCTGAGCCCCATTTGGCCAGTGGATGGAGAAATATCCCTTTTAGTTATTCTCCCATTCCACAGCTTTCCTGAACAAGAGGGACACATCTTGTCCAGGTACATGGGCGAGGATAAATACTCCCCACATACCTTTTTTTAGTTGACATGTATCTGACATATAACATTGTGTGATTCCCACAAGTCTCTGACTGTCAGCCCGCCACGTTTGCGTATTGTTTGAAGTGGCTGGTAATATCTGGGAAGGGGTTTTTTATGGAGAAATTATCTAGAAATAATTATACTGACTCACCATACTGTGGCCTTGCCCCATTCCGTGGTCTTCGCTTGTAACTGAAGGAGACTATTTTATAACAAGGCATATCTGAACAAGAGGCTGCACTGGGTTGGAACTCAAATCGAGTTTGATCCACTCATATTTTAGTTTCTTAAATATTTTATTGCCTGCAGAACATTCAGCCAGAAGCTTGGATACCACATGGCAGATTGATTTATTGGTCTGATTATTTTATATGTTCTCCCTGTGCCCCTGGTAGTATGTGCATAATGGTTTGCCCTCAAGGATCCTCACTCCGCCACGGTATCACTGGAAAACGCCTACCTCCAGAGGCACTTGTACGCCTCTGCTGATGAGCAGCCCAATTACTATCTTGAAGCCATTGCTCTGTCTCTTGCTGTTAGCTTTCTCGTGATTCAGTGCCTACTTTATTACACAGCAGAACAGACATTAAACTTCTTGGTATTTATGCCAGTCATAGACAATATGGATGTTTATTTTGGTAGTGAAAGAAATGAAGGGGTTTGAAGACTATAAGAGTTTTCCCACAATCTGAAATCCTAAAACTTATACTTCAGTTGAAATATTTTATATCTGTTAGAAGCACTGGAGTCTTTTTTTTTGGAGGGGGGGAATTCCCATCCCTTCTGGAAGTTTCTGTTGTGCCTCTGATATCAGACAAATAAAAGCATTAAGCTGAGGAGAGCTGGAAAAACAATTTTTTAATTATTCCAAGTACTTTTTATGGAAAAGTTGCATTTACTCCACAGAGAACAGTAAGAGGTAAAAGAAATTTTTCACTCAGAGTTTCCAAAACACAAACGTGCAAAAGCATAGCCTTGGGGAAGGTGAGGGACAGTGTCCTTTGTTCCCTCACCTTCTAACAAAACTCCCCCCCATGTCTCAGATGCCCCAGGGAAAAAGTAAATGTAACTGCCCCAAATGTCATAGAATATGAATCATAATGGGGCAGGAAATGGGTCAGAAAATGAAATGAAACCTTGATGAATCCGTTAATTCTACCTGCGTGAGAATGACAAAATTTTGAGGGACAGAAACCAAGAACAAAGATCATGAGCGCCACCTGGTGGCAAGGCCCTTACCCATAGTCTGTGCCTGCCTGACCCCCATCCTCTTTCATGCTATGCCCACAACACGATGTGACCATTACCAGGATTCCTGTATTTCCTCTTAACAACAGTCACACTGGGGTTCAAGTGCACCGAGACAAGGCTTACAATGCGCACAAGAGTATTACCAATCCACCCTCCCCCGAGACAGAAGCAAAAACATGCTCTGGGGAGTCAGGTGAAATGGTAGTCACAGCTCACACCCGCAGATGGCGTGCCGGGCATGATCGGGGCACTTGCACACATACTAACTTATTAGAATCGTTTTCACAGTCCTATCAGATTAGGGCTACCATCGCCCCATTCGCAGAATGAAAATTGAGACTAAGTTTGCTGTCCTCCCCACGTTCACACGGCCTGGAAGTGGCAGAGGCAGAATTTGAAGGTCCCAGCCCATGCTCTGCTTGGCAGCCTCCAGCCTTTACAAGTGGTTCCAGGAGCCATGGGGCAGGATGGGGGCACTGGAACCAGGAACGAGGTTTGAATCCTAACTCCACCTCGGCCTCGCCCTGCGACCCTGAGCAAGCGGCCTCACCGCTCTTAGTCCCAATTTGCTCGCTTGCAAAATAGGAACAGTGACGGCACCTTTAGCATTCAGTGATGTTGTGATGCACTGTCGAGGAAGTAGCATTTGTGAATGGGCTCTGTAAGTTCTGGAGTGTTCTATGAGACATAAGTGATTGTTATTGGCATTGGAGGGAATTAATTTTATGACCTGCTCCCCTCTCTCGAACGTTTCTCTGCATCCAGTGGTGCTGGATGATCTGGAACTAAGTAAGGGCTGGTCTATATATAGCTGAGAGTTCAAAGGTCATAGGAAGTTCAGAGGTCATAAGGGATCGGGTATTCACTGTGCCTGAGCTCCTGTGTAGGCACAAAGCTGCGCGTTTTGATTACACATGAAATTGTGGTCACTGAAGGACCAGGCCCTCTCCTGTCCCCTGCACTAGTTAAAACTTAGAAGCTTGGTTTCCGCAACCCCCCAACCCAAGATCAATCCGACTTGCTGTCCAACCTTGGAGGTGTGTCCTGCAGACCTGGGCTGACCCCCTGTGACTGTGTGTCGCCTCCACCCACAGGTCAGTGCCCTACAGAAAGGCTACAGCCAGGTGCTGTGCCAGACCCTGTCCGAGAGGAACTTGGAAATCACATCCCTGAAGAACGAGGGTGAGAACTTACGGAGGGACAACGCCATCACCGCAGGTGAGCTCTCCCTGGAGTCCGGCTGAGAGTCGCAGCCACCGGCCGCCTCTTTCCAGGGCCACGGCGCCCTTCCCCCGGGGCTGGAGTGTGGCCTTAGAGATCCGCTCAGCAGCCACTGGGGAGCCAGTGTCAGTGAACTAGAGTTTGCCCCTCTGGGAGGTTTCTTGCCCTCCAGTTCCCAGGGCAGGCTCTGCTAAACATGTGAGCGAATGTTACCTCTGAGCCAGAGGTCTGCAGAGCGCTCGCCTCACCAGGAGACACAGGACGCCCTGTGGCTCGGGCAGCTCCAGACGCCAGCTTGCTGTAAACACAACTAGAATGCGGACCACGTGGGGTCAGCGCTTTAAGGCATCCGCTGTCTGACCCATGTCACCGTAGGGCACTTGGGCCCAAGGGAAAACATTTTTCTAACTGACCTGCGGAGGTTGTCCCACTGCAGGGAACGGGGTAGGGGAGGGGAGGCTAATGGACTTCATTCCTTCATGTTTAGTTAGCACCTACTAGGCATAGGGCCTATTCTAGGTCCGGGGAGAGAACCCCAAGCAAGACACATCTCTGAACTCACAAGGCTCGCATTTGGGAGTGGGTGTCGGAAAAGAGTAAGAAAATAGATGAATAAACAAGCCCCTTTCAGACGAAACTGGGCAACGTGGTGGCACAGTGCTTCAGGGGGTGAAGCAAAGGGAGACTAGCTTTGTGGGTGGGCAAGGACAGGTCTCTAAGGAAGAGAAAGGGAAGAGCAGAGAGATAGCAAGCGCACAGGCCCTGAGGCTAGAGCAGCTGGCTGTGTTGGAGGGGCCAAGGCCAGAGGGCTGGCGTGTGGGACAAGGGACTGCGGGGCCAGACGGGTTGGGGTGAGGGAAGCAGGGCCTGGCTCTCAGGGAGGAGCCTGGGTCTAGTTCTAAGGGTGATGTGAAGCGACGGGGAGTTTTAGAGCAGAAGAAGACACCTCTAGAGACTGAAGAGGATGGGGTCATCAGGAGAGAGGGAGGGGTGGAAGAGACACAGGTGATGGGGAGCAGGCAATGAGTCTGGGTTGGGCGTCTTGTCCTTAAAGTGCCCAGCACACGGCAGAAAGTGTGTGCTCGGCTCCAGGAGCTCAGCACAGCCTTGGGCCGTGTGTGAATCACGTCTCTGTGTGAATCTGTGCGCTGTGCTGTGCCCGGGGCCAGCCTGACCGTTGGCTATTCCTCAGCCTCATTATTTACACACACCCTCTTCCTCTACCCCAGCCCACCTGTCCAGTCAGGCCCCTGCGTATGCGCCTCTCTAACTTGGACAATCCTGAGATATTTGCTGAGCCCCCCTGCGGGCCAGGTCCTGTTCTGGGCACCAGAAATATAAGGATGGACTCGCTGGGCCCTTGCCTTCCTCCCCGACATCCGCTCCTCCAATTCTCATCCACGCTGCAAGCCCGTCTCGGATACCACTTAGTTCGGTCCCCGCCCCCACCAGCATTGGCATTCTCGGGGTCACTCCCTGAGCCCCAGGCCCCAGCCCAGACCTCCTGCACATCAGCAAGATCCCAGGCGCTCCATAGGCATGTCCAAGTTCATAAGCCGAGCACGGGGCCGGGTTATGCTGCAGTAACAAACAGCCCCCGCCCCTGCTCTCAGTGGTGATAACAGTGATCCTATTGCCTCTTTGACCTTGATGAGTCTTTTTTTTTTTTTTTAAACAGGGATGGTGTCCTCTTTGCAAAAAGACATGTTAGCAAAGGATGAGCAAGTTCAACAACTCCAAAAGGAGGTGAACCAGCTAAAAAATGAGAACAAAGAAAAGGACCACCAGCTGGAAACCCTCAGCTCCAGAGTGAGTGTCAGCTGTCGGGTGTCACCCTCCGCACATCGCATCGTAGCTGTCAGGCAAAGGGAACCGCTTCTTCTCACTGGCCGTGGGCCCAAAGGTTCCTGCCTTCCCTGACCTCGGTGAGATGAGGCGGTGCCCAAGGGCACAGGCAGGATAGCTGCTGGGTGGGCGTCCTGGAAAGACTAAACGCTGGCAGCCACGTTCTTTGCAGCTTTTCAAAAAAGAGCGTGTATGTGGCTCAGAACGAGCAAGAGGTATTTTCAAATCCAGCAAACCCTTCCTAACACCTATTGTAAGTTAGTTTGTTTGATCCCACAGCACGTACGCGATTAGCATATGCCTTGCAATATGCAGCCAGGGCTGCATATTAAAATGGAGGAGGGTTCTCTGGGGGCAGGGGGACCGCTGGCTTCCTCACGGTCCCAGTCGCCACCAGTTCCCGCAGCAGAAAGTTGGAGGGTTTGGACGCAGACGTGCGACTCTCGCTTCTGCCCTGAGACTTCGGTGCGTATGAGGATGAGCCTGGTGGGCAAGTTAAGAGCTTTTTAAATGTAACTGACTCTCTACACACTTTTCCTTCAGTCCTGACTTTAGAATCCTCCTCCAATAGCATAAGATTTCTTGGTATTTGTATGATTTGTCTGTTTCGGTGAGTCCCGGTAAAACCCAATACCTTTCATCTCAGGGCGGCAACTGGGATCCACCGCAGTTGCCTGATCAGCTGCGTGGGTGCCGGGGTGGGAACCGCGGTGAAGTTCCAAAAGAAAGAAGTGGCGTCTGGTGCTCAGGATGGGACCCTGTTTGGAGCTGGTGAAAGGCACAGCCTGATCAGGCTTTGGGGTCAGACAGACAGGGGCCAACTCCAGGGCTTGCTTCTGTGGTAACCTCCCTGGCCTCCACTTCTCCGTCTGTGAAATGGGGATAACAAAATCCCCTCCTCAGAAGTGAGCTGGTTTTGTGTTCTTTTGCCCTTGCTTCTGGTCGGTCGCCTCGCCAAACTCTCTGCCATTGTTCCTCCGGAGCACGTTGACGTCCTAGGTTCCTGTGATCAGTTTTGTGTTGTGGTAGACGTACGTGTGTGTGTGTGTGTGTGTGTGTGTGTGAGAGAGAGAGAGAGAGAGAGAGAGAGAGAGAGAGAGAGAGATTCAGCCGATGCTGAGAGGGAGAAATATGGAAAAACAGTGCCTGTGAGGCTCCTCTACTTCCTGGAGTGCGTTTGGATTATTTTTCTCCCGTTTCCCCTTCCTCCTTGACCTTGGCACGAGGTCTGCCTTCTTCTCTAGCCGGCAGCACGCAGGCCCCTCCCCACTAGAAGTATTGTTTCCATGAGCATTTGGGAGCCTCTCTTTTTCAAAGTAATGTGTGTCGTGGTGTGAATTTTAGAAAAATAAGTAGATGGCATTAAAAAACAAAATTAAAAAGAGGAGAGAGGAAATGCTACCCTAAGAAATCAAGGTTAATTTTTTTAACATTTAAGGAAACTTTGTCACATATACGCTGTTTTTTGTTCTTTGTTTTGTAAATATTTTTTTTATTTATTTTTAGAGAGAGGGGAAGGGAGGGAGAAAGAGAAGGAGAGAAACATCATGTGAGAGAGATACACAGATAGGTTGCCTCTTGCACTCCCCCAACTGGGGACCTGGCCGGCAACCCAGGCATGTGCCCTGACTGGGAATCGAACCAGCAACCTTTTGGTTCACAGGCTGGCACTCAGTCCACTGAGCCACACCAGCCAGGGCTCAATGTTAATATTTCAATATATTTTTTTCGAGTTGTTTTTATATATTACCTATAAATAAATAAATTATGTATTTCTATCTCACAGTGAATTTATACTGTGCACATTTTAAAATCTTAAATGCTTACTGTTTTCCCATGTAATTGAATAAAAACTTTTATCATGGGTCTTAAAAGCTGCATAATATTTTCCTGGGTGTCCTTAATACAATAAAGCAGTCTCCTTTTTTTGGACACTTGTTGTTTGTTTTTGGTTTTTTTTTAATGTTGCTAACAATGCTGAGAAGCACATCATTGAATCTACAGATTCGCTGGTGTCTCTCTGTCCTTGGCATACATTTCTAACATGGGAAATTCTGGGTCAAAAAGAAGGCACCTCTTTATGCTTTCTTGCCTGTCACTGAATTGTGCTCTAGAAAGCTGTTCCACTTACCCTTCCACACCAGGGCAGTTGTGTCTCTGATGTGAAACTGCAGAAAGCACAGAGAGCCAGCCGCGTTCACTAGTGAGCCTGCACCACCCAAACGCTCCTGAAAGCTGTGCTCCGCGGGCGAAAATCATCCCCTTCCTCCTCCCTAAGCACCCAGACTCGGCAAAGCTGGGTTCTCCCTGGGGTGTAGCTTGCTGGCTTTTGAAAGAGAATTTCGACGCCTTCTTCCTCAGAACTCATGAGCAGGGAGCACAAGGATCCCACGCACCCATCAGACACGACTGGTCTTGCCTCTCGGAATTTGGCGGTGTGACTGGATTAAACAGCAGGAAAGGCTCCGAGAGGCGAACCTAGGGACTTGGAGCCCCCAAACAACCCCACGTGGCCTTGTGGTCTCTCTTTTCTCCACAGTGCTCGGTGCTCAACGAGGAGCTGAAAAGGGAAGAGGCTCAGAAGGAGCACCGGGAAGCCCAAGAGAAGGAGTTAAAACTCTGTAAATGCGTGAGTAGAACTTTCTCATGGCTGAGTGTCCACAAAAAGGCTAGACTTTGACCTTCAGGTTTTGCTGAGGGTCTTTGGCCTATTAGATCACTCAAAGTCTGGGGCTTTATGGTGGTTTGTTAGGATGGTCTCATAATGCTTTGGTTTGCTGCCTCTGGGAGGGCATGGGTGGAAAGACCATGGAAAACACCCCTTCCTGGGATTCCCTGGGCATTGGCTCCAGCCCCCCCGCCCCCGCCGCCCGAACTGGGCTTCCCTTGGAGCTGGGCTGGGGTTGGGATGGGGACAGGGACGGGCGGTGGCCAGGTGGCCACCACATGCTGCCAAAGATTCACTGTGGTCCCTGCCCCCGGACCGGTGATGTTAGGTTCCGCTGTCACACTTTTACCATAGCCGTGGGCGCTACTATGAACACAGAGTCTTCCTTAAGTAACTTTATTTAAATACATCAACATTATACCAATGCGTAAACACAAGAAGATGTCATTTACCTTATTTACCTTATACAGAAGGTGACTATAAAAAACACAAGGAGGATATGACCATTAAAATGAAAATGTTCATTTCCTGGGCCAAGGGAATCCTCGTCCACATCAGCAGGCGCACGGCTTCCGTCCGCTGGGAAGCACAGCGCCTTCGGCGGGTAACACGGACAGGGGCCGTCCCCCAAGTCAGGACCGTGCCTGTGCTCTGCCCCCAGGGGGAAGAAGAAGGTTTGCATTGTTTCATTAATGCAAACTGTGCCTGTTGTGACTTCCAAACAGCACTTATTTAAACTGATCTCAAAACTATTCCCTAAGAGATCCTAATGAGTTGACAGGTATCTTGTACTGTTTAATCCAATGTACATGCTGATTTTCAAAAGAAACTAATCGTTTTCCTTTGTCCAGCACCTTCCATATATCAACTGAAAGAAGTCTACTTTGCTCTACAGATGTAGAATTTTCCCCCAAGGGACGGAATTTAGCTCACACCAGACTGTTTCCGCCTTAATGAACCAGATGAAATGAGTTATGGAGGTTCAGTCCTTTCTGCCCGGAAAGCACGTCCTGCTTGCTGTTGGGGAAGCTGACTTTTGTTGACTCTCTTTCAGCAAATCCAAGACATGGAGAAAGAAATGAAGAAGCTCAGGGAGGAGCTGAAGAAGAGCAGTGCTGAGCAGAACATGATCTCTAAGACACTTCGAGAAAAGAGCAAGGTACGGCCAGGGCAGTGTTGGCCCAGTGACCCCTCAGGCCAGGCGCTCCTCACCCATCATCTCTGTTAACCTTTATAATGAGCCCAAATGGTCAATACTGGTATTAACCCCACTTTACAGTTGGGAAGACGGGGGCTCACGGGGGTGAAGGAAGTTACCCAGATTTACTCACATAAAGTACTTGTGGCAGAATTTGAATCCTGACTCCAAAGCTCCTGTGTATAGCCACTAGCCCAGACTGCTTTCTAATCTTTTTTCTTTTTTTTTTTTAAGATTTTATTTCTTTATTTTTATAGAGAGGGGAACGGAGGGAGAAAGAGAGGTAGTGAAACATCAGTGTGTGGTTGCCTCTTGCATGCCCCCTACTGGAGACCTGGCCTGCAACCCAGGCATGTGCCCTCACTGGGAATCGAACAGGTGACCTTTTGGTTCACAGGCCAGCGCAGCACTCAATCCACTGAGCCACACCAGCCAGGGCTGCTTTCTAATCTTAATTGTAAAGTTACCAAAAAATAACTGATCCATTAAATCAAGTTTGCCAATGAAGTCATTCAAACTTAAATGTTCTTACTGAATTTTCTGTCTGTGTGTTCTATGTTTGAGAGAGGTATGCCTTTAAAAATCCCAACATGCTAGTGGATTTGTGTATTTCTTCTTTTAGTGTTGCCAATTTTTGCTTTATATATTTTGAGGCTATATTACTGGGTGCATATAACTTTAGAATTTTAATATTTCCCACTAAGGGGGAAAAAAACCTTTGATACCTTCTTAATTTTTCTGTCAATCTTTAAGAGTTTTTTTCCTCTTCTAAATAGTCTGTCATTTTTTATAAAATCCAGTCTGAGAAACTTTGTCTTTTAGCCCATTTATTTAAAACACAATCGCTAATATATTGAGGTTCAACTTTACCTTCTTGCTCAATGCCAGTTGAACTACATTTCTGTGCTATATTTCTTTTTTTCTCCTTCCTTGTGTTCCTTTGAATTGATGATTTTCTATCATTCCATGTTTTTCTCTATTAGCTTGGAAATGTTTCACTCTTTAACTACCCCTTTAGGAATAGTAAGACAATAGTTTTCATCCTTGATTTACCAAAATCCAGTATTTTAGTGGTCATCCTAAAGACTGTAATATGCATTCCTCACTTACCAATATCCAGCACTAGTTGATTATTCTGCCCTTGTCCTTGACAACGTGACGACTTTGGAACACTTCAGCCTCACTTACCTCCCCCTCCAAATGTGTCATTTTCCTCCTGTCTGAAGGAGGAACACCCTTGAGAGTTTTCCTTCAGTGCGATTCTGCTGGGGACAAGTTCTCTCAGCTGCGTGTCTGTGTCTGAAAATGGATGTTTAATCTCCGTTCTTAGCGCACTTGTTGTCTGAGACCTGAATTCCACGTTGGCAATTATTTTCCTTCAGCGCCTCACAGGTGGCATTGGGCACATGTCTCTAGTGTCTTTTCCTGTCGTTTCTGTTTTGAAGTCCTTGTCAAGCCTAACTAATATACCTTTGCATAATCTCTGGGGTTTTTTTTCTTGGGCTGCTTTCAAGATTTTCTCTTCCCTTGATTTCGAGCAGTTTTATTATGATTTTTCTATGTATGGATTTGTTTTTACTTACTGTGTTGGAGTTCACAGGGCTCCCTGGGCCTTTGGCTTGGTGCTCTGCCTCCGCTCTGCCCTCGGGCCGTAAAAGGCAAAGGCTCCGAGGAGCTGCTCCCGAAGGCCTACCCAGGGGACTTACAGGGTTACATGTGTGATCAATGGGAATGGTGAAAATGATGGCTATAATTTCTCGTGTATTTTGCCAAACATTTCATCTCTTTTCCTCCTCACAAGAGCTCTACCTAGAAACTGTCCTTTTCACTTTTCAGATGAGGGAATCAAGGCTTAGTAGCCCAAAGCCAGAATATTTCTGTCCCTGTTGTATCAGAACAGTACCATGAAGAATGTTCTGGAAGGAAATGAAAACAGAGGCGAGGAGGCCAGTTGCCACAGGCCGAAGGTTCTCAGTGCCTGGCCAGGGTCTTGCGCAGGGCGGGAGTGGAGAAGCAGGCTGGCGTGAGGGGGTCGGAGCGGTGGGCTCGGAGACCTCCGGCCGCGAGAGCCGGAGAAGGGGGCCGCTGGGGGTGGGGGCCGGGGGCTGTTCTTTACAGAGGGGGGTGTAGATAAGGGCAGAGTTTAGGGTTGGATTTCGCTTTTGAAGAGTGTAGAGAAGTCTGCAGAAAGAGGAGTCAGAGTGCATTTAGATCTGGGAGGCTTGTTTATGGCAGAAACTCGGCCCAGAGAGGTCAGATGGCTTTTCCAAGACAACAGGCCCATTGGAGGCTTCCATGCTGCCCGGAAGTGAGCTGTGAAGGGTTTGTCTGGGTCTTTTATTACATCTGTGTAACCTTCCCCCCTGCAGCTCCCTAATTAATAGCTTGTGAAGTTATTTTAATATAAAATCCTTTCATTTATGTAGGAGAGTTTGCCCCATTTCCTGATAATGCCAGAGCCCTGGGCTCAGACATGGTGCCAAAATGTCTCTTGTTGAGAAATGAATCGAGCAGCTGCAGGGTCCCATGATGGCCAGCAGAGGGCAGCAGCGAGCACCCCCAGCTCACTGTTCCCCAAACAAGGGGGAAGACATCCACACGCTTCCGGCTTTTAGCGCCTTCCCGCAGAGGCTGTGATTCATAGCTTAGCAAGCCTCCCAGAGTGGCTTAAGTACTCGAGCCCCGTAAGAAGTACTGCACTAGTCTAACCATCGTGAGTCTCTACAATATCTCTATGAGGCAGTGCTAGTATCATCATTCCCGCGGGACAGATGGGAACACTGAGTCACAGAACAGGGAAATAACTTTCCCGGGGTCATAGGGCTTGTTAAGGACCGAACTGGATTGGAGTCTGCGGTCGGGCAAACACAGGGGAGCCCAGGATGCAGTGCTTGGCCCTCTGCCCTGGGAGCCGGATCCCCGCGCGGCCGCCTACACCCCGTGCACGCCTGTGACCCCTGCCACTGGGGCCGCAGCTGTCCCTGCCCCTCGGGGACTCCCCCGAGGCCATTAGACCTCCTGGAGGGATTTCCCCAGAGTGCCTTACGGTCGCATTAGCAGCAAGCGCCTGCTTTCATCGCCCTTTCAGGTTGAAGAGAAGCTGCAGGAGGATTCCAGAAGGAAATTGCTTCAGTTACAAGAGATGGGGAACAGAGAGAACCTCATTAAAGTCAATTTGGAAAGGGCAGTAGGTCAGGTAGGCGACCGTGCTCCAGAGCCCCCTTCGTCAGCCCACGGTCCCCGAGGACGCTCCACGCCCAGGTGGCTGGCGGGGGCACACAAGGAGGACAAGAGCTGCGGTCGGATTCTCCCAGCTGTGTCATGGGCAGGAGCTTTGCGTGGCTCCTGCGCCCCAGCAGATGTCCCTGAAGGGCCCTTCCCTGCGGGGGAGCTGCCACTCCGGTGGTCCGCCATTGCCCGGGACCCTGACCGGGCAGCCCCTCCCCAATCCCTGCCCCAGTCACCCAGCCCTGCTGTTACTTCTGGGGGGGGGTTGCGCCTCTTGACCCCAGTGGTGTTTCTAGCACTTTCTCCCTGTCATTTTTCATCCTGACATTTACCGCTGCCTCCCCTCCTCGGGGCCCCAGCAGATGCCCCGTCAGTGTCCATAAGGAAATGCCGCTTTTCTTTCCTTTTTTTGTTTTTAAAGATTTTATGTATTTATTTTTAGAGAGAGGGGAAGGGAGGGAGAAAGAAAGGGAGAGACACATTGATGTGCAAGAGATACATCGATCAGTTGCCTCTCAACTGGGGACCTGGCCCACAACCCAGGCATGTGCCCTGACTGGGAATCGAACAGTGACCTTTCAGTCCATAGACCGACACTCAATCCACTCAGCCTCACCAGCCCGGGCAAAATACCACTTTTCTTAAGAAAGTAAAACCCCAGAATGTCAAAGCTCATGAAAGATGGGGAATCTCTGGGCAGGGAGGTGGGCAGGCCTGGCCCGGCTGCTCTGGGGCACCATGTGTCTAATGCTCTGACCCAGGACGGCCCAGGCTCTCCCCCTCCACCGCCCCCCCCCACACACACACACACACACACACACGGCACAGACTTAAGGGCCAGAATATGCAAATGAGACGTCACCAAAGGCTCAGGGAGAGCAAATGGAAGCCAGGATAGGGGCACGGACCCTCCAGAACATGGCCTGCCATGGGCAGCCTGCCTTGGGCTCCTCCTCAAGGAGCCCCTCCTGGCAACCACAGATCCAGGGTGTCCGAGAACGTTTAGCATGTACGTGTGTTTGTGCTTTTTACGTTTTCCTGGGAAGGCGGATCCAGCAGGCGACTATGTGGATTCTCAGAAGAATCTGTGAACCACAAAAAAAAGGCTAAGAACTACATTCCTCAGGGTCCATCCATCCCACCCAGCCCAGTCCCCAAAGCCCTGCCACTCGGTAGTGTCCGAGCCTGACCCAGCAGAGTGGCTGATCTTCATCACGGGCACACACGGGTTAAATAACAATGCTGATATTGGGCGGATTTTAAGGCTCCATCAACAGACGTCCACCGCCAGCAACCCAGGGTTGTTTCCCCTACAGGGAGCCAGCCCCTTGGCAAGGGCGAGCTCCTGCCTGCCGGGCTTTCCTTTGCGCACGTGGGCCGCCCCTCACCTTTCCTGCACCCCGCACTCCCTGGCACACACCTGATTTGAGGGCATCACCTGTGCCGCTTGCCCGAGAGCCAAGGTCCTGGTTATGACTTAGGATCAAGTCATCTTGGAGAGCACCCTCGGAGATACTGAGAGTCCTTCAGGTCTAGACTCGAGAGGTAGAGAGGATGAGGCCCTCTCTGTCCCCAGGCTTTCCGCCCCAGCACCTTGTCGCCACGGTCCTGATCTCTATCTAAGAGTCACCCTTCCCCAGGCAAGTGACCCCAGGGCCGAGCCCATCGTCCAAGAGAACCTGTCCCTCCACCCCTGAGCAGTCTCTCTAGGTCTCTGGGAGTACGGGGGGCCACCGCTCACAGAGCCCGCTGCGCATGACCTGTTCCTCGGACGAGCCAGCACCCCCCCTCAGCTGTGGCACCCCCCTCGGCTTCTGGCCGGCCGACCGCAGGGGTGTCCTCAGGGGCGTCACGACTTCCTGCTCGTTTTCCCAGAACCCCACCGTGTGCAGTGAACTCCGGCATCTCGGGACCACTGACTTTTAAGCTGATTCACTGGCCCTTCAGGTCCCTTCAGGACTTTGGTTTTTTAGAGTCTTTAATGACCATGTGTTGCCAGTGAACCAAAAACCCAGGCCAGGGGCGACCGTGCTAGTAAATTCCCAGATAAATTTGGGCTCCTTTGCCTCTCCCTCCTCAGGGAAACTTGAACTTGCAATTCTATAAGCCCTGATTTAATTTAACTGAGCCACTCCACCAGCCGTATGCTGAAGACACCAGCACCAAGGAGGCACTCAGAGCAGGTGGGGCTGAAGCCCAGGGCTCCGCCTCTGACAGACGTTCCCGTTCACAGGCATTCGGTAAATGTTTATGGAGTGTCTGCTCTGTGCCCGGCACTGTACCAGTCCCTGGGGACACAAAGGGGCATGCCGTGGACGGAGTCTCCAGGACACATGTGGCGTGAGGCGCGACACGGCGGAAGGGGGGGAATTCCCCTGCCTGCTGGCTCCTTTGCTGATTACACGGTCTCCTTGGGCTGACAGCCTCAATATTCCTGTCACCGTCTGGTGCCAGCTTAGCAATTACGGCGGAGCGCCCCCGGCCCCGGGCTTCCCACTGGTTAGTTGGCAGCGAGCGGCTCTTCTGAGGGCTTGAGACATGTGTGCTGGCCACATGCAGCAGCCGGGGCAGGCGGGCAGGCCGAAACAGTAATGACAGACTGCTGTTGCCTTCACTTTCGTGTGCACTGCCCCTTCCAGCGAGGCGTGGAGATTTTAATAACCCGCAACGACCATTAACGGTGCTCAGGTGCTTCTGACCGAGTTCTGCGAGCCTCCTGGTGATGGATGGCAAGGCCACCCCCGGGCTCGCCGGCTCCGGCTGCCCTGCTGACCCGTTCCCTTCGCTTTGTGCCGCAGCTGGAGCACTTCAGGAGTCAAGTCATCCAGGCCACCTATGGGCGAGCGAAGCCATTTCCGGACAAGCCCGTCACCGACCAACAGGTTGGTCCCGCTCGTGCGCTGTCTTCTTTGGGGACCTGGGGCTGCAGACACTGGGAGCATATGTCCCTGCTTTTTGCTGGTGACCCAGGTTTCTCACACTGTTGCTACACCATAAAAATTTGTTTTGATTTTATTGGATTTTTTTTTTTTTTTTTGGCTTTCAAAGTAAAAGCCAGTTAAACTCCCTTGAAATGTTTCTGTGACTATCCAGTTAAATCACTCAGGGTATTTCTGGTCGCCAGACAGGTAAGTGCAACCTTTGTTCACACGGGGAGGAAGGACCGCCTCCCCACGGACGACGTACGCTGGATCCTTCCTTCTGAAGAGGAAGGATGGCCGCGCAGATGCACTTCTGGCTGGAGTGACGGCCACGTTTGTCCTCCAATAATTCTCTCCCACCCTCCGTGTCACATGCCTTTGATGGCCGCAAGACAACCTGACCTCCTCCATGGGCCCCCAGCATTGGGCTGTGTTATGAATCACTCCTCGGAGGCAGGAAAATCTAGAACAAATGGATGGCAACAAGACAGGCCTTGGGATCTTAAAAACCATCTGCAATCCCGGGACACATGTCCTGGTGCCAGAGCTTATGGCCTCCTCCATCCAGGGCCACGCCAAAACCCACCAGGACCGCCTTCCTCAGCAGAGACAGGATGACGGTGCCCGGCTACTCCTCCCAGAGCCACCCTGTATTTTAAATCTTTTTTTTCCTCTTTATCACCAGTTACTAGAGAAGATCACCCAGGTCACCGAGGACAGCATCAGCTTCCAGCAGCGAAAACGGAGCCTGCAGGCGGAGGTGCAGCTCAGCAGTTGCAAGCAGGAGGAAATCACGGAGAACGTCGAGAAGCTGAAGGCGTCTCTAGACAGCTGCCAGGTGGCCCCTCTCTGCTTTTCACACCTGTCCCCTTTGTCTAAATTTGTGCTGCTTGTTCGGGAAACGGGCCAGCCTTCGCGGAGCAGGCTAGGCAGAAGTGCTCTCCATCTTTGCATACCTTTCTCTTGTCCGAGGAGCTTCTTTGAGCGCTGAAAGTGAAGGACCTCAAAAACTGCCCCCAGGTGAAGTTGGTGTGGCCTCAGGAGAGGTGCCTAAATCACTGCACCTACTGGCCTAGGAGGCCACGGCCTCCAGGGGCGGGAGGAGCCCTGTGTTGTTTCCAGAGAAGCCAAGGAAACACCCCTGCTCTTTACTGCGTTTTCTCCTTGGCTCAGCCACGGAAGGGCTGTCTTTGGCTGTGATGGAGACAGGACCAGGGGGCCTGGCCGAGCCCCCGCGGCCCCCGCGGCCCCCACCCTGCCTATGAGAGCAGGCAGCTGCTCCTGCTTCTCTGGAAATCAGCAGCTACTATTTGGGGAGTTTTTGCAAATGTTGGCTTGTCAGCTCTTTCAAATCAGGAAACCACACTTTCTGACCAGCCTGTGTGTTGATGTCAGCAGGAATTTCGACAAATAAAAATAGCCAAATTCGGTTCTCATTTCAGCCAATTGTCCTGGCCAATCTGGCTTTGAAATGGAACAGGCGTCCTCGGGGCCTCTGACCACCAAAAACCCAAGTTAAGGTGCAAAAAAAATAAAAGCTTCCTCCCAGCTCCCCCCCCCCCCCCCGCCATTAAAATAAAAGCAAAGAAAACCGACAGGGCCACCCCAGTGCAGCTGGCTGACATGTGGCCCTGCTAGCTTCATGGCAAAGTCAAGAACGTTGTTCTTCACGGGACACGTCAGGCGCTATTTGCGGCAACAGTGGCGTGCCCTCATGGTCTCATCTCCTTCCAGGCCTGCATGAAAATGCCTTGCTGTAGCGAGGACCTGAAGAAGGAGGTGGACCGCCTCCACTGCCTTCAGGTGAGCCCGCCGATTTCCGGGCTCCAGAAGGTGGCGCTGGACATCCTGCGCCTGCTGCAGTCTTGGCTGGAGGAAGCCGAGCGTCTCCTCCGTGACGTCGGGATCCAGCTATCCAACTCCGACAAAGGTTACTGGAACTTTTTTTCTCACATAGCTGCATGGCTCTAAAATGTCGCGTTGACTCTTATCACGGTGGGACATCTGTTCAGGAAGGCTCCTTAGGCGGGCAGCCAGGTGTGCCCTTCTCTCGACTTTCTTCATTCACCCCCTGGAGAAGTGCTTTTCCTTGGAGAAAACACATGAGACAGGATCCCTGAAGGGAAACGAGATGTGACAGAGGCCAAAGGAAAATTAAATCAAAGTCGTACTCAATCTTATCTCTCAGCAGTAACTGCTGTTGTATATATATTTTTTATAGGCTTTTTCAGCACAGTTTTCAGTTCACTACAAAATTAAGGGGAAAGTACAGAGACTTCCCATCTGCCCTCTGCCTCTACACAGGCACCAGAGTGGTACGTTTATTGCAACTGACAAACCTACAGAGGCACCTCATTATTGTCCAGGGTCCGTAGCTGACCTTAGGGTTCACACTTGGTGTTAGATGTTCCGTGGGTTTGCTCAACTTTATAATGACATGTATCTGCCATTACATATTCTACAGAGTATTTCCACTGCCCTAAAAACCCTCTTTGCTCTGCCTCTGTGTTCGCCCCTCCCCTGCCCCAGCCCCTGGCAGCCACTGATCTTTTCATTGTCTCCATAGTTTTGCCTTTTCCAGAATGTCGCAGAGTTGTAATTGTATAGTATATATGCAGCATGTTCCGATTGGCTTCTTCCACTTAGTAGTCAACATTTACATTCCCTCCGCGGCTTTTCAAGGCTTGAGAGCTCACACCTCCTTAGTGCTGAGTAATGAATACTCCGCTGTCCGGGAGCACCACGGCGTGTTCATTCTCTCACTGAAGGAGGTTCCGGTTGCCAGTTTTAGCGGTTAGGAATAGCTGCCCTGAACATCCACGCACAGGCTGCTGTGCAAAATAACCTTTCAGCTCCTTGAGGGAACTGTCAAGGAGTGTGGTTACTGGGTCATGTGGTAAGAGCATATTCAGTTTTCAAAGAAACCACCAAGCTGTCTTCCAAAGCATCTGTTTCATTTTGCATTTCCACCCACAATGAATGAGAGTTGCCATTCCTCCACACCCTCGCCGGCATTTGATATTGTCCCTACTATTATATTCCGTATGTGACTCCCAAGGCATTTTTCCCATGGAAATAGCTGTGTAATCCTAGGCAAGTCACTTACCCTATGTCTCAGTTTCCTTGCCAGCAAATGGGAATAATAAGGATCACTCATCCTTCCAACTGTAGGGTTGTTGTGAGTTTTGAAATGCAGAGATGCATATAAAGTACCTGGCGTAGAACAGGCACTAGCCCTATGTTTGTTGATTCTTTAATTTTACAAAAGATAGTGTTATACCCTTTCTCTTTCATCTTCTTCCCAGTGGTACCCCAGGAACACCCTTCTCTGTCAGTGCACACCGATCTGCGTCATCCTTGTTACTGATGGTCAGGAATCCTGTTGTGTACAATGATCATAGTGTACTTTGCCAGTCCCCTATCATGGGCGTTTAAGTTGCTTCTAGTTTTCCACACTTATAGATAGTGCTGAAATAAACATTCTTGCACAGTCTTGTACCTGTGCACCTTACCTTTAACATCCTAGACATGGAAGGGCATGGACCACTTCCACTCAGCAAAGATTGATTGCAGGCCCCCCAGACACCAGGCCCCATGCACGGCAGAGATATGATGGGTCCAGAAACCAGCAGAATCCAGATTGTGGGGTGTTTCGGTGTTGGCTGCAAAATTCCTCTCACTTCACATTTAAAATTTTGTATAATAAAATATTGAGGAGGAAAAGCAGGCACTATTCCTGCCCTTGTAGATCTTGTGGTCTTGGGGAGGCATAGGGTGGGCATTAATCGAAAAATCACTCACATAGAATTTCAATGGTGACGATTGCTACAAACAAGCAGTGCAGGACTCAGACCTGGTTGGGGGAGGGGCAGGATGCATAGGAGTTCTTTGCCAAAAAGGGGAGGGGGACAAAGCAGCACCCTGGGTAAAAGGAGCAGGGTGCGGGGTGCATGGAAGACACAAAGGGCTGAATTTAGAAATAGGCGTGGGGGCGGGGTGGAGCCTGCAAGGGAGGTCAGCAGGGGCTGTGTCACGTGGGGGCTTACAGGGCCCTGATAAGAAGCTCTGCTTTATCCTAAGAGCAGCTCACGAAACGGTTTAAGTAAAGAACCGATGGAGCAGGTTTGCTCTTGGAGAGAGTCATGTTGGCCATGAGTGGAAAATACACTGGAAGGCGGCCAGCATGGAACACCAGGCAGGAGCTGTCACAGGCGATGACAGTGGCTAGCACTAGAACAGGGGTGCGGATGGAGAAAGGGAGAAGATTCCCAAGGCATTTAAGAGGCATAGCAACAGGACTCAGCGGGGATTGGATCCCAGGGGAAGAAAAGGGACTGAGGGAAAGGGGTCGACAGACATCCAGGTTTCTGGCCGCAAAAGGACAGGCGCAGTTCCTTCACCGAAGTCCAGACCAAGGAATGCTGCATGAGGGCCGGTTTGAGGGCAAGGATGCGTGCGAGGTGCCCGTGAGACACCCAAGATGAGGTGCCAAGGATGCAGCTGTCACCCTGGATGTCTATCCTGGAAATAGACATTAGTGATGTAACCCAGAACCCAGAAGAACATGTGCCACACAGTGGGTGCCTACCATCTGTGGGATGGATGATGGATCGGTGGATGGATGGATGGGTGGATTGTCAAAGCCGTATGTGTGATAGCATCAGGAAGAAACTACTGAGAGAGAAGGGAGAGCCCAGGGCCACACCTTAAGAAGCTCTAGCACTTTGAGGACTGTTGACGCTCCTTGCCAAATTGCCCTTCATTGAGGCTGCCTGGATTTCACATTTCTACAGCAATGAATGACAACAGAGGAGTGATTTTTCAACTCGGATGATGCTACACCCTCAGTCAGGATGTCTCCAAAGTAATCTAGAAGGTGGTATAATGTTCTTCCCCCCCAAAAAAGGGAGAAAACAAAATTAACTTTTATATCAACACCTATATGTAACATAGAAGAGAAGGGGCTGGTTTTCTCCCAACACCTCAGTGGCCCTCCAGTCCCAGCTTTACTGTGGTTGCAGCCATGGCAGGGTCCTGAGGGTACGTGAAATCGGGGGACTCGTGACCACACTTCTAGCTGTTCCTAAGATTTGAACTAAAATAGAGACAGACCATGATCCAGAGTCATAGTGGGGAAAAGCTCTGTGTGGCCTGTCCCCTCCCCAATCCCAAGATATTTTAGTCATTGTAGCCCATGTCCAAATCGAGTCCTATGTTACCATAAAGAAATGCAGATTGTAAAGTTAAGCCACCGGGCCGGCAATTCCAGGAAGACTCATTTTAGGCAGCATTTCACAGACCCGCCTCCTTCACAGCGCTAGGAGGCCCGAGCAACGTTGAGCAGGCCTCTGCAGGCCCCTTCGGTACCAAGGCGCACAGCGGGCTGTAAGGACGGGATAAAGAATGGCACTCCCAAAGTACGTTCCTCCTTCCTTGACGCCCCTCCCCCAACCAACACCTCCAGGAACGATGCTCCAGGGAACACGTGTTGGGAAACACAGACTGTGCGCTGGGATTACGGCTACTTTGCTCTAAGAAGGCAGAGAGGCAGCACAGAGGGTCATGGCAAGAAGGTCAGTGAGCAGGGCCCATCCTTCACCCATCCATCAGGACCGGAAGTTGGTGGTAAAAGGCATTTATCGTTCAGTACAAGCAATAGTACGGCAACGTCCTACCAGACTGGAAAAAAAGAGAGAGAGAGATAAGCTAGGGTATTTCCATATATTCTCTGCATTAAGTGCTACTGCACCAAACTCCTAACCCAGAGCCTTCTACACAAGGCTGACGGTGGTGGTGATGATGATGATGATGATGGGGAGGACGGGGAGGAGGACGATGGTGACGGGCATGGTGGTCACGACGGTGGTCATCATTCCTTACCAAGCGCTTACATTCCAAGGATTCTTCTAAGCATTTTCCATACATTGTCTCATTTCATCCCCACAATAATTCTATGAGGCAGGTACTATATTCTCATTTTAGAAATGAAGAAACTGGCTCAAGAGATGCTTTATTAGTGTTTTGCCGTGATGGGGTGACTCCGGTACTTTCCATTACCGAGGCCAGCAGGGGTCCCCGGTCATCCCGTACCCCCCACAGGCGCTCCTAGGAGCTGCCTGTGCGTACAGTTCCTGAGACGCGCAGCAGCCGCAGACTGCCGAGCTCCTACTTGGTACGAATAGCTGAGTTGTTTTGCAAGCCTTACATACTTTTGTCCTCCCACAGCCCAATGACCTAGAGACTGTTACTGCCTTTATTTTGCAGGTAAGGAAACTGAGTTTCAATGACACTAGGAAACTTGCTCAAGGCCACACAGCTGGTGCATGATATGGTCAGGACTCCCCACTGAAGTCATTGCGATCCTGAAGCCTGTGTTTTTTCTGGGACCCCACACTCCCTCTGAGGGATCCAGAGGGGCCCCAGGTACACGCCCAGTTCTAGATGGCAGGTTCCGTCATCAGCTTGGGCAGAGACAGAGCTAAGTGTGTTCGTTCCCACCCTGAGCCACGCCCCAGGAAGCCCCGTTGGTGTCTGCGTCTGCCTCTGGGCCAGGCAGACGCTCCCGAACCTGGGCCTTGGAAACCAGCCAAGCTCTGCCTCTTGCCTGCGCGCCTTCTAGTTGTGTGAGAAAGTTGCTCAGCTTCTCTATGCCTCTGTTTACTTCTTTATAAAATGGGGCCAAATTCTCCTAAGGCTGTAGTGAGGATAAAATGACATGTGAACACACCAGTCGCAGAGCCTGGGTCGCAGAGCCTTCATGAATGTGGTCTGCCATCATCATCAGCCTCCAGTACGTGTCATTTAACGTGGCCTAAATGTGGGTGGCAGCCAGAGCCCTTCCCTGGCCACTTTCCTGGAGCCATGACAATGGGACGTGTATCCCAGCTGCCAACTGGTAAAGCAGGGACTCAATCCAGGTCTCTCTGTTCTCAAAGCCCCTGCCCTTAGTCACATACTACCTGCCTTTCAGAATATTGTCCTAGGAGATAAAACATACCTAACAAGCTAGGTTTGTAAATCCTGAAGTAAGTTCCCCAGGGGACTCCAGGTCCAGTAAACAGAGAAGCCGCTTGCGCTGTTTGGCTAGGTCAGGAGAGGCCCAGAGCTTGGAATTGCTACTAAAAGGTTTGATTGGTGAAGGATTAGCTGTGTGGTCCAGCCTGAAAGATAGGAAACATCTAAGGAAGAACCTTGAAACTGAGTTCCCCGAGCCTCCCGCCTGGTTTCTCGGCTCCTTTTGATAAAGGAAAGAGCGGACTCTACATTTTTTTCTTTTGCAAGCTCAGTTTTTGTGTCTATTTCTGTTAGACTTTGTCACAAACAGAAGGCTTCCCTACATATGTAGAAAATCGCTCTTACTCTGACATCCCAGATATGCAGTGTTTTTAAGGACAAAAAAGCAAGTCTTAATTCAATGTGCACAGTGTACTCCCATTTTTGTTTTTTAATGGTGTTAGTACGTGATCAAAAGAAAACTCTGGAGAAAAGACATAAACCTATTGAGAGTATTATCCCAGCGTCTAGGGCCTTCACTTTCACTCATTCGTTCCACAGCTATTTATTGCGGCCTTACTGTGTGCTGGCCACTGAAGATACAGCAGTGAACACTTTTTACAATGCAGGTTTCTGCAATGTTTGAATTTTTGTAATAGGCACATGAAACTTTTGTAACCCAAAATATAAGATAGAATGCTCCTTCTCCGAAGGAGAGAAATTTCATTATGATTACTGTTCAACGTTGAATCTAGAAGCATAGTCACTCATTCTCTCTTCCTCTTCAATATCCTTGACTCCCTGTCCCTAACCTTCTCTAGATCCTTCCCCTTGGGTTCCTGGGTCCCAGGTTGCATCTGAGGCCAATCCCAAACCCTTCCCAATTCAGCCACTGCAAATCCAGGCTCCTGCCAGGTTCTTACAGCCCAAGCCAACAACCCCCCAACCCCGGACATCTCGCCTCCCTGCCAACTTGGAGCCACCCAACGCACCTGTCCCCATGCACACTCCACATGAGCCAACCCAACCCTTTACTCTGGAGCCTCCAGCCTCTTTTAAAAGAGAAGGGCAGACCTAGGTCTGAATTCTGATCCTACCACTGACCAGACCTGTAATCCAACCTTGCCGAATGTCTGTTGTCTCACCTATGAAGACAAACACATTTCCTTGCTGGGTTGTTTATGATGGTGAGAAAGTATCATGTATAAACTCTTGGCTGGGTGCCTGGTACACAGCAGGTGCTTAATACTTGATAGCTATCATGATATTATTCTCACTCTTCCGTGATGGAAATTCTCAGAAGGTTGCATGGGCGGAGAGTGGGGCCTGGGCACAAGCACGTTCAGCTCCCCGCCTCTCTCCCTCCGCACCCACATTTCCTCCCCTTGCTCCATCTTCCCCACTGTGTTCTCCTTCCCTGTGTCTCCCCTCCCCGCTCCCTCCCAGAGAACAGTGCACAGGGTCCTGAACGAGGATCTCCGTCTGCAGGGCCTTCAGCCTTTCTCTCTCTACTCCTTCTCTTTACAATCAGACAGGCACTTCAGGATGGTAATTTTTCACGGGAACCCACTGCTGCTTCCGCTCGTTTTCTGCTATCTGCCTCCTCTCTCCCTGATGACCTTGAAGGAGTGTGGTACACCCTGTCTTACTGCCATCGTCCTACTTTGTCTTTGCCTCTCTGCTTTGCCCCTGCTGGGTAACCGGCACAGAGCCATCCTGCGCGGGCCGGCCCACCCTCTCTCCCGGCCTCTGTGCCCTCTGGCCTACCCGGCACCCTTGGTTCTCTGTCTCGACACCCTTTCACCCCTGGGCCCTCTGGGCCTGGCACACCCTGCCGCTCTCCTGAGGGTCTTCATGTGTCCTCGGCTGCCCCTTCCTCCAGTTCTTTCCCTACCTGAGTGTTTGCTCCAATGCAGCCCGTGGTCCTCCTGTCTCATCTCCCTTCTCACAAAGTGATTCTCCACTCCATGCACTTCAACAGCCACGCCCACTCAGTGCCGGCAAGTGGCCAGGCTGCTAGGAACAGTAGTACAGGTTGGTACCACCTAAGGGAGCCCTGCCCAGGTAGCAGGTGGAGCCCCGGGCTGGGGCCATGTCCCCCAGGAAGAAGGGCACTCTTCCCCAATTCACACAATGACCCTGGATGAGCTGGGCTGGTCTTACCCACCGAGCATGCCCCGCTCTCTGCTGACCACCTCTCCTTAGAGACCTTCTAGCACCCCAAACGCAATATGTCTAACACTGAGCTCCCCTCTCCCCAGCCCCCCACATCAGCTCAACCTGCCTCCTCCTCTGTCTCACAATGGGACCAGTATTCTACTCCTACAAAAGGCTTTCTCTCTCTCATTCTCTCTTCATATACCTGTTTCTCTCACCCTGGTTTAGAACATCAGCACCGAAGACCTGGGCATGCGTGGGGCCCTTAGCGAGTACCCGGCCTCTAACTCAGAGGAGGGTATTTCACCACAAGGAGACACCTGCAATGTCTGGAGACATTTTTTATCACCACTACTAGGGCGGGGGTGCTCCTGGCCTCTGGTGAGAAGAAGCCAGGACGCTGCTGACCATCCTACGGTGCACGGGATGGCCCCACAACAACCAATTGTCTAGCCTAACGTGTCAATAGTGCCGTGGTTAAGGAACCCTGCCAGCTCCTTCCTCTCTAATGCATCCCAGTTATTTTCCCAGGGGAGAAAACGCTCTCCATCAAGCCCAGTCACTACTCCACCCGCAGCTGAAGTAACAGGGACTCAGAGCATGGAGTCACACCCTCCTGGGCCCAAGTCCGGGCTCCGCCACTGGCCAGCGGTGTGGCGTTCATCAGCCGCGATGCCACTCAGCCCGGCACACCCTCCATCCTGAATTCTGCCCGCGTCCAGTGGCTCCCGGCCAAGGAGCCTTCTCTGATCTCTCCTCTGCTGAGACCCTCACACTCCCCGCTGCACCGCCTTCATCTGTACAATGGGGCGATGAGCAGATGACACAGTAGGGCCATGTGTGGATGGCCTAACGGAGCACCAGGCACACAGGACACGCTCGGTGCATTTCAATGATGTCTGAAAAAATCAAGTTTACACATTTTACGCTGCCGCTCCAGGCCTGCCACGCAGTGACCTCAGCCTTCCCGTCCACCCCCGCCCCCCGATCATCTGCTGCAGCCCAGTTCAGCTCAGCCCTGGCCCGGACATGCTCTGCGTCCCCCACGCCCCACCTGCCTTCGTGCCCCTTCTGGCTTTCCCATGGCTGCTGTAACCAGTTACCACCAACTCAGTGGCTTAACACGGCATGTATTTATCCCCTCATAGTTCTGGAGGCCAGAAGTCCAAACTCAGTTTCACTGGGCTGGAGGCTCCAGGAAGGGATCTGCTTCCTTGCCCTTTTCGGTCTCCAGAGCTTTGTTCTCTTCTCCTCTGGGCTCGCGGTCCTCCCTCCTCGCAGCCAGACACGTAGCATCTTCAAGTCTCTCTGCTTCTGTCCTATCACCTTCTCTTTGTCTGGAGGCAGAGCTCCCACTTCCTCCCTCTTATAAGAACCCATGCGTTTGTACCAGGTCGATCCCAGTAATCCAGGACGATCCCACCCCATCACCTCGGGACCCTTAGCTCCGCCTCATTTGCACAGTGCCTTCTGCCCTGGAAGGCAACATTCGCAGGCCGCAGGGATCGGGACCTGGTGTCTCTCCGGCCGCCGCTCAGCCCAGCACATTCTTCATTCTGAATTCTGCCCGCACCCAGTGGCTCCCGGCCAAGGAGCCTTCTCTGATCTCTCCTCTGCTGAGACTCTCACACTCCTCCCCCCACCGCCTTCAGCAGTCGCTGACGTGCTGTCTGGAGGCTCCGCGTGTCCCCTTTCAGGCATTTAGACCTTGTCTCTCAGGCTGAACCGTAAGCTTCTTATCATCGCCCCATACTCAGCTCACAGCTCTGCGCACAGTGGATACTCAGTCAATAGGTGTTCTGTTGATGTTCTGTTTTTTTTTATCTTCCACCTCCCAAAGGAGACTGGGCTTTGAGCCTAACCAAGCTGATCAGCCATTTTAAAAGCACAAGTTTGGGTGGCAACTCACATTTTCCTGATGGGGGAGGGCAGCGTTACCCCCGTTCACCAGTTGGCCAGCTCCGTAAAACATCATTTGGAAAGCAAAGGAGGTGAATTGAATAGATACCTAACAATCTCCTTGCTTCTTTTTTTTTTCAAGGATTGCCTTTGTATCTGAAATATCTTCTGGAACATTACCAAAAAATCACACTTCGGACCCAGGAACTTCAGGTAATCTTTTAGCATTTGGAAAGTTCAGCTTGGCACCCCCTGAGCATTTACACAGCATTTTAACCCCGTTCTCTCTGTGAGCTGGTCAGTCCACGTCCTCCAAGAGGGGAAGTGAGATCTCCATTTGCACGTGAAGAGATTCAGACAGAGTGGTTGGGATCACCCAGGAGAGCAAGGGCAGGTGCTTGTTTCCCTCTAGCAAAAACCAGAAAGGCTTAGGTGATCTTGAAAATTGTATTTAAATGCAGAGGAAGAAGTATAGCTGGCCAGAGTCCAGGTAGCAGAATTACCAAAAGTTACATAACGTCAACAAATGTTTTAGGGGCAAAATGATCCTTAGGGATTGTATCATCCGGGTAGTTGTTGCCATAATAATGCCGTGTAATGAACACCCACAAAGCCTTAGCGGCATTCCCCCATCACTGCTCACTGCCTGGAGTCTGCCGCTAGGGAGATCCGCTGATCTTGGGTGGGCTTGCTCGCGTGTCTGTGTGCTGGTTGATCTTGGCTGGCCTCCGCGGCAGCAGCTCTGCTCCTCTCAGTGTATTCGATCCGCCAGCAGGCCAGCCCGAGCGCACTTTCATGGTTAGCAGAAGCAGAGAGAAAGCAGGACCAACCATGGAGTGCTTTGTAATCATCCCCTGTTTGTGTTATGTCTGTAACATCCCATTGGCCAAAGCAAGTCACATGACCGAGCTCAATGTCAGGGGGCAGGATAGAGTGGGCACTGAAGGTTTCATAGCCCAAGACACAGAAGGGTGGAGCATTGGGACCACCACTGTGGTCAGGCGCAGAGACCACCTAGTCCGGGGGTTAGCAAACGTTTTCTGTAAAGGGCCAGAGAGTAAATATGGCTTTGCGGACGACTTTGCAGATGGCTTGGCAGGTCATACCATCTCTGTCACACCCACTTGACTCTGCTGCTGTAGAGCAACAAAAGAAGCCGTAGAAAACACAGAAATGAATGAGCATCATGGGCATGGCCCTGTTCCAATAAAACTTTATTTACAGAAACAGGTGGTGGGCCAGATTTGGCCTGCAGACAGTAGCTCGTCTGCCCTGATCCAGTCCATTCTCTTTATTTTACAAATATGGACACGAAGTTCAGAGGCTAGGTGACTATTTCAGCGTCACACAGCTAGTTGGGGGAAGAGTCAAGACAAGAGCTCAGGCCTTCTGACCCTAGCTCACCGCTTTTTCTCTTATACTCAGCAAATAACAACTAATGATTATAGCTACCATTTACTGTGCACCTACTGTGTGCTTAAAGCTTTCCATCATTATCTCATTTAATCCTTAAAACTCTAAGAGGTAGATTGTATTATTAACCTCACCTTCTAAATGAAGAAGCATCTAGAAAAAACTAGAGCTAAGATTCTATTTAGATTCAGAGTCTTAGCTCTTAACCATTAGAGTGCTTTCTTACTAGTAGCCAGGCTAAGTAAGCATGGGTTTTCTGTTTTTAAGAAAGTTTTGTATTAACCTTTGTCCTTCCCACTGTCAACGTAAGAAACTTCGAACCCTGTAAGAGTTTTTATTAGTTTATTTGAGCCAAACTGACAACAATTGCTGGGAAGTAAAATCTCAAAGGATTGAGAAAATGCTCCAGAGAATGGTAGTTTTACCAGTTATTGTATATACCAGAGTCAAAGAGGAAGACAAAAGGGGTCACATGAAATCCACTGGTGATGGATCAGGGAGATGGGAGAAAGCAAAGCAGGGAAATCCCTGGGACCGGATAAAAGGTAAAAGGAATAGACACAGTTTTCCCTTACAAAGGTGGGTATAAGATAGTTGACAATTAACATAATAACAAGGAGGGGATCCCTGGGGGGAGATTATGCCCTGAAGGGTCAGGAAAAAGAGATTACTCAGACATTCCCAACAGACATGATCTTAGATGCAAAAAGACCACAGACAGGCTCAGTTAAGGAGAAGAATGACCTTTGTTAGGGAAAAACACTGGCCTAAAACAGGACTGCCTGCCAGGACCTGCTTTTAGGTGGAAAGTGTTCATTGCAGACCATCCTCTGTGCTTACTGTAGGTCTCTGAGTTTGTAAGGCCACCACGCAGTCCTCCCCTGCGCTTGTCACGTTTAGTATGTAGCCCTTTTCCACCCACACCGTCAAGGTAAACAACTTACTAAAACGTGTTGAAGTGACTCCTGTCCTTAGTCCTGTCCCCTGTCAGCCTCAGTGTCCTTTCCTCTCATTTCAGATCAAGGTCAGCAGTTCTCAGGAAACTCAGAAGTCTTTGCTGCAAGAAAAGCTGCGGGAGCATCTGGCAGAGAAGGAGAAGCTGAACGAGGAAAGGCTACAGCAAGAGGAGAAGCTGAAAGCCAGAGTGAAGTGGCTGATAGAAGAAAAGACGGTAAAGTCCCTGTCATTTTCTGTACTCCTGAAAGCTGACGAAATGGCCTTTTCTTTGAGAAATTAAGAGCATATACTCAGATAGAGAAATCTCAGCAACTCCTCATTTGGTATTTGGAACTAAATTATTTAAACACATGAATGATGTTGGAGGAATTAACATGGAGCTTGAATTCTAAAACTCAGAGCAAAATCAACTGGAAAAGGAAAGGTTATTCAAATTTCTGAAACTGGTAGTGTTGTCCGTGGAAAGTAGGCTCTCCCGTGGCCCTGCAAGGAAAGCGGTCCAAGGACCCACACGTGGGAGATTGTGACAGCGAGGTTTATTTGGGTGAAAATCTGCCCCTGGGTTTCCAATGTCCCACCTCCATCTGTCCTGCCCTGGAAAAAGTCCAACCTTGTTCTCAGCAAGGCCAAAGCAAAGGCCAGTGTCCAGAGTTTCTGCTTCATATTAAAGCTTAGTCCTTTGGAGGCCGCACCCTCTGTTGTGGGTCCCAGTTGCTGCTGGGCCCGCGTGGTTGCGTGCTCCCAGGCAAGAGAGAGTGTGCAAACCCAGACAGAGAGTGCGGGTCACTGGGAGAGGGAGGGAGAGAGAAGGATGGGGGGGGAGGGAGAGAGAGAGAGAGAGAGAGAGAGAGAGAGAGAGAGAGAGAGAGAGAGAGAGAGAGAGAGAGATTGGGAGATCTTCTTTTTCCCCTGGGCTTATAACCAGGAGCTTTTTCAAATAACCGGTCAGCTTTGCAAGATTTTGCGGGTTTATGATAGATCCGCCCCCTAGTTAGACTGACAGGCCTCTATGGGCAAGCACCTCCCCCTGCACCCCCACCAAGTGCTCCCGGGAAGATTTCCTGTGTTCTGAGGATTAAGCGGTCCCCTAGAGTGTGTGAATGAGTCTGTAAATGCTCTAGCTTCTTGGCTAAGCAAGCAGGCTTATTATGCTCCCCAGTTTATTAAGCTCAGAGTCTAATTCCCTTTGCTCTATTTAATAACTAGTTAACTACCTACAGTAACGATACCTCATTTGTTTATATACTGCAGTTGATTTTACAAATTCAAGCCATGCACTGGGACCCTGCAGGTCCCAGTTTGTAACTGACAGGCTGTTCCTAAGTGTATGCGAGACCAACTTTATATTATTTCAGTCTTTTGCTTTCTCTTTGTACAGTTTATTTCAGTCTTTTGCTTTTCCTTTACACATGTCAGAGAAAACAAATGGCAAACATTGCTACCCGCTTTTCTAGAAATCAAGCCAATTAGAGGACACAGCTGTGTCCCCTCTCAAGCTTAAAGGTACCTGAGGATCTTGTGAGATGCAGACTCTGACTCAGCAGGTCTGGGGTGGGGCCCGGGGTTCTGCATTTCTAACAAGCTCCCAGCTGTTGCTGATGGTGCAGCCCGCAGACCGCCTTTCAGCAGCACCGCCTCAGAGTAGGGTTTTCCCAAAGCCGCCTGGTAAGAGCCACTGGGACGCTGGTTAAAAACACAGATTCTTGGGCCCCAACCCAGACCCGTGGAATTAGAGTCTCCGCAGAAGGCCAGGAACCAGCATTTAAGAAGCCCGTTCTCATCTCTTTTTGATATCCAGGGCCCACCGTGGATTTAGCCACTTCATGGCCACCCTCTTGGGTCAGTGGCTCCTGACTTTGGCTGCCCTTTTGTCACTCAGGAGATGAAAAAAGAACGTTCTGGCCCCCTCCCCAGGTTCCAATCCCACGGGGTTGAGGGAGGGGCCCAGGCACTAGGACCTGCAAGCCCTCCCGGCACTTCCACCACATCCGCCCCGTCCCCACTCCCCTCAAGAGGGCAGCACCGGATCCGCTGGACCCTGGCCCTTCCCCTGCACGTCCTTTCTTCCTCCCAGGAGGACTGGGCTTGCGCTTCCTCCTGCTTTCACCAGCCGAAGTTCAGTGACTTCTGGCTCCGTCTGTTCTCTGTGACACACATCACCCCCAGACCCCTCCACGAGGCAGGGACCTCTGCCTGTTTCATTTCGTCCTCCAATTCGTGCCCTCAAGAAATCTCTCTCCTCTTTCTATCTCTTCTTCTCTTTTTCTCTGCCTGTCTGCCTTTCATGAAATAAAGGATTGAAAAGGAAGAACGATCTGACCAAAATCACATCTGAGCCGCATCAAGGCAATATTAACGACAGCCTTAAATCAAGGTGCGACCATTTGGAAAGGGCAATGAGATATACAAAAAGCCGGCATCGTTCAACAGAGAGGAAAATAAAACCAGCAAGAGACAAACCTTCACCTTCACAGAACTAACTCTCCACCTGCTTCTTCGCTCCTCCCTGATTAGCTCTGCCCTTTCCGGATGCCTGGTTTTATTTTTAATTGGGGGTTGACTTTCTCCACTGTGGGTGCACAGCACTTCAGCCCCGCCACGTTCCACACCGCCTTGGGCACCAGCCTGGGCCCCCCAGACGCGCACTTATCACATCGATCCTGACAGAGACAGGGCTGCAGGGGGCGGCTGCACACCCCGGTTAGACACAACCAATCTCAGCGCGCCCCACACGCTGCGGAGGGAGAGGCCACCCGGACAGCGACACTGCTCACGTTCACTGCGGTCCCATCAAGGGTCATCATTCCCCAGACACTTAATGGTGATCAGCTTGGCCCCAGGGACGTGTGCAAAAGTGTTGTCCCCCCCGCCTTTAGCACCAGGTGCCCCAATTTTAAATGCACCTTTTCCATACTGTACGGCACCATCACCCCCACCCTCTCTAAAAGTACATGTGTCAAAATTCATTAATTAGCCCTGGCTGGTGTGGCTCAGTGGACTGAGCGCTGACCTGCGAACTGAAGGGTTGTCAGTTCAGTTCCCAGTCAGGGCACATGCCTGGGTTGAGGGCCAGGTCCCCAGTGGAGGGTGTACGAGAGGCAACAAATTGATATTTCTCTCATATGGCAATGTTTCTCTCCCTGTCTTTCTCCCTCCCTTCTCTTCTCTCTAAAAATAAATAAAGTCTTTGTTAAAAATTAATTAATTAAGCTTTTCAGGAATCCTGACTTATTTGAGGACTCTGTTGCAAGGGTAAGACATTTTAGGTTCCTTTATTGAGCTACCATTCTCTTTTATTGTTATCTATTAACAGCATGCACCCGATTTCTGCGCACGCTACTGATTTAGATCGAGGTCGGCAAGCTTTCTCCACAGAGAGCCAGATGGTACATACTTTCAGACTGGCAGGCCACGCAGTCCCTGTCGTGACTGCTCGGCTCTGTTGTTGTACTGTGAAGCGCTCACAGGCAATGCACAAACAATGGGCATGGAGTGTTCCAATAAAGCTTTATTGACAGAAATAAGCAGAGGGCCAGCTTTGGCCCATACGCTGTAGTTTGCCAACCCCTGGTTTAGAGCACAGGCTCTAGAGTCCCCTGGACCAGGGTCTGAATCCCTGCTCCAGTGATTTACTAGAAAATCAGGCAGATTCCTTAATCTCTCTGTCCTATTTCTTCCTCTGCAAAGTAGAGATGACAGAAGAAATGGCGACCCTTATTAATGACTGGTTCTCATGTGCCAAGCATTTCGTGTTTCCATCTCATCTGCTCCTCACATCGACCCAATGTAGGAAGCACTATTGCTGGGCCCAGTGTGCAGAGAGGGAAACTGAGGCTTCTGTAGCTTCTCGCTTGCCCCAGGTCACACAACCAGAAAGAATGGGCCTGGAGTTCTAGTCTGGGCCCGCCCATGAGAGCCCCAGGCTCTGTGACGTGTGAGGTCCTAACCCAGGTAGCGCCTGGCCCAGAGTCCAGGTCCCTGCCATGGTAACCATGCCCATTAAACAACAGCCATTGGCTTTCAGGCTTTGGAAGAAAGAATTACTCAAGAGAAAAACAGAGCCAAAGAAGCATTAGAGGAAGAACAGAGAAGAGTCCAAGAGCTGGAGAAGCGCTTAACCCACCAGAAGAAGGTACTCAGCTCAGAGAGACAGAGTCGCCACACAACGAGGAAGTGCTGGCCTGGGGCTCTGACCTGGGCCCCTCCCACCTCCCCTTGCCCTGCCCCCCATGCCGCCCAATCCCAGGCTCTTGGCTGCCCACCCTCTCCCTGGGGTTGTTGTGAAAGTAGTGAAGCGCTAACTTGGCAGAGAGTCCAGGTTCCTGCCATGGTAACTATGTCCATTAAACAACGGTCATTGGCTTTCAGGCTTTGGAGGAAAGCTTTCTTCAAGAGAAAAGCAGAGTGAAGGAAGCATTAGAGGAAGAACAGACCAGAGTCCAAGAGCTGGAGAATCGCTTAACCCGCCAGAAGGAGGTACGTGGCTGGGGAGAGAGGGTCAGCTGGAGCCCTAACCCAGTCTGAGGGTCACAGAAGTGAGTTCAGAACCTCAGGGGATGGCAGGTAGAGCATGTTGGCACCTTCCGAGAGTAATTTGTCCTTGGGAGGGCTCAGCGGCTTCGGGAAAAGGCATGGAGGTCTCGAGGAGGGAACCCTAGCGCTGTAGTCTTGACAACCTGTCGGGAAAATTGTCAACAGCATAAAATACAGTCCTCAGGGTTAACGGTTAATACCCATTACCTGCCCAGGAACTTGGGAGCGAAGTTGCTGAGGGGACAAGACCTGCGTGTGAGGCAGCAGGGAGCCCCCGAGAGGGAAGTCCCGAGTGTAGACCTGAGGTCAGGTGCACTGGACCCAACCCAAGTCACTGGAAAGTGCCCAGAAAGTCTCCTTCACAAATTACAGGAAAATACCTTACTCTGAAACCTGCCTCAAACACTCAGAATAAATGTGGCCCCCCATCCTCACCCCGGGAGGTTGCTGCCGCTCCGCTTTGTCCAGGGCTGCCGTCCGGACAGCTGGGGGCTGGGGTTCCTCAAATGACTTCTCGCTGACGTCACTGAAGTCAATGAAGTCATGACTCACACACAGCATCGCTGCCTGACTGTCGAGTGAATACTTTCTGCAGGCAAACCCGAGGGCCCTAACCACGTTCCCAGTTCCAGACAGTTGACGGCAGATGGTGTTTAAAACACAACGCTTTGGAAAGCTGAGGTGCCCTTTCTTGTGGCAACAATTTATATCCCTCAGCGATTTGCATTAAGCCATTTAACTGAATGGCTTCTCGGCAAATAGCTTCCTAAATAGAATACCTTTATAACAAGCACCTGACCATACTGTCTTCCCTGTCAGAACTCGGCTCGAGAGGCCCAGCCCCACCCCCTCTAGAAGCCGGTTTGTTGTGGCTCATTCATTCAATACATTGCGCTTCTCTGGAGACCTGAGGCTCTTTAAGAGATTTATTTCAATAGTGGGAAATTCCATTATTAATGAGATTCTTCTTCTTATCGGGGAGGCTGCCTGGCACAGGGGTAAGAGCTCGGACTCCGAATAAGACAAGGCCTGGCTGCCTCTGCGCACCTGCTGCCTCCCGGGGGCCCCTGCACACAGGCAGCTTTCCTCTGCGCGGGGTTCAAGTCCTGGCCTCACCGCCAGCCCACTGCATGGCCCCGGGGTTCACACCAGCTTTCTGTCCCTCGGTTTCCTCGTCTAAAAACTGGCGCCACTAACTTCTCCGATGACAGGGTTGCTGTGAGAGCAGGCCGTGCGTGAGGTGCTGGCCGTGCACCCCGGCCGCTGAGACCGCTCCCAGCTTGTTAGCTACCACTGTAGTTCTCGGCGTCATCCCAATGGGCTACTTTCCCCCTGAATGTGCAGGCCCTGAAAAAGGCGGGCCGTTGATTTTCAGGTTTTGGAGAACAGCATGGCCCACGAGAAAAGAAAAGCAAAGGAAGCCTTAGAGGCAGAGAAGAGGAGAGTTCAGGACCTGGAGAACCACTTAACGCAGCAGAAGGAGGTACGAGGAACAGAGACATAAAGGGGGCGGCGGCTGCCCAAGCCCCAGCGGAAGGGGCTGTGCAGCCAGGCGTGAGGCTGTGTGTCTCTGTCCTCATGGTGTGTGGTGGTCACGTGGGCAGTGCCAGTCACCTCATACTGCTTACTGGCCGGTTACCCTAGCGCGGATCGCTCCACCTCCTGTGCCTCAGTTTCCTCATCTGTAAAGTGGGAGTGGCGGCAGCCCCTGCCTCAGAGGATCCAATGAGTGAATAGACATAAAGTCCTTGGAAATGGACTGCACACACAGGGTGACCGCCTGGGAAGAAACGTGGCCTCCAGGAGATCGCCTGGGGGGGAGTCGGGGTCAGCCCCTCAGCCAGCGTCCTCCTGATCGTCACCAGGGGATATTTATGATGCAGTCCAGCCCGGACGCCAGAGGAAAACTCCCTCCCGGCTCCAGCCTCCTGGTTTCACAGGACCAGCGAGCAGAGCGCCCCCCACCTGCAGTGAGGACACCACAGACCCGCAGTCAGACAGAGTAGGTAGGAACAGGACGAGCTCCCGTGGTGGCCGCAGCAACCAACCGGCTGTTCAGGGCCTGCTGGAGCGGATGAGGAGGAACAGGGGACACCAGGGCGGGGGAGCGCGGGGGAGTCTGAGCCGCCATCCCACAGAGCCCGAGACATCCGTGTCCCGCCCACCACCCCCAGCCCGGGCCGGGCCCAGAGCCCTGCCAGGAAAGGCAGGCCTCGGGGCGCAAGACAGCCCCAACCATGCCTCCCAGAGTGTCCCCTCCCTGGGGTGGAGGGACAAAAACCACCTAAATAAATGCCCAGGGTGGCTCCGCAGGGGTGGGTCAGAGAGTGGCCTGCAGGTGGGGGGGACCCTCTCTGAGGAGGTGGCCTTTGAGACATGGAGGAGCATCTGGGGGAAGAGAATGTCACTGGATAAAGTGGCCAGGCGCCAAGGACAGGGACCTCAGTCAGCCAGGGGCAGGGACCGGAGCATAAGGAACGGGGTGAACGCTGGGACAAGGTGAAAGCGAAACAAGGGCGCGGGGAGAGCGCCAGAGGGAGTCTCAGGCCGTGGGAAGCGAGGCCTGGCCGGAGGGCTTGGTGGGCCAAGTGTCCATTCTGGTTCAGGCCCCAGCTCTGCCCTGCCGTGCTGTGTGGCCCTGGGCAAGCCCTGGTCCGTCCCCCCTGCCCCCCAGTGCCCTCCTCTGTAATGTGGGTGCGGTGACAGGTCACCCTAGGGGTCTGATGTGAGGAGTCAGTCAATGCACTCATTGTGAAGCACCTGCCCAAGTGAGGTCAGAGGTCAGAGTCCAGGTGGGGTAGGGAGGCTGGGTGCCCCGCAGGGTGAGGGGGGAGCAGGGGCGGGGAATGGAGCATCAAGCAAAGGCCTTGGCCGTGGGACTGTGCCGGTCAATGCAGGGAAGTGGGGTCAGAGTGCTGGTGGCTGAGGGCGCGCCACGCAGAGCAGGCCTCGAGAAGTGTCTGACCCAAACACTGGTCAGCGGCTGTCCCCTGAGCATCCCTCATACACGTGGGCTGGGGTGGGGTCTTGAAGTTCGGGCACCTGCTGGGCCGTGTAGTGATCTCTGCTCCCGCCTCATTGTGAGCACAGAAGCCGGTCCCCGGCCTGCGGGCAGGTGGGGTTTGGATCAGGCCAGGCTGGGCAGGGGCCAGGGGCCAGCGTCCGGGTGGTGAGGGCAGGGCGCAGGCATCCGAGCTTGCCCCACCGCGTCCTGGCGTGTGACCTTGGCCCCTTATTACCTGCCCTCTGACTGCCTCACCTGCAGCCTCCTTGTCCTCACCTGTAAAATGGGGGCGATTGCGCAGATGCTCTCTGGGGGGTTGCAGTGTAGATGCCCACGCTGCAAACACTTAAAGAGTGCTCGGTGTCACCGTTAGTATTTCCATTTGAAACGTGCCAAGCAGCGCATAAGAAAAGAAGGGAAGGAACCCTCCCACAGAGACCCTCACAGCAGGCGGGACACAGACAGCCGTGGTGGGGTCTAGACCTTCTTAAGGGGACTTGACAGTAGGGTAACACCAAGCTGTGCAGGGAGGTGGGTCAGGGCTCCCCCCGGGGCGGGGGAGGCCCGTGTGCAGAGCAGAGCGGGGCGGGTGGGCGAGGCCGCTGCTGCTGTGCTGAACCAGCGGCTTTGGAAAGCGCGTCCCTCCTCCAGGGCTGCGCGTCCCTCCTCCAGGGCTGCGCGTCCCTCCTCCAGGGCTGCGCATCCCGAAAGTCTCCTCCTGCCGCCAGCATCCCATTCCCAGTAGTTTTCCTTTTTGCTAAGTAGTGTGTGTTCACTAAAGAAAATTTAGAAGATACAGACGAGTGAAAAGAAGAAAATGTAACTTGCGATAATTTCCAACTCTCCCAAAATAACCTGTTGGGGGAAAACCCCTGAAGTCTAAATTCAGGATCAGTTCTAAAGAACTGACAGGCACTTCTTCAAATTCCTAAGAGTTTTAATAGGAGAGACTTGCATACATGGGCAAAGCAGCTGCCCGCAGTGGTGGCGGGCCAGGAAAAATCCACACCCCTCCCAGGACAGGGTCCCTTTTGTAGAGGGGGTTAATCGTAAAACCATACTGAGAGTAGTCACAGAGACCACCAGAAAGAACAATGCATCTTAAGTGAACAGATAACATCAGGCGGTTATCACGCTCTGTACCTGCATTAACCTCCTTCCTGGGGGCACGAGGTTTATCTTGGGCCGCATCCGGTTTTCTGGCTAGTCAGCCAAGCCTGAGGCTGCAGAGAGTTAAACAGTCACAGAAGGTTAAACAGAGTCCAGCATTTCCCAGATGCCTTTGCTTTTGGAGCCATATTGCATCTCTAATTGAGTTCCCCTACAACCCTATTTACATCTTGGTACATAGCTCTCTGGTCTTTGTCTGCACATGTACGTGTATATATAGAAAATGTTTTCCTTGTGAACTTTATGTATTTACGGGGGCATAGCGGCCAGCGCTCCATGAGCTGGAAATGGAGTTCTCCAACCCCCATGGCTGTGTACCTCCTGGGGGTGTGTGGCTGAGGCTGGACTCCAGTCTCCTCCCCATCACCAGGCCTATGCGGGGCACATGGTCTCAGTTCCAAACTGCCCAGGGCGTCAGTTTTGGGACTCAAGCCTTGTAGACTAGGTAGAGACAATCAATGTCCTTTGAAGACACAGGTGTCTGGCCTGCTGGGACAGAAGGTGTCTTCCGGGCTCTGCCCCTCATGCCCCACCTCCCAGGAAGCCACGTACTCCCAAAGGAGGCCCACGTTGGCGCCAACATACTCCCGTTTACTCAGTGGCTCAGCGCCAGATACCTGGAGCTGAAAACTCACCAGCATGTCACTTCCTGAACACGAGCCCCACAATCCTGAATGATGAATAACCTTCCCTTTTACACGCATGACTAACCTAGATGGGACTTCCAGGTTCTCATCTCTTTCCAATGGGTGTCTTGTTCCTTGAGCTCTTGCTCCTGAACCCTGACTCACCGTTTCAGCAACTAACTACTAATCCATTTCCTTTTCTTTCTCATGCGCACACCCTCAAACCACTTGTCCTTGACTTCCAGATTTTAGAAAGCAGCATCGCCTTCGAGAAACAAAAAGCAAAGGAGGCCATGGAGAACGAGAAGAGAAGAGTGCAGGATCTGGAGAACCGCCTAACCAAGCAGAAAGAGGTACGGGTCCCAACGAGGAAAGACGCGGAGGAGACGGCACGGTTAAGGGCAGGCCCGGGAGGCGGGTGGTCTGGTTTCGGTCCTACCTCTGCCACTCCCTGGCTGTGGGACATTCGGCAAGTTACTCACCATCTCCGTGCCTTGGTGTCCCCGCTTATGAAACACAGATGATACCAAAAGATCGACCTCACTGAGCTGTAATGCTCGATGGTTAATGTGCACATAAAATACATAGGAAAAGTACCTGGCACTGCATGAACGCTGTGTGTGTTGGCTGCTATCGTTATCAGTAGTGTTAGTGTTAGTATTAGCTCACAGCTGGGAAGCAGAGGGGCAGAACCCACACCCAGGACCACAGGATTCCAGGGCCCTTCATCATCACCCCTCCTCTCTCTGCTGTTCCTGAGTCCTGTGCGGGCTCGGCGGCCTGGGCTGCAGGGGGGTGGTGTCGGGACAGGGGCACTTGAATTTCTGATCACCTTGAGGTCGTTTCTCCACCAAAAGTTGTCATCATCGTCACCGTCACCTTCACCTGAAACCACATTTATGGTAATTCCTGGGAGCAGCAGGCGCAATAGACGTAGAAGTTGCCACATGACCCTGCCCTGGGCACCTCCACGCTGTAGGACGCAGTTTGCTCCTCCTGGGTCCCCACAGAGCAGGGACGCATGCACACTCAATGGCCCCCATCTGAAAAGTCAAGGCACGCAATAAACACATGCTTTAAACAGCCTGACAACAGTGGGGTAAATTTAAATACAGGCAATTACAATTTCAAAAGGTTTTCAAGACCAGATGGGACTAAAGAAAGTATATTCGCATCAGTCTTGGATCATTTTCTCTGAAGAAAGATTCCCCAAAATTGCCCATTTCCGGGATCCTGCTGCCCCTAGAGATTCTGACTCTGCCAGAGGGTGTGCCCAGGAATCTGCATTTTTAACAAGCAGCCCAAGGGGCGCAGGTGCACCTGGAACGTCACTGCTCGAGGGAGACATGTCAGTGAAGCGCACCTGGGTTACAGGTCAGCCCTGGGTGCTGTGTTACACTGTGTCCAGGGAAGGCAGGCCACAGTGTGGGGGTGACGCGGGCCTGCCAGCTTCTGGAGGGCTCCCTGCACGCGGCACGCTGCGCAGGCCGGGAGGGAGCCCAAGAAAGCAGGCCCCATTCCCCAAACGACTTACCAGGGGACCTTCCATAAAATACTTCCTGTGGGGGTATGAGAAAAGGAGAAATTAAATCTTTTCATAGATTAGTTGGGGCATAAAATAGATCAGGAATGAGACAAAGGCAAAAAAAATGTGTATCATGACATCAATGAAGGGGTCACAATTTTTATTCTAAGTTACCGTGAAAAGGGGAAGCCCAGTTGGTTGTGCGATTCACTAGATGAAAATGGACTGATTGTTCATGAAAATTGGACCAGTCTTGGTACTCGACGGAGAGAGAATGTTCCCTGAGGATGATCATATAGAGGACTCTGTTATGCAACCAACAGTGTCCTGAACCACAGCCTTAGAACAACAATGACTTCAGAGGGCGGAGTCTTGTGACAACCCTCCAGGCAGGCCAGTGGCATCACACCAGACAAGGAGAAACAGGGACTCACTGCAGCAACTTCCCACTTACCAGCAAAGACCAAGGGATCGCAAGGTCAAAGATACACTCACACAGAGCTGCTCATTTGAATGCTCTTTGAGCTGTATACGCAGAAGAGCAATGGAAAGATTGATTTCATCTACACAGGCAAAAATAGAATTTCTATAAAAGAAAGAGGAGAAAGTAGAGAAGCAAAATAAATTCAGACTCGTGAAAACTGAACTTTGTTCTCCTGGCCTTGGTTAAGCTGCTGAGTAGCTGGCAAAGAGTAAAGGTGCCAACCAGGGTGACCTGTAGCTGCGTGGCCCTTAAGAGACTCCATCTCAGTTTGCTGTGGATTCTCCGGGACACCTGCAGGGTCCGCAGCGAGCATCTCCTTAGGCCAGGTCCACGCGTCGTCCCCACTGGGATTTTTCAACAGTAACGGCAATGCTTAGACCCACAAAGGAATCAGGAGTTCAGCGGTGACACTAAGAGAATCAGGCAACTGCCTGGAGAGGGCGTTGCATGACGAAAATGGTGTCAGGGGAGGGGGGCAGGGTTTGTTCGTTTTTCATTAAAAAATCAGCTTCCTGCCCCAATTATAAAAGGAGCACCGATTTGCTCTTGAAAATTTGAAAAATACAGAAAATCACTTAGAAGAAAATCAAACTTCCCCTGAATCCACTGAGCAGAGCCACCACTAGTGACATTATGATGGGACTCCTTCCAGACCGTCTTTATGTTGATGAGGGTTATAGACATCGCCAAATACCGATCTACTACAAAGTGACTTTACACTTACAACTGTGCACATTGATGGGCACCCTGCTATTTTACTTAACATATTATAAAAACCTCTCCATATCATGGAACATCCTTCCACAACCTGCCGCTGAAGGATGACGCAGGTTGGCACTGTGCCGGGTGGACCCCAAATCATTTCCTGTCCCCTGCGGTCCAGCCCTGAGACAGCTTCTCACTCCTCACTAGAGTAAAAGATGGTTGGAGGGACACCCCTGGCCATCAGTCCTTGTGCACGTGTGGGGGTATGTGCTTCTGATAAACTCCCAAAAGTAGACATACTGGGTCCCAGGGTATGAACATTTCAGGCTCATGATACATGTTCCCAAATGACCCCCCAGAAAGGTCACACCAGTTTAGACTGCCACCAACAGAGAATGCTCAGCACGACTTCTCAGGAATAATTTCAGGTTGGAGTAGATAAGGTTGTGAAAAGTCTTCATGCCCTTTGATTCCAACTACTTGACATTCTGGAAAAGACAAAACTATGGAGGCAATAAAAAGATCCGGGACTTGGAGGCGGGGGGACGGACGGGGGACGGATGGGAGGAGCACAGAGGGTTTTTAGGGCAGTGAAGACTCTGTGTGTGACACTGTAATGGTGGATACGCGTCCTTGCACACTTGCCCAAACCCACAGAATGTGCACCAAGTGTGAACCCTCATGTCACCTGTGGACTTGGGTGATGATGCTGCATCTGCGTGGTTTCATGGGCTGTAACACACAGACCATCCAGCAGGGGGTGTTGCTAATGGGGGAGGTTGTGCGTGTGTGGGGCAGGGGTGTATGGGACATCGCGGTACCGTCCCCTCAATTTTGCTATAAACCTAAAACTGTTCTAAAAATAATCGGCAGGTCAAATACATAACTGAAGTTTGTCAAGCGGCCGGCACAGTGCCTGTCACGAAGCCCACACGGCACACGGTCTGAGGAGGGACTCAGGGGCTGGCTAGAATGGTGACGGTCAAAAATTGGGAGCATGGGCTGCGGGAGGAAGGACAGGACGTACAAGGACGCGGTGACTGGAGTCCAGGCTGGCCAGGGGCCCGAGGGGGAGGGGAGGTCATCCCCGGGCCAAAGCCACGGAGGACCATGGAGGAGTGTCCCAAAGGCAGGTCCTGTGATGAGGGGGGAGGTGCGGGTGAAGGAACTCGGCACATTTATCCTGGAAAATACGTTTAGAGAGAGAAACGACAGCTCTCAGGTATGTTAAGGGCTCGCTCATAAAAGAGAACTAGAACTTAGGGAGCTCCAGGTGGCGGAACTGAGTTCAGAGACCAGAAATTGCAAGGTGTCAGCTGAACAGAAAAGAGAGCTCTGTAATACCTGGAGCCTTCCAGAGAAAGCATGGACTTTGGACTTCAGAATCGGCAGAACAATGACAGAATAGAGTTCACTTCCTGTCTGAAAACAGGAAAGGAAGAGGCTAGGGTAAACGTATTCCTGAATCTCTGTTACAATTTGATGTTTGTTGTTTGTCTAGGAAATTGATTTAAAAGCACAAAAAGAAGACGTTTTAAATAATAAATTAAATGACGCGCTGGCCCTGGTAGAAGAGACTCAAAAAACAAAGGCGGCTGAGAGTCTGAAAGCAGAGAGCCTCAGCGTGAAATTAAGTGAAACATTAGCTGAACTGGAAACTGCCAAGACAAAAATGGTGAGAGACGGGAGACTGTTCCTCTCCGTGCAAGACCAACAGCGCGGGAACACGTGGCTTAGACCGGGGGTTCTCAGCCTCAGCACGGTGGGGGTTCTGGGTCCGAGGACTCTTTCCTGGGGGGCTGGGGGGCATCCTGCGCACCGCGGGCTGTTTAGCAACGTAGGACCCTAGTCTCTACCCACCAGATGCCAGTAGCCCCCGCCCCCCAATTGTGGCGACCGAAAGTGCCTTCAGACTATGCCAAATGCGTGTGAGTTTCTCAGGCAAAGAACGTACATATCGGGAGGAGATGGAATGTGGAGGCCCAGTGTGCCTCTGGGAACAGGGACAGGAGAATGGTGAGGTCGCCTGAGAGCAGAAGGCTGGTCGGAGAGCAGGGCGAGGATGAGGCACTGAGATAGCAACGCCCAGGAGAGCCGCAGGGATGGGCGGTCGTGGGAAAGGGTCCGATTCACCATCTGGGTCCACTGGTAATTTCTGGTTTTTAAGAAATACCAATCCACCCACTTTTTTCTTATAGAAGTGTTCATTCATTCATCCAGCGACTATTTGCTGAGCATCTAGGTCCTGTGCTGTGGCAGGAACCTAGGCACTGATTGAGGCTGGGAGTATGTTGGTAAAGAAAGTGGGAGTGAGAAATAGAGAAACTAGATAGTTCGGATGGTGGTAAGCGCCTCAGGGAAAACAAAACAGGTGATGGGATAGAAATGTCTCAGGCTGCTCCTGTGGCTAGGTGGTCAGGGAGGGCCTCTTGGAGGAGGTGGCACTGGAGCTGAGACCTGAAACATGAGGAGCCAGCTGTGCGAGGAGCCGGGGAGCAGTGTACCACGCGGCAGGAACAGCACATGCAAAGGCCCTGCGGTGGGACCACGCTCGGTGCCTGTGGGTGCAAAGGGGCCACGTTTTGGCTGTTGCTGTTGTCTGATCAGGCTCCCAGGATTGTGTCAGCCATTTCTCTTTTCCCAGGTCATGATGGAAGGGCGGATACAGCTGCAACAGCAAACAATGAAGGCTCTCCAGGAAGAACAAGAAACCCAGAAACGCGGATTTGAAGAAGAAATCATGGAATACAAGGAGCAAATCAAACAGCACTCCCAGACCATCGTGAGTCTAGAGAAAAGACTCAGAAAAGTGACTGAACACCACAAGAAAATAGAAGGAGAGATCGCAACTTTGAAGGAAAATGACCCAGGTAGGTCCCAAGAGACCACGAGGAAATCTTAGTGTCGCGGCAGGTTCAGATTGTCCTGCGGGTCCCTGTAGGCTGGTGGATAAGAAAAGGTCTCCACTCATTAAGAAGCTCATTCATTCCCCAGAGCTCCCTTTTGTTCTTATCACACAACAAGGTTAGGGGCCCTCAAGGCGCAGGTTCAGCAGAAGTGTGGACGCCCTTTGTGCCAAGCCAGTCAGCCAGCAGAGGCGCTGGCGGCCCTGGCTGGCAGGGCCGTGGGAGCCGCATGGCAGGGATCGTCTTTTCTATGTGGAAACCTTCCGGGCGGGGGACCTTTCGAAGGCTTCCCTCCACCAGCAGCAATTGGCGACTCTGTCTAAAACACTTTCAGAACCAGCCAGGGTTTGTGTCTCAAAAGAGACTAAAACAGAACTCAGAGCAGTGAGTATTTATTTGCCCCATATGATCCAGGTGACATTTCTTATGGCAAAGATGCCTGCTACTTGGGGAAGTACTGTAGCTACTCTCTAAGGCCAAGGTCGTTGATTGCGCTCACTTCAAGAGGAGTTCTGGGAGGAGAGGCCTTAGGCTGGGGTTTCTCCGTCTTGGCACTGTTGACACGTGGGACTAGATAATTCTTAGTTGGGCGGCCGTCCTGTGCATTGTAGGGTGTTGAGCAGCATTCCTGGCCTCTGCCCTCTAGGTGCCAGTAGCACCTGCCACCCCAGTGTGACAACCTAAAATGTCTCCAGACATTGACAGATGTCCCCTAGGGAAAGCAAACTCACTCCTGATTGACAGCCACGGTCCTGGTCTCAAGTCAGTTGGCGAGGTGTCGGGGCTCACCTCATGCATGCATTCACTCAGCACTCTTAATTGAACGTCTATTATGTTTCGAGTTCATTCTAGGCACTGAGGACACATTGATGGGCAAGAAAGCAGGGTCCCTGCAATGAACCAAATTACTACCCTGACAGGTGACCCAAGATGAACAAGGCACCATGACAAGAACATGGAGCGGGACTCGGTTTCCCAACCCAGGTCCAGGTCACAGGGAGGATGCCTAAGCTGAGACCTGAAGGATGACACATCTTTGTCTCCACACTTAGACCAGTGCCTGCCATAAAGCAGACATCCCGTAGGAATTGTTGAATGAATGAGCGAGTGAGAGAGCGTGTGGCTGAGTGGTGAGGGTGGAAGCCAGAGGCAGTGGGCCGAGGAGGAAGTGGAAGAGGAGGACCAGACAAGACCCTGTCTGGGAGGAGAGGAGGAAGTAGGGCAGGAGGTGTGGCCCGGTGGTTAAGGCCCCACCTCTCGCCAGCCTGCTGAGTGGGCGCAGCTTCCGCCATTCCTGTGCCCATCTCCTCATCTGTATGAAGTTCATGATCTGTGCCTCACAGAGTAGCTGGAACGATTTCACGAGCTCAGCGTGGCGGGAGAGGGGGCCCTCAGCCTATGACACAGAAAATATGGTGGGTCCCAGTAGGCAGAGAGGGCTGCCGGGTGTAGGGAGTGTTTATAAGTTGGGAAAGACATAGGCGCGTTGGTAAGCTAAGCATCAGGAAGGAAGGCATCGGTTGCAGGACTGTGATAACGTTCCCTTGTCCCTCTGGTTCAGCCCAGGAGAAGGAGGCACGGCAAGACCGTCCCGCAGGGCCCCCGTTGGAGACCAGTGCCAAAGACGCAGCATGTGACCACTTGATGTGAGTACCCAGAGGGCAGGTCCGCGCCAGAACACCCTCCCTGGTGTGCCGAGAGCAAGAACAGCCAACCGAACTCTGGCCCCTGGTCGCGTTTTCACAATCTGGGGAAAGGAGTCGAGTCCGGGCTCTTCTTGCTGTTACTGGAATGACTCGATTCTTTTAGCAAGTCAGGATGGGGTCATGAAAAGATGTGGGTGGTTCGATGTTCATAGCACAACTCAAGCTTCTTCAGTTGTATGAGCCTGGGCAAGTCCCATCACCTCGCTGGGCCTTAGCTTCCTTGTTTACACAATAAGGAGGTGCGTGCTGGGTGCCCCAAAGTCGCTTGGTAAATGCGAGCTAATGCTGCGGTGAGCTGTTTACCCCAAGTACCTGCTCAAGGCATGCGGACAGCGCGGGTTTGAAACAGTGGAGACCACTTGGTGGAGAGGCCCTAGGGAGGGCTCAGTGAAGAGGCTGGACGGAATGACCTTCAAGATCCCTCCCAACCCAAAAGTCAGCTCCTTGAGCCTCAGGGAACTGACAATTCCAGAGAAATGAAACCCGTGGTTGGGAAAGCTATCACCAAGCAGCAGATAAACAAGAAAAGGCCAGAACTCATGTGGTTCAGGAAGGATTCAGGAAGGTTCTGGAAGAAGGCAAACCGCCAGCCTGATCCTTGTACCGAATTCCAGTTACCAAGGTCTAATGTCATCAGGGATTTAAGCCCCAAAAGGCAGAGATACCCCACTTCTGGGTGCGTGCACTCTCTGAGGACACCAGTAGGCGACCAGGGAGGAGTTAGCAGCCACATTGCTCCTCTCGGTCCCACTTCCTTAGCCTGCAAACACCCTTGAGTCTTAGTTTCACCCTCAAGTAGGAAGAGTTATAGCCAAGGAGATTAGATTGATAGATAGATGATTGGTAGATACATAGATAGACACATATATACATACCTATGTATGTATACATATATAGTTGTTTCTGTTTCAATGATCACCAGTCTTTTTACTTTGACATGCAACCTGTCGGTATTTTGCTTTATTTCATCATATATATATTTTACCTTCAAATGTCTAAAAAGACCCTGAATTTTAAAAGCCTGTGAACTCAAATGAAATGACATGAATTCTCACTCAAGGGCCCTTAGCCCCCATGGGAACATGCAAGACCTCAACCCTTCCCCCAACACACACATGCACGCGCACACGACATGCCTTCCTCAGGGCCGAGGTGTCTCACATGTGCTCAGAAACACAGCCCGCGTTCTTCCCACTTAAACCTCAGCGAGGCCCCTCACCTGTTACATGAGGCTCTTGCCCATGGAACACCCATCACTGGACATAGCCATCTGTCAACCTCCCTGAGCCTCATGGTACCAAAGGTGTCCTGCCCTGTGAGGTGTGGTGGGGGAAGAAGCTGTCCTCATCTTGCCCTGCCTGTGTCCCCATGGTTATCTGGGTCCCAAAGCCCACACTTCCACAAAGGGTCCCATGAACACCGTTCTTTTGCTTCCCGCCCCACCTGTCTCCATCAGAAACTAAACAAAGCCGGTGTGCAAACAGAAGCTGTACTCTCCTTCTCTCTCCTTCCTTGTCTCCAGAGAATCCCTGAGCTCCGCCCCCCAAAATAGTCTTCCCTCCTCTTTCCACCGAAGACCAAAAGGCCACAAGCCTATCAGTTCATGCTGACAGGTGCTCTGGCAGAGAGAGATACCACCTCAGATAGAACTCAGCCGGGACCCTTTCTCTACCTCAATGTATTTCTTTTTAATGACGGTACATCAAAATGACTTTTTGTTTTGAGAAGTCTCCAAGCATAGGCCCCTCCCCCTAGCTGGGACCATCACTGATGGAGCATCACTTTGCGTTTGTACTTGGCCCCTCCCAGGCACCACGGAGGTGGAGCTGACTGACTTTGCGTGTTTATGTGAATTTCAGAGAGGACTTGCTGATTGCACAGAAGGAAATCCTGTCTCAGCAGGAGGTCATCATGAGCTTAAGGAAGAACCTTACCGAAGCCCATGGCCGAATGTCAGATTTGAGAGGTGTGTACACTTGCCTCTGCCTCTGACTCCCTGGCCCATTTCGAGAAAGAGGGACACGGGGCTGGGAAGCGTGGCGTTGAACGTCCCGCTCCATCTGCGTCCCGGGCTGCCTCAGCCCTTGGCACGGGGGCAGCAAAGCTGTATCCCGGCCGTGGCACTGAGCGCGTATTGAGGGGCCGTGGGGAGCACCGTGCAGAGGGCTCTGGACCTCTGCGATGACATGCAGCTTTCTTTTTCGGGGAGAATCCCCTTTACCACTGAGAATTTGCCTCTGGGAGCAAAGCCTCCCCACTGGGACGGGGCAACATGCACAAGCCCTGGCACTCACCAGCTTTGGGACCTAGGGACAGCTACCCTGTCTAGGGTCCCCTCCCTCTGATGCAAAATCACGTGCAACACACCTGCTCCCAAGGGTTGATGTGCACATTGAGGCCACCTACAGTGGGGCGAAATAGCTCTAAGCTCAAAGCTTCAGGTTGCCCACGCAAGGGTGGGGGAGCCGAGCTGTGTACTCGTCTGTACCTGTCATTGTTTGGAAGCAACTGCACCTGGCGCACACCTGAGCAGAGCAGATTCCGGAGGCCTTAGAACACCCTTAGACAATCAGAGACAGAAGCAGGCAGCGGAGAGTAGGCCAGAGTGTCCTAAAATGCCATAGGCACATAGGCGGGGACAGACAGCACCTGCCAGTGTGACCCTGGGTGAAGCAGGAGCACACAGTCCTCACAGAGCCAGCACTCACTGATGGGTACCGCTCGTGTGCCATGGCTCTGCTGTTCACTAAGATGCAAGCAGGCCTCCTGGCTGTTGCTGAAGCCCCCAGAGAATCCCGGGCGGGCACACCCTTCTTGTACCGTGGCAGATCGGCCGTGTTCCCAGCGGAGACCCAAGGCAGGACACCCCCTCCCCAGCTTTCATGCCACCCCCAGGGGAGCTTAACGAGAAGCAGAAGATGGAGCTGGAGAGAAACATGGCCCTCGTCCAGCAACAAAAGAACGAGCTGAGTGTGCTCAAGGGAAAGATGGCACAGATGACCAGCCTGGTTGAGAGGAAGGACAGGGAGCTGGAGGTCCTCAAGGAGACGCTCAGGTGTGTGGGAAGGTCTGCGTGGCGTGGGGAGCCCAGGCGTGCCCAAGAGCCTGGGGAACCTTCCCAAATAGGGGGGGTTTGGGGAGCGCTGATTGAAGAGATGGATGGATGGACGAGTATGGGTGGACGGACGGACAGATGGATGGATGGATGGATGATGTGATTCATTACTTCACAGCCTCGTCAGTTAAAACAGGGCTTTGCTTAGTGTGTGCTGCTCAAACATTCCCGCCCACCATTCCAGATGGCAGCCACTTCCTCCAGGAAGCCCTTTGTCCCTCACCCTCACCAAACATAGACAAGGGTTCCTGCTCTGCCTGGGGTCCCTCAGGCAGGCTGTGTTTAATTGTCCACCTTCCCATGAGGACAGAGTCTGCATAGACTATGCCTAGAATTGCCTCCCAGCATTTGCACGGTGCCTAGCACATAGGGAAATCAATAAATATAAATATTTATTGAACAAATGTATAAACTGGGGGCAGCAGAGGTCAGCTTAAAATAAATATAAAATACCCCTGTCCTGTGCAGTTGTCTAAAAAATATATGTGAGTTTGCATTTTCATTCACAGCTTATCCTTGTTTTGACATAAATATAATGTTTTCCCCAAGAAAGTTTGAGTAAAATTGGCGTCCTGTGTATATACTGTGGCTTCTTGTACCTCATGGCTCATGGCCAAAGCAGATTCACACAGTGGTTAGAAGAACAGGCTCCAGCCCTGGCTGCATAGATCAGTGATTCAAGCATCATCCTGTACACCAAAAAGTTGCACGTTCGATTCCTGGACAGGGCACATACCTAGGTTGTGGGTTCAATCCCGGGACAGGGAATGGACAGGAGACAACCAATCAATGTACCTGCCTCACATCAATGTTTCTCTCTCTTTCTCTCTCTCCCCCTTCTTCTCTCTCTAAAAATCAATTAACATATGCTCCAGTGAGGATTAAAAAAAGAAAAAAGAAAAAAAGAACAGGCTCCAGACCCAGGCTGTCTGAGTTCAAAACCAGGCATTTCCACTCACAAGCTCTGTGACCACGGGCAAATTGCTGTGTGTCTCTGTCCTTGCCTGTAAAATGGGGCAAGGAGAGTCCCCAATTCATGGGACTGTTATGAGAAATAGAAGGGCCAACCTATAAAGAGTAAGAAATAGCACACACACAATAAACGCGCGGTAAGAAGCATAGCAGGCGTCCCGCAGACCCAGGTAGAAAGAAGAGCAGGTGGGTGCTGACGGCCCCTCTGGCCACTCTCCTCCTGTACGTCCCCTGAGACTAAATTCTCCACCGATCTGTGGGCAGGAGACTTGAAGACACAGGTCCTTCTCCTGTTCTGCCGGTGGGGACAAAAGGAGCCCATGGCTCCTGGAAACATGCAGCCCAGTGACTCACTTTTTCTGCTCCAGAGCCTCGCAAGAGAAACACAGACTCCAGCTGCACAAGGAGAAGGGACAGAAGCCCAGGAAGGCGACCCAGATGTGTGACATCTCGGTGCAGATAGAGCCGGTCCACACCGACACTTTCCTGAGCAGCCAGGAGGTGAGTGCCCGCCCCCACCCCGGGCACCGGGAAGGACTCGCAAGGAAGAGGGCCCAGTGGCGGCTTTCTCCGCTTTCGAAAACACTCCCATTCTAAGTTCCAAAAATAGTACTTGCTTCTGTGCAATGTAAAAGTTAAAGAGCAGAAGCCCGCCTCTCTGACTGCAGTCACCAGAGAGCTGTCAGCCTGTGCCATCGGACCTTCCACACCCTTACCCAGGCTCGTCTGCGTGGTGGTTAAGACCTGGCTTGGATCTGGGCCCAGATCCTCCCCTCAGAAACCGTGACCTCAGGAGGTTACCGCAAGCCAATTCCCTTGTCTGGAAAGTGGGAGAAAGGACAGTCACTAACCACCTTGTGGGTGCGTTGAGAAATAAATTTTATTTATAAACACAAACACACACACATATCTATATACACACACACACACATATTTATTTCATAGCTTGTTTTTTGCAAAATGATGGTATCAAGCCATATGTACTCTATAAATTTTCTCCCTAAATAACACTACTTAAGGGGCATCTTTTCAAGTAAGTAGGTAAGATCTACCTCCTCCTTTTAAATGGCTGCGTAGAATTCCGCTGTGTCCCTTCTGTCCAAGCAGCGCCCCCTGGGTGGACATTTAGGCGGTTTCTGCTTTCACACATTACTGAGCCAACATCCTTACACGTGTGGAGAGCAAACCCCTCGATGTGAGATTGCTGGGTCCAGAGGACATCCTGAATGGTGCTTGACGGGGCCAAAGTGCCTTCCCAAAGGGCGGTGCCATTTACGCCCCGTGGCTGTCTCACGGGGACTCCTCTCGGGTGCTGCCCAGAAACCCCTGCGTGCCTGCAGTCCCAGCGGCACAGCAAACGGAGTGTGTCTGAGTGAGAACGGCCTTAGTGACACCACCCTTGACGGCAGCGGCGCTCACGTTCTACCCCCGTGGCTGGGGCTGTGACGCTCCCGTCGTCCGTGGCTGGCTGGCTGTGGGCTGGGCGCTCGCTGGGGGGCCCGGGTTTCCTGCAGTCCCGAGGGGCCACTTCCCCCTTTGCTTTATGAAACTAGAGAGCAGGGCGGTTCGGTAATGGGCTTCGGATTTTCACTTGGAAACAGAGCCAAATGTGTCAGCTTGCCTTCCTGCTTCCTCAAAGACGCCTCGCTCCTGCCAAACAGCAGTGAGCCAGGGCCGCACACAGCTCACACGAAAGGGCTCAGCAGCCCAGCAGCTGTCCTTGGCACCGACCGCTGCCCAGAGCACTCCACAGAAGTGTCTCCGTGCTGCTCAGGGTGGCCTGGCGCCGGGGCTGCGGCGGGTCCGCACGGCTACGCTCCGCGGGGCAGAGAGCGGGTCTCACTCCTGCCGGGGTCCCGATCTCTAAGTGCCAGACCTGGCCTGTACTCGTTCACTCATTCAACAACCATTGAGCACCTGCTGTATGCCAGGCCCTGGGCTGGGTGCAGAGGAGGACGCACAGGGTTTCCGCCCACACCAGGCCCTTCCAACTCTGCACGGGTGTGTTGGGATGGACTGTTGACTGGTCGCCATGATGGTTCATTTTGGTTATGAGGCGGGATTAGCAGAGGAGGAGGGCAGCTGCGAGATAAAAGGAAAAAAGGATTTATTCCTTCTCAGAATGGTTTCCAAGCTCAGGCCACTTCCTGCTTTCTAAGCCAGAGTGGGTCAGAGGGCTTAAGAGTTGTATGAGAAAGAATCTCCATCCTCTCTAAATAAACAAGTTCCCAGAAGGGCCGTGAGTGAAGGGTCACGTCAGGCTCAGGCACACTCTTCATGCGGAGGAAAGGCTGTCCCACCCCAGGGTCAGTATCTCCTGCCCGCCCCTCTGCACACTGTAGGTGCGCACGCGTGCGCGCGCGCGCGCGCGCGCACATACACACACTCCCCCACACGCTTCGGGTGTCACTTCAAAGAGAGTGAGGCCAGCGTAGAACTGACCGGGAAGTAGACCAGCTGTGTGTCCTGCAAGCGGGCTGGAGGCAGGGACGGGGCCCAGTGAGGACCTACTAAGTGCAGCCAGGCGGAGCACCCCTTCTCACTGCTGCCAAGTCCTGGTCCCAGCTGGAAAGCAGAGCAAGCTCCTTCCAGCTTCTGTTTCTGACTTCACTTCACTCGGGCTCTGTATTTATTGAGCATCTCCTATGCTGGGGCACAGGCCACATTGGAGACAAAGATTTTGCCCCCAGAGCCCGCATTCTGGAAAGGGAGAGCTAGGCAGTAAACAAGTAAAAGTCAAACAAAATGTCCGGAGGGGACAGTGGTCTGAGGAAATACACAGCAGGATTCAGGACAGAGGGTGGACAGGGGAGCTCTTTCCCATCAGGGGCTCGGGGTGGCCTCCCCAAGAGGAGACTTGGAGCGGAGCCTGGAGGAGCGAGTGGAGGGGACATGGGGGGTGGTACAGGTTGCAGCCCCAGGAGGACCTCAGACGGGCCGCCGGGCTCCTCGGGGGGAGCCGTGGGCTGGTACCCTCAGTGGCCAGCGTGCCTACCATAGGGCCCGGGACGTGTCAGACAGGCCTGTAACATAAGCATCTGATGATTCAAAGCAAGAGCTCCGTTCTCCTGGCCCATTGGCCACTTTCTAGAATTATCCCCATGCCTGTCTGCTTGCTCGCCGTGAGCCCCGCAGCAGCAGGGCACATCTGCCTGCTTCCCTGATCTCGTCCCGGTGCCTCAAACAGCGTCTGGCTCTCTACATATGTATACTTATCTCCTGAGTGTATGAAATGAGCCAAAATTGTTATAAAAGAACCAAATTGTCAATTTCTTCCTTTTCTTGCCATTTGACTGGGACCTTCCTTAGCAGCTCTATCTACAACTGAAAACTGTGCCCAATACCCCTTCCCATTGCCATTTTTCCCTCTTTAACACTTACCACTGTCTACCATGTATTTTCCACGCTCCTCTTGCGTATTGCCCGTCTCCCCACACTAGGGCACAGAATCCAGGACAGTAGGAATTTTGCCTGTTTTGTTCCCACCTGAGTCCCCAGCGCCTAGAACAAGGCTTGACACACAGAGGTGCTCAGTAAATCTTTGTGAAATAAATGACTGTGTGAATGAGGGAATTGTGTCCCCTAGAGAAGTGTTGTTTAACTTGGAGCCCATGACTGGTCTTCGGGGGGATCCCTGAACCCCCAGAATTTGTATGCAACTTACTGTGTGTTTGTGAATTTTTCTGGAGAAAGGAATCCCGCATTCTCAAAGGGGCGCATGACCCATAAAAGATGGAGAAGACCTTTGCTTGTCTGCACCCTTGAAAGCTCCATTCTAGGTGCATGGCCGATGGCTACCGGGGTGGGCGGCGCAGACGGAGAAGGTTCCCCTCATGGCAGGTGGGACAGCGCTCTTCTAAGGGCTCAGAGGTCTCAGAGGGAGGTTTTCCTTTCTCCAGACCCGCCAAGAGCCCGTCTGTCCAATTCCCCCGGCAAATGTTAGACAACCATCCTAATTACCGGTTAAGAAGCAAGTATCATGTGTTCTCATCTAAAAATGTCCCTTCTGGAGCAGAATTTGATGTGTTGTTTAGAGACAAGTCTGTAATGACAACATATGGAAACCCAAGCCTAGATGAAATATAAACAAAACGTGGGGAGGAAACAACGAGGGGATCTTTTGTTTATAGTTACGCTAAATAGGTAGGAAAGTTGGAAATCTTCCTAGATAAGGCTTTATATTCGAAGTGAAAATTGTAAACTCCTTCCCTGCTGAAGCCCCTTAAGAAATATTTTCCAAAGAGCCCAGTGGTAAGGATTCTGCTACACGTCTATTGTTCACGCTCCTTCGAATATGAGAGAAGCTTCACCCCTAGTAAAGCTGTCGTCTGTACCATTCTGGCCGCAGGAGCAGTCCTTCAGTGACCTGGGGGTCAAGTGCAAGGGGTCCCGACACGAGGAAGTCATTCAGCGTCAGAAAAAGGCCTTATCTGAACTTCGGGTGCGAATTAAAGAGCTCGAGAAGGCCTGCTCGTCAAGTAAGTCTCCTCCTTCCTAGTCGGCCTCCAACTCTGGGGTTCACTTTGGGGTCTGACCGCTTTGCCAGGACCACCGCCTTCTATGCCTATAATTCATAACCAAGAGGATGTTGTAGTACCAAAAAAAAAAAAAAAAAGGTAGTCACGTGCAGAACTTGTTATTAAATAAATAGGATTTCATGAAAACCACATACATTGTCCTACTTTTTCTTATTTCGCTGTGGCCTGTTGGAAAGTTTCTCATGGACCAACACTGTGCCAGGATTGACCCTGGGGAACCTCCTCAGATACCTGCTCAGAGGGCATAGGGCTCTCCAGGTGCTGAGCTTGCTGCTGGTGGAGCACTGGGCTAGGACCCAGAAGCCCCGGTTCAAGTCCCGTGCCTGTTCCGGCGGCCTCACATTAGCTGCGTGACCTTGGACAGGACCAGAAAAAAGTGATTGTGGTTATGACATGCAATAGCTTCTTCCAAGCCTTTCTTTTGAATCTACATTATTTCTTTTCTAGATCATAAGGACCACCGGGGTGAATCATGTCTAGACTTAAAGACTCTCAGAATGGAGAAAAATGTCCAGAAAATATTGGACGCAAAACCTGATTGGCCAATTCTCTCAAGAACAGAGATCCAAGCGGTAGCCAAATCAAGTTTGTCTCTGCATGACCGACAGGTGGGGAGGGGGTCATGAGGGCCGACCCTAGCTGTGCGCCCTGGCACGGCCGTGCGTATCAGTGGTTTGGGGCCAGGCCCGCCCTGATGGGCTGTTGTCTGTACCGCCCGGTCAGTGCCTTGCATACCAGCGGTCCGATGTTCAAAGAGAGAGATGACCTTCCACTTGTGCACAGCATGATATATCTTTGCACTGACACTGGGCCAGGTCAACTTCTGGTGGACCCTCCATTGCACACCGTGTGTTATATTTTGCAGAAAATATTCAACGGGCTTATAACATCATGCCATGAGTTTGCCTAAAGTCTGCCTTTTGCTGTAAACCGAAAAACATGAACACATAAAAGGTAGCAGTGGCAGCCACGGCTGAGGGGACACCAGTTCTGAAATCAGAGAGACCTGTGTTGACATCCGAGCGCTGAGAGCTCTGTGACCTTAGGCGAAGCTGTTAACCTTCCTGGGTTCCGTGGCCCAGTTGAAAAATGATGATGAAAAAAGTTAAAGGAGATAATTATGTAAAGTCCTTACCCCAGCACCTCACTCACAGTGAGCACTTAATAAAGGGTAGCTATTATTATTACTATTATTATTAAGTAGTATTTAAATAGTATTAGTCAAGAAAGTCTTCCTTTCTTAGAGGGCACAGTTTTATGTGGCAGGATGAAGGTACCCTGTGCCCTAAATGGATGTTTGATTGGATGTGTGACTGACACAGGACAATGGAGAGCCCAGGTCGGGGTCAGTCCCAGGAGCTCCTGGGCGGGGCTCGCTGCTGCAGCTGGACTCTGAGGTTGGGAGTCGGGGGACAGTCTCCAGGTGGGGCGTTCAGCAGGGTCTCATATCCTGACCCCGCTTCCAAGATTTTTTTCCTTCCTTTTGGCAATGACCCTTGATCCCGCCACTGACACCGCAAAGCACCAAAGCTCCCCACTCTCTTAGAAGACCTCAGTGCTTCCAGGTTGGCAGTAACTGGAGTTAAAGGAAGAGAAGGAGCAGGAGGAAGAGTGGCTGACATCTGTTAAGTGCTGACTTGTGCCAGACATTGAGCTAAGCCCTCTACACACATTATCTCATTTAATCCTCACGGCAGCCTGTGTCTAGTTGCTATCATTATCCCTGGTTTACAGAGAAGAAAGCCGAGCCTTCTGGAAGTCAAGGGCCTCGCCCAAGGTCACAGAGTAAGGAATTATGGAGCCAGGACTGTGACCCTGGCAGGCTGTCTCCAGCATCCTGCTAGGCTGCAAAGAAGGGGGCAGGGTCTGGGTAACTGAACCCGGAAGCCCAGGCCCTTCCTCAGGTGACGCTCCCTGGGGAAAAGAGGGGGGACCTGTAGAGGGGAGCAGAGGACGCAGCCTGCAGCAGATGGGCCCAGTTCATCGCCACCCTAAAATGGTCTCCCTTATTCTCATCTCTGCAAGTGCATAATAAATATGTCCACTCCTATCTGGCACAGTCCCTTCTGGGGCCTCTACACTTTTGTGTTTGGGTTTTTGTTTAAATCTCAGAGGTTTACAGCCTAGTGCCAGCAAATGCTGTAGACGAAGGGATGCTGCATAGCGAGCCCTGAAAGCCCAATTGAGTTTTTAAGGAGATTTATTGGCTATTTGCGGTCCTTCAGGTTTCCTGATCGGTCTGGTGGCTTTTCCAAGCAGTCGGCAAGGACTTCGAGCAGCCAGCTGGCTGGGGTCTTAATGAGTGCACAGCTAAAACACCATCCTGCGGTGTCTCTAGAAAGAACCTGAAGGGACACTCACCTGCCAGGGTCTAGTACTAGGAGAAGGTTGGGCCAATTTTTGTGAGGGTGTAGTTTCCACTGCATAAAAATCAGATTCCTTTCGTAAAATGGCGGGGCTATTTTCAATTTAACCTTTATTTATTCATTCAACAAACATGTCCACTCTGTGCCCCTCTGTGCCCAGTGCCCCAGTAGGCACAAGAAGTGGGACAGTGAGCAAAAGCAACGTGGCTCCCGTGTTTTGGGAGCTTGTCATCTAGACCAAGGTCCCCCGACCTCAATGTCACGGATATTTTGGGCCAGGTAACGCTTTGTTGGGGGGCCATCCTGTGAGCTGTGGAATGTGTAGCAGCCTCCCTGTCCTCCACCCACTGGATACAAGTAGCACCCGCCACCCCCAGTATTAACAACCAAATGTGCCCAGGCTAAATAGCAGGGGGAGGGACAAGAGCTGGTCTATTGGAAAGACAGTGAACAAAGAACAAGACAAATGATGTGTTGTTTCAAAGAGAGTCACGTTCTGGAGGGTAGGAACACAGTTACAAGAAAGCAGTTGACAAAGGAATCAGACCAGAAGGTCAGGAACTGAAATGAAAACCAACTCTGCCAAGTTATTCTTTGGTAACTACACAGCATCTTAGCTTCTGGGTGCAGAAATCCATGATGGCATGCCAAGAGTTCTTAACTCTTTTTTATTTCAGGCTCAAAATGGCCTTGCCAACTCAGCCCCCAAGAAGCCGGGGAACATGGACGTGGCCGAGGCTTTGGATCTCAGTGAAAAGCTGGTACGTACATACAGCCTCCTGCCCAAACCTGGGTCCCCCGCAGTCAGTGTGAACCACGGGGCGGTTTAAACACCGCCCTGCACATATACGTGGCAGCTATAATGGCTCTGCAAGACCCGTCTACTACCCCCGCAGGGGCCAGGCGTGGCATGACCGGCCTCCTCGAAAACCTGCAGAGTAAGGATGAATGTTTATTTCTGTTGTCACTTCCCCTGCCCCCAGTTCTCAAAAAGGCATAGTATAAATGAATGTGGGGAAAAGAAAGTCACACTAAAAACCCCAATTGCGCTCAAACTATGTGCCCTGTGACCGCCAAAATGAACGCATCAGAGTTAGGCACTGGCCTCCATGGGGCTGGCACCCGCGGCCTCAGGCCGGGCCTCCTAGCGGAGAAACACCTTCCTTGTAGTACATGGATATGAGCAAAACGCTCGGGAGTCTGATGAACATCAAGGAAATGGCAGGTCACGTGTCCATGAAACACCTCTCCCCCAAAGAGAGGGAGAGAGTCAACCAGCTTCGACAGAGGGACCTCGACCTGGTGTTCGATAAGATCAGCCAACTCAAGAACCGGCTGGAGAGAAAGGAGGAGCTTTTGAGAGGATATGAGAAGGACGCTGAACAGCTCAGGTATGGCTGTGCCCCCGTGGACAGGCCCAGGCTTCCCCTCTCCGGGCTCCACGTCAGGGCAGGAGGACACAGACCAGGGTGTGGAATAACTGAAGTACGAGGACTCTGACGAGAGGCTGGTAGTGGCAAGTCTCTTGGTGAGACAGCAGACACGGAAGAGCTCAGGGTCCTCCATTCACTGCTCTCCCAGTGAACGAGCTGCACCTTTTTGTCTTAGGTTTCGGCGCTGGTGAATTTCCATAGCTCCGTCTGTCACACTCTCCGTGGTCGCGGCTCTCCCCACCCACTCTGGGAAATGGGGCGGGCCGGCCACACACCCTTTGCCCCCCTCACACTTCCCTGATTCAGCCGGTTTGCTATTTATTCTGCCCTCCACTCCCCCAAAGTCATTCTCTCCCGCAGGGAATGAAAACCCTAAGTTCGCAGTATCTGGGAGTTTTTGCAGAACCTCCCTGATCGGGGACGTTGATGGTGAGTAAGAAAGATGAAGGGAAAAGAGGTTTTGTGTCTCTCACTCACTCAGGCAGAGCAAAGTGTCCGTTCAGATGTACCAGTCACAGGTGGCAAAGCTGGAGGACGACGTCTACAAGGGGGCGGAGGAGAAGGCGCTGCTGAAGGAGGCCCTGGAGCGCCTGGAGCAGCAGCTGCACCAGGAGAAGCGGCTCAACAGGGCCATGAGGCAGCACAAGGTGAGCAGCCCGGCTCGGAGCAGAAGCTCCGGGGCTGCCCCTCCGCTCCCGGGTGATTCCAGGCAAAGGCAGGTGGCAGAGTAGCTTTCGCATCTGGCCGCGCTGGTTTACACCCTCGAGCTGCCCTTCACTGTGTGATCTCAGGCCGGTTTCTTAACCTCTCAGAAACTCATCTGTATTTTTTTTAAATGGAGGCTATTATTCGTATTTTTATTGTTCTGCTGGCTCCTGGGGAGACATAGATGAATAAGCGCTCAGAGAATAAGAGATTTTGGTTTCACTGTTCTGATTGTCCAGAACAGAGGAAACACTCAATAAATACATATTTGGTGGACGGGGATGGATGGGTGTCCTTAAAGAAAGTATCCTTTCGTGCAGAGCTGGCAGGTAAAGAGCTGGCTCAGATGAGTTCCCTGCAGAAGTCTGCCCTCCATCCCGCAAGCCTTCCCGACCACAGGCTCTCTGGCTGGGAGCCCCAGAGCTGAAAGCAGCGCCCTGCTCTGTAGGTGCACTGCTACAGTGTTTCTGGTGCTCACCTCTCTTGAGTTAAACATCACAAACCCCTGTCTGCGTGCGTCACACCAAGCAACGCCAGGGAGAGCTGAGCCAGGGGCAGAGCTCTGACTTGTCCTTTGATGCGCCCTCTGGGGTGCTCATCCCTTCTGAGGCGCCCCGCCCCCCGCCCCAGGGCATGGCAGGCTAGGCCCCAAATCAGAGACACCAGACCTCAGAATGGGACAGCCAAGGGCCCAGAAAAGGCCATTGTCATGTGCTGGCTAAAAATGTAAGAAAGCCTGCGGATTTACATAATCAGGCTTCACATGCATTATTCATGGGCCACCCCCTTCATACACAATGCAGGGGCTGTGGCCACCTGCTGGGCATTAGACACCCTTCCGTGGAGAAGGATCTGAAATGGCCAAGTTGAACCTGTGACAGGAACCCCGGAAAAGCTAGGGCTGGGGACTTTCAAGCTGATGGCCTACACAGTTGAGGGGAAGATGTCTAAGAGCTAGAACCGTAAGCATGGCAGCTACACTGGTGGCATTATTTATCCAGCGCGTACGGAGTGGCAGGCACCGCTCCACAGGGCACGTGCTTCCTCTGTCTCATCAACCCTGCAAGGAATGCTGGTGAGTGTCAGCCCGTTGGAGGACGGGGACGCCGAGGCTGACAGAGGGTCAGGGTACCTGGCCGCTCCTCGCGGAAGCAGGGTTCCCACGCGCGCCGGCGGCCCTCCCCCACCCGGGCCACTGTTCCGCCCCCAGCCTCGCCACCTCCCTGCCAGGGCACCCCCCGCACCTGCACTCTCCGCGGCGCCTGGGGTTTCCCGCCAGGGCTTGGTTGCGCGCGTAAGGTTGGCTGTTCATATGTCGTCAGGAACTCCTGTTTGTTGGGAAAAAAAATAATAAATGTTTAAAGTTTTGCTGGATTCTGAAGGGAACTTCTACACATCCATCTTGGCATTGGTTCCTTCCAAGGAGTATATACTCGTTTTTAACATGGAAGTTAAAGAAAAATAGAATTCCTTTTTAAGTTTTACACCTAATATTTCCACGTAAGAGCCAGCTTTTTTTTTTTCAGTCTCCTGTATAAAATTGCACCCGTTCACAGGAATGGCCTGCCTGGTTGAAGTGCTGGAAAATGAAATTGCTCACCTTGAGCTTCAGAACTACCACCCCCCTTTCTCCAAAAAACATAGTTTGTAGTTTTAATGTTTGAGCATCTCTTCACCAAGCAGAACGTTCCAGAATCAAAAGTCATGCTACCATACTAATACCTTCATGAAAATGAGATGATATCAAATGCTGAGAAAACCTCAGTGCTGGGCATTGACGGAGAACCTTGTGGTCATCGGCCTCCAGATGTCCCTGGAATGTCCTGGGTCCGCAGCTGCGTCCAGGGGACGAGTGACGATGACGGTGGCCCAGGCCGCGCTCAGGCTAGTCTATGCCCCACATCATTAGAGAAGGCGGCAATGCCTGTCAGCGTTCGCAGGCAGATTTTGGAGTCAAACAAATACCGTTCCAGCCCCACCTCTGCCCTCGAGCGACCCCTGAGTAAGCGGCTTAACCTCTCTATATTTCAGGGTCGTCACCAAAAACAACCAAAAACAGTAGCAATGGGATCTGACTTCACGGGGACACCGGGAGGGTTCAATGATACGACGACGTTTGGTTACTACAAGGGCGAGGAAAAGCAACTAACTCATGGAAGGCGGGGGCGGGGGGAGTGTTTGAGCAGGAGGGGTCCTGTGTTTCCTCCGGAGAGCTTCCTGCCAGCTGTCAGGCTCCGCAGACCCGGAGCCGCTTTCCAGCTTTCCCCGTCCCCCGCAAAGCAGGCAGCTCTTTTGTGAACCTTTTTCTGCTTGGTGAATACAGCTAGGGCCACAGCCAAGAAAGGCCCAGATACTTTTTGTGACTTAGGTTAAGGCTGGAATTTTTAATTGGGAAATTTGAAATGCACAGAAGTTGCCATTTGGGAAGCATGCCAGCCCTTTCTCAGCCCTTCGTTCCGGCCCCCAGGGTGAGAAAGGCTCAAGTGCACTGGCTGCTCCAGGCTGGAGAAGCCGCTGCGCGCGCCTGCCAATCAAATCTCCAGCCAATCAAATCCTGGCCAAGGGGTGGGGCCACAGCCTTGCCGGATGGTCTCCACGGGGCTCGTGCCCCTAACTTTTCCTCTACTTGATTAGCTCAGATTCCTTGTCTTTAAGATGAGAATAAAAATGGCACCTAACGCATAGCATTCAATTCCATGATACAAAACCCTTAGTGCATAGGAGCGACCACTCTGATAGATGCTCTGATACCATCATCGTTCTTATCACTCTTTTAACTCAGTGCTTTCAAAGATTTTCTTGGGCCTAGATAGTCGCAAGATCCTGGTTCCCTCGGTGCCACTTGTGTTTTTTTGACCACGGAGTAGAAATTGGTAGGATGAGAATGGGGTGGGGGGAGGGGGTTGGAGGTGGTACCCTCTGGCCCTCACAAGGATGACAAAGTAAAACAGTGAGCGGGGCACAGTGTATGGGTAGAAGATGAAGAAAAAGACCCTCGCCTGCCCCCCATCTTTAGCCCACCAACTCTTGAATCCCCAGGTCTCCTCAGAGGTGTGTCCCAGAATGGGGCAGGTTAGGACACACTAAACGCTCTCTCACTCACGTAAACGCTCTGTCGCTCGCCTAAACGCTCTCTCGCTCACCTCGTATTTTCACTCAGGAACGTTTAGAGGATCGTGAACAGAGAAGTGCAAAAGCATCAACACCTTGCAACTGTTCCTTCAAAGAGAAAGAGAAGCAGGTATGGAGGACCTTCCTGACCTCGCAGCCAGGCACAAAGTCCATAGAGTGTTTTCAAGGGTAAGAGCATAGGGGGTGTCGATGCCAGCGTGTGCAGCACAAGGAACAGCTGCACACCTCCACTCCCTCCCGGCCGCCGGCCCAGCCCCGCTCCGTCCCCTGCCTGCTGGCTGAAGGCGTGGCCTAAGAGGCTGGCACACACCTGCCTCAGTATCTGGAGGGGAGAGAGGGCAGAGGGGAAGTGCACACCCAGTTTTGGCTGATGTGGCAACCATTTTAGGCTCTAAATGATTTGGGGTCTTGGAGACGAGGTTGTAAGAGAAGAAGAGAAGAGTGGGGAGCCCCCGGAACCCGTGCCCGGAAGAATTACATACCTGGGTGAATGAAAGGAAAAAGTGGGTATAAAATAGAGCCAGGAATGAGGATGAAAGTGCCCATTGTAACCTCCTCCCCATCTACCAAAGGGGGAGCCTCATTTGACTGGGGGCTTTCTGGTGGCCAATGGGAAATGGAGAACCCAGCATGGTCCAGAGGTCGCGGGGCCACGAGATAAGATGGACATGATGCTCAGAAGTGTCTTCAGAACAAAGACAATACTGGATTTTCCCCAGAGAGGACATCGTGTGATATAATGAACAACATCCCTAAGAATAGCAATGAAACGTTGGCTGAGCCATGTCTGAGAACAGCTTTTGAGACTGATGTCATCGCACATCCCAGTGAGTCCAGGAAAAGCAGCTGTGCGGGGGCCAGACTCTGCCCTTCGGCGCCCAGCTGTCCACTGAAGACCAGGAAGATATTCTGGAGCAGTGTTCAAACAGGGGTTCCCTGGAGGCTCTGGGTGCCACGGGAGGGTGTGACTCCACACACACACACACACACACACCCTCGCTTCCACGGGGAAGCTCTCCATCATCTTATGCCATGTTCTTCAAGGGATTTTGCTTGGGTAAAGAGTTGTCCTACCAAAAAAAGAAAGGGGGGGGGTCATTGGTTTAAAAGCACTGCTTTATAATATCTGGGAATTTGGATGGTGACTGTCTTCGGAGCTTGGTTCCTCTCAACTAAGTTTGTCATAAATAGTGAGTAGCTGCAGGCTCAAAGACTTTGCCACAGAAAATGTCTGGAGGGCAGCTGTTGGTTAAATGCAGGCCCCTCAACCTCCTCCGGAGACGGAGACGGTTGCCCTGAGAGCAGAGTTAGCACCTTTCCTAAAAGCGGAAGAGACTGACAAGCAGCTATGCCCCGTCCCAAAAGACGCCCTTCCTTCCTCCGTGAGTTCTGTGAATGTCCAGTAGGGCTGTCAGAACGAAAAGGGGTAAAACAAAACAGGATGGCCAGTTAAATCTGAATTTCAGATAAACAGCAGTTATTTACTATACGTACGTCCCAAATATGGCATGGGACCTACCTACACTAAAAAAATTCTTTGGTTTCATTCAGAAATTCACATTTAACTGGGCACCCTCTATTTCACCTGGCAACCGCACCCGCAGATGTTCACCGCGCACCTACTAGCGGCCGAGGGCGTGGGCTCCGAAGCAGATGCCACAAGATGGCTGCCCACAGATGTTTTCATTTAACCCATGGGATTTTTTTTTTATTATTAGCATTTCAAGATACAGCACTTTCAGGGAATACTCTGGATTTCTGGCTTCTCCGGGAAACTCAGAAGATGTGGCGACTGTAGGCCTGCAGTGCCGCAGCCGCCACTTCGGGCCCCTGAGAAAGGCGCTGGCCTGGGGGCTGGCAGGCCCCTCCCCCGCCCCCAGCTTGCGTCACTTCTTTTACTCCCCTGGCCCCTATAGGCAGCAGGTTGGTGGCCCCAGGGGGTGCTCAGGGCTCTCTGAGAACAACCCCCCCCACCCCCGCCGCCCTGTGTCCCCTTCCCAGCACCCCTGCACAGCCACCTGCGAGAGTGTCAATCCGGGAGAGGGGAGGCCCCAGCTCTCTCTCTCGCTCTCTCTGTTGTGTCCCCAGAGCCTAGGGGATGCTTTTTCTTCAGCAAACTGTCCCTGAGATTGGGGGTCTTGAGGAGAATAGGGTCAGCAACAGTAATCACACCCCAGGGGAAGCTCCAAATTCGTCCCTGACAGGGAAATTAGCTGCTGTGGCTCTCATTGTGCTTCGGTCTTGGGACACCCGGGTGGGAACCCACTGCACGTCTGCAGCCTCTTCCTATGACCCGGGAGTCCCCTAGGGGCCGTCGGCTGACCGGCCTCCTCCCCCTGGCTGCCCCCGAACCTGGAGCAGAGGTCCCTAAGGGGCGCAGCAGGTGGTGCGGCATTGCCCCCAAGCCAAGTCCCGTCCGCAGACCCGTCCCTGGGAAGGCCCGACGTTCCATCCAAATGGGCGGCAGCTGAAAGTTAAGAAAAATCCATTTTGCTCTGACGCAAAGGTCAAAGAAGAACTTGAGCTAAAGTGTGCCACTATTCTTTCTGTGTTTAAGAGACGAATGTTTGTAGAGACGGTGAAGAACAAGATGCAGAACTCAAACTCCCAGGTGAGCCAGAAGGAGAAGAGAGAAAACAGTAGGAGGTCAGTAGGAAATCCAGTTGTCAGTAACCCCACATGTGTTATGTATTGAGCATTTAGTACATGCCAGGCACGGAGCTAAGCATCCTCTCAATTAATCTTCACAACAACCCTATGCAGTGGGTAGTGCTATTATCCCCAATTATCAGATGAGGTGTCTAAGGCTCAGAGACTTAGGCAATTTGTCCAGAGCCACACAGCCAAGGAGGCGAGCCAGAACTCAACGCCCAGGTGAGTGTCGCTTACCCGCCTTGAGATAACAAAGGTCCAGGTAATAAACCTAATACGTTTTGTGTGGCATTTCTCTTGAATTTCAAGGAAGCATCCTCTAGAATACTCTTAAGAGTTGAGAATCAAGACTATGATATCTTAAACACGCTGAAACGTTGCCATTCACAGCTCAGCCCAGGAACTGGAATTGACCCAAACCACATTCCCACTTTGCAGAGACCAGAAGCAAGCTCTCAGGAAGCTTAAAAGCAAACACATTTTAACTGGCTAAGAGAAAGGAGATATATTTGAGTTGGATAAAAGGCCACAGTCAATCCGAAACAACAAAATTATCATTGGAAAAAACGATTCTAGGTAAGGGAACTCTTAGGAAAATAAAAGTCCCTTCTCAACCCTGTTTTTAAGACTAGAGGGTAGTCGCTACCCAGGGCAGGATGTTAAGAGGACAGAGAGCGTCCCTAGGGCCCCCCTAGATCTGAGACCTTTGCCACCCTCCAAGTGGAAAGAGAGGGAGCCTAGTCACTTCTTCGAGCATATATATGGGGGGCCCGGGAGCAGGCAGAAAGCGCCGGCCAGTGAGGGTCTGTCTGAGGACGGCTGGGGATGTAAGGTGACAGCGGAGGTGGCAGAGCGGCCGATACCTCGGATGTTGTAGGAACATGTCCTCCTCTGCACTGTGAAGCCTGCTGGCATTTCAGGCCACCTCCGGTCTTCACAGAAGGCAGGTGGGTAATGTGGAGAGATGGCGGTGCTTCAGCTGAGAGCAAAGATGAGCTCCCTGCTCTTAGAGCCCCCCAGCCCACACTTAGAGGCTTGGCATCTAGGACCTCCTCGGTACAGAAAGGCTTCCTCCAGGCTCCTTGCAAACCGTGGCTTGAGGTCTCCTTCCTCCCCCATGTGCCTTGAGTCCGTGTGGGTATGGAGTCACCGTGGCCACCTTGAAAAAGGGCGAGTAAAATCTGATCTCTCAGTCTTGCCCATTCACAAAGCAGCCTCCACCCCAGCAGGCTTCAGAACTGGCAGTTCCTTCCAATTTAATGTCCTGTGGGGTATGGTTTTCTGTCCTCCACAATGTCATTCATTAATTTTATTTTCATTGCAGCTAACAGTCTTTTATAATGATTTGTCAGTTGCAGGCTAATGAGGAAAATCTTCTGGTTAACAAATATTTATTGAATACCTAGTCCAGGCCACATGCTGTGCTAGGCACTGGGGACAGAAAAGTAAACAAAAAGATACACACTCTCCCAGGCCCCATTCATTCAACAAATATTTACGAGCGCCTCCTCCACGCGTCAGGTGCGGCCCCGGTGTGGGATTCGGTCCCTAGTCCCCAGAGCGGGCAGTGTCACTCCTGAGAGAGCAAAACTTCCTTTTTTAAAATGTGTACAGCACAGATACACATACGGTGCTATCTGTGATATTAACATTTCATGGGTGTGGGGGCAATCAGGCAGAAATGTCTAAGAAGACTCTTTAGGGAAGGACCATAATGATAAAAAAAAAGGGTGAGAAACCCCCGATTGGGCCAATGAAGATGCACAAAGCTGCTTGCTTTCTGGCTTATATTCTTGGGTCACTTAAAAAAAAAAAGTAATGATGAAATAATTACTTTGTACATAATGTTTAAAGGGCAAAGGCCAGGGGACTGAGCTCAGTAATGTATTCCGCAGGGACCCACCCAGTCCAAGGGCCAGGAGAGGCCTCCCAGAAGGGCTGTTTAACCGGTGGCCTGAGGTTGTGTGAGAACAGACCGGCGCCTTTCTAGAGCCCAATGCTCGAAGTCGCCTGGAGCAGCCACTCCCCTGTGTGGAGTTAATGTCCACCTGGGTGTCACTATGTAAATGACTGGCTTCTCTCTGTGACTTTTCATTCTTTAAGGGTGAGCCACGGGCTTCCAAACACCCAAGATGAATGCCCCATGGCGATCACCTGTGGTTCCAGGCTTCAAGCAGACCCAGCCGCCTTCCCCCTGTCCCTCCTGCCCCCATTTGCATTTTCAAATTTCTCCTTCTACTTCTCTTCCTCTGTCACCCACTCTGACTGCCTTCTGCTCCCTCGCTCTTGTCACTTAATAAAGTGGACCAAACCTCCAGGTTCCTGGCAGATCTTGGAGCAGGGGACCCTGAACTGAGGACTCTTTTTAACTAACTCCCTGGCTCTAATTCCGACAGCCAGCCCCACGCGGGGTCAGGGCACCGGCACTGGGGAGCCATCCCCAGCCAGCAGTTTTACTGAAAATCAAATCAAAAGGGCTAAAAAGGAGAGGTGGTTTGTGGAGAAAAGGTCTCCAAGATTGGCTGTCCATTTCATTTTCCCTGGTGCTCTGACCAAGGATGCTTTGTGGGCTAGAGCAGAGACATTAGCCCTTCTTACCCCAAAATGCCCTTGAACGCGGTCTCAAGACACTTCCCGGCCTCCTGCCCAGGTGGCGGGAGTGGGTGCTTAAGCCTGTCTGAAAGCAAGAAGAGCTCACAAGATGGTCCAACAGCTCTTCTGTTGAAATTTACCCCAAACCTCCTGTCGGCCATAGAAGAAGGCAGGACAGATATTCTGGTCCCTATTTGACAGATGAGGAAACTGAGAGTCGCATAGTTAGTATGTGGCAAAGCTGAAATTCGCCTCCTCACAGCCCTCTTCCCCCAAGAGTTGTGTGTCCTTGCTGTCAAGAGTCAAAACCAAACCTGTAGGAAGTAGGGCCGGAATTTGAAGCCAGTTGTGAAACTTGTAAGTTACAATGAACCCGCAGTAGGTGCAGAACTGTAAGAGGAAGAGAGAGATTCTTGGGTTGCAATGAATACAAACCAATTCAGACAGAGGGAGGGGGCTTTTATAAGGAAGCCAGAGTGAGTATCTCATAAAAACAAAGAGCAGAAAGAGAGTCTGGCTTCAGGAGAGAACAGGTAAGACCCAGGCTTCACGTCTTATACACACACACATCACATCTCCTCTGTGCATCTCTCTGGATCTCTGCTGATCTCCAGTCATGTGACAGGAAGGGGTGACCTCAAGGTCCCTTGGTTCAAAGGACTGGCCCAGGGAGTGAGTAACCTCTCAGAGCCCATGAACCCCAAATACTGGGAATGGTCATCTTAAAAGCCCAGCCTGTGCCAAGTTTCCAATCAACTAGACCAGGGCTAGGGTCACACACATGGCTTCCGGGAGGTGGGGGTAGGGGACAGCACTTGGAAAATGGCTAAATAGACCCCCTCCAATATCCTGCATTTCCCTATGACAGCAGACACATAAGACACTTGCAGTTCAGTAACAGCTTTTTCAAGAGAAAGATACTCTATCCCAGTGAATGTGCCCATTCTAAGAAGCTCCTGGTTTCAAAGACAAGAAGATAAGAAGGGAAAATGTTACCTGTATATCTGGGAGGCTGGAACCTAAACATCTTCATAATGCATACCTTGAGTAGTGTGATAATGGTGGATCATTTCAGCTTCCTTTTGCTCATATCTCTGTGTAAATATACAATACTATACTCTTCTCTAAGAAAAGTTTTATTTTGAGTTTAAGAAAAAACCATCTGAGTGGAAAGTTTGGGGGTCTCACTGCCATTGTCGAGTTTGCACATCTGTTTCTCTTGCTCATTGAAGGCTGGAGCCAGAAAGGCCACCTCAAAGATGGACCAAGAAAGAGAGACGCTGAAGAGAGACTGTTCCAGCAAATCCAGCCAGAGTCTTCTGTTCTCTAAGCCTGGCGGAAGGAACTAGAAATGTCATCCCGCTGGCCTTGCACGATCCTCTGTGAGTCAGTGTGACTCTTCTGTGTCAACATACTAAGATGCTTTTGTAGGACTTGAAAGGTTGTTACCCTAGTGTTCCGCTCCTAGACTGGTGTTTTGCACAGTGCTCTATTTTGGAGTGTGTGGGGTAAGGGGTTCTTTTTATAAATACCTAATAATGTATACCTACTCAGGCATAGGGAGAATACAGGTTTGAAACGCAGACTCCTGGGTCTAATAGATATAATTATGTGTTTCCACATTTGACTCGTGGCATACCCAAATGTCACACCACCAAGGAGCTCTAAGAAACCTACAGTTAAGAAAACCCAAGACTGATACTAGGGCCTCAGGGTAGAATGGTAACCTCAGGGAGGGTGGGGCTGTGGAACAGTGCTTTCCTATCTGAGTTTATTATAACACATTTAGAACACCCATCAGGGTTATCACTTCCATAATAATGATTAACATCTATATGGCCCTGCGCAGTTTTCAAAACACTTCTCATTTAGTCCTTCCCCAAGCCCTGGGAGGTAAAGAGTGGTATGTTCTCCATTTAACAGATGAGGAAGCTGAGGCCCAGAGAGGTTCAGTGGCCGGTCTAAAATCACATAGTGAGCAAATTCAAGAGTTGGGCCTGGAACCCAGGTTTCTAGTTGCATTTCATACTGCTCATTCCGCTACACCAAGATTATCCAGGAGTTCAAGTCCCAGGCCATCTGGACAGGCCAAGTGCCCAGTCACCAAAGAGCACGCACCACCCAGGCAGACACGCCCCCTTTTCATGGTGTGCGGAGAGACCCTCCTCTCTCTTGCTCCACTCTCTGCCTCTCCCGTGTTTCACCTTCCCTCCGGCCAGCTGGCTTCTTACTGCCTCCTTCGTATGGCCACGACCGCCAAACAAAATAAATGGGAAGAAGAGCCAGAATATCATTTTATTTTTTCTTTTTCAAAAGCCATAATAAAAATATTTTCATATTTCAAAGCCAAACACATTCTTTATACTGATTAAAACTAGAAGGAAATAGATTTTCTTTGTAAGATATTCCACTGAAGGGACATCTTACACGCGCTTAGGATCTGAAGTCAGCGAGAAAGGTGAGCCTTACCTGATCTTACAAATACTCTTCACAGTCCTGCAAATTTTTTTTACCATAGTATTATTTATTATGCACCACATCCCAAAAGCCCAAAACAGCAAGTTTTTCTCCAGCATCAGAGATCACTTGGTTAAGCAGTAAGTAGTCCAAGCAGCTGGCTCATGTTTGGGAGCCAAGTTTTGTGGGGGAAAAAAATTGTTGTTTGTTGGTTAAACATGTATATTTGAATTTGCATAAGTTAAATGTAATGACTGTATGACTCCACTATATTTTAGGGCTTTCAAAGGACATGTTAATTTTTATCATATGAACATTACAACCCATGATGGCAAGTTCCTTTCTTCACTCCTTCAACTAGGTAGCTTTTGGGGTGGCTCCGCAGCCACACACCCCTTCCCCGGAGAATACGTCTCCCCCTAAATCAGGTTAGTCCTACCTATTGCTGCTCTCTTGGCCACAGCTGGTTGGTCAAGCAATAGATAGCCTACCCAAGCCAGACCAATCAGGTTTTTCTTCTAACTCAAGCTGGGCCAATCAGCATCTCCGTTTTTAGTGTTTGGAAGTGGACTCTGGGTTGCCACATGAGTCATTAGTGGTGCTGGAGCTGGGAGTCGTATGCAGCTCCAGAGCTGTGTGGCCATTTCCCACTTTGTGTTTGGAGAACCAAAGCCAGTCTTCAGAGAATGCTAGGGTAGATATGCAACAAATAGACACAAGAACCCAAGACCCCCAGAGAGACGGTGCAGCAGATACTACCTACCAGCCCCTTCGTCATCGCCTCCCTCTGTTATATAAGCTAACATCGCCATAGGCCTTGTTTTCCCAGCCTCCCTTGCAGCTAGAGCTGCCTATGTTGTTCAGTTCTGACCAATGAAATGTAAGTGAAGGCCCCTGGGGAGGGCTTCTCTTCTGCAATAAAAGGCAAGTCCTCAATAAGATAGAGATTTTGCCCTTTGTCCCTTTACCTGGTCTTCTTTTTGTCTCCTGGAGCTCAGACTTGGAGCCGGAGAAGCCACTTGGGGATCACCAGGCCACAAGCCAGAGGCCAAAGCCCACCTCCAAGGGCAATGGAATGGAAAGTCGAGAAGGGCCTGGGGCAGCATCCCTGTGCTCAGCACCATGCCTGCACTGCCTACCTCTGGACTTGCTGTTGTGGAAGACAAATAAATTTCTTCCTGTTTCAGCCACTGTAGTCAGGTGTACCTGTTTGTGCTGTGGGACAAACTACTCAAAACATAGTGACTGAAGATGACACTATAATCTCTCATGATTCCATGGGCTAAGCTGGGCGCTTGTGCTGGTCTGGGCTGGCTTGCCTGGGGCTAGGGAGTTTAGGATGGCCTCATTTACACGCCTTGTCACTGGCAGGCAAGTTGGGTTAGGCCAGCGGGTCTCAGTCGCAGGGCTATTTTGCCCCCCAGATGACATCTAGCAATTTCTGGACACAATTTTTGTTGTCACAATTGGGAGGGGGTTGCGGGGAGGGTGCTACCGTCATCCATGAGTAGAGGCCAGGGGTGCTCCCCATTGGGGGGAACCCCGGCCGGGAGGGGCATCAGCTGGGACAGCCTGTCTCTAGTGTGGTCTCTCATCACCCAGCTGCCTAGACCAGGCTCTTTCACATGGGCTGGGCACAGGTTCCTAGGAGCAGCAGGTGAGGCCAAGCCCCAAAGAACAAACACTTCTCCTTTGCCTCGCTTTGTTACTATTCCATCAGACAAAGCAAATCACGTGGCCAGAGTCAGTTTGGGAGGGGCTCCAAATTTTTACAATCCGGTGTTCTGTTATTTGAAACTGAATGCAGTCCAGCTGATACCTGATAAGTTTCTGGTCCTTGGTCTTTTTCCTTGGGAGAGCCAGTTCCTGGGTCTGCCCTTGGGTTCCACCAGGACCCTTTGTGTCACTCAAGATTCTTTGGTTGCAAACAACAGAAACCTCCTGTGGCTGACTTAAGCAGAAAGGGAGTTTATTGAAAGAAAATGAGGGAAGTTAGAGGATCAAAGGGCAGGCAAAGCTGAAGAGTCAGGATGGTTGGGAACTGGCTTTTCTCCCCCTTTTTGCTTCAGCTGGTTTGATTTTTTGTTACGTGCAACCAAAGTGACCTTTACTAAGAAACTCTGTTATACAGTCTCCTCTGAGAAGCTACCAGAAACCTTTCCCCTGAGGTTATATCAAACTACAAGACATCTGCAGTCCCCACCCCCTCACAATCTTCTGATCCCCCAAGAAACGAAGACAACTTCCTTCCACCCTCCCTAACGGCAGCCCATGTGGATTCTTGGATTCGTGACTTTACAGATAAGGTGCCCTTCTCCGGGGACTTGGCAGAGCCACCACTGCCTGCTGCTCTGGAAACCAGAGTCGTGAGTGTGCAGAAAAAACAGCTTCTGGATTTGCGTTCCCAAGTGAGCTCCTGGTACGTGGAGTGGTTCGCAGGTTTTCAGGGTCTTAGGAATGAAAGCCACACGTTGACGATGAGAGGAAGCCCGACCTGCCAATGCCAGCGCGTTCCTCTGTTCTGAGCCGAGGCCTCCTGACGCAGGAGCTGGGTCGCCAGGCGAGGGTAGACTGTTTCAGCTTATCAGCTTGGCCTGGTTTCCATCGGGGAGGTGTGCTGCTTGCATCCGTCTGCTCAGTGTCCCAAGTTATTTTGGGCCAATTCGTGACCTTACATGCCTGCCTTTGTTTTTAAACATTTTTCTTTGCCTACCCTTTCCCCCAGGAAGCCACCTCAATGCCTCTGTCCCGCGGTGGGAAGCCTGAGCAGGCTCCTTGCTCTGAGTTTCCTCTCCACTTGAGCACATTGTTTTCATTCCTAAGACACGAAGTTATTGGAGGCAGAACATTTTATCTTTGGGCTAACTGTGGTCTTATCATCGTAGAAACCAGAAGTGCCCTTTGACTGATAAATCACTTTTACAGTTAAATAATCAGCCTTCATTCATTTAGGCAACGAACACTAAGGACCTACTCTGCACCAGGTACTCCTGGGTACTGTGCTAGACCTCCTGGCCTTGACCTTTGCTCCCCTTTCTTTTCCTGTTCTGATCCACTGCTCCCCGGAAAAGGAGCTGGGATCATTGATTTACTGGCTATGTTGCCTGGGAAAGCCCATCTTTGGCATTTGCTGCTGGGTGTTCTGTAGAAAATGCAGCGTGCAGCGGTGACCCTTTTCTGGAAGTTCCTTTGTGCCTTTCAACAGTTGACGTTTAATAGCTAATAACAGCAAACTTTTTATGTTGCCCTTGGCAAGCCATCAGATGCTATGCTAAGCGGAGTCCGGACACTAGCCTGCTTGGCCATTACTCACCATGTGTAGGACTCCTGTTTCGCTGTTGACAACGAAGAGTAGGAAGTAACCTGCCCAAGGCCAAGAGCTTCAGAACCCAGACTTTGTCCCCTTAACTGCTCCCCAATATTGCTTTCTTCAGTGAAGTCTGGAACCAATGCCAGGCAGGAAAAGCCCTTTTCCTATTAAAAGGCCATTCCACTTTGTGGACCAGAGAGTCTCTGTCATCACTACTCAACTCTGTCATTGCGACATGATACCTACACAAATGAGAAGGGCTGTGTTCCAATAAAACTTTGTTTATAAAAACAGGCAGTGGGCCAGATAGGCCGGCCCTGTGTTAAACTCTCGCCTGGACTAGACCATTACTACCTGCATGGCTGTCGCCTGCACGTCACTACCAGGGAGGCAGACTCTCAGCGCCTCCGTCGTGGAGAGCATTTTGAGTTTTATTTACTATGGGCTGTGCACTACGCTAAACACTTTACACAACTTTTTCTTCTTCACTTAATCCTCTCAAGGGCTCCAGGAGGAGATCATTACTGCCATTTTAAAGACAATGGGCGGTGTGAGGTCAGGAAGGTAAAGTCACTTGTCCAAGGTCACCCCACGGGGATTTGCAGACTCCTAACCCTGACCTCACGCCGCCCTTCACTGTCAGAGCTGGACAATCGGGAGCTCGGCCAGTGAGCCTGGACCCGGCCTGGGAGAAGCGAGCCTTCGTGACGCACACACCCTTCCTCTGGGCAACCTGGTTACTAGCCCCCTGTGAGAGTCACCTGCTTTCCTTAGCTAATACCTTAGGTCAGGTGTCCCTGGCCGAGGCGCGGTGCCCTCCCTCTCATCTGACTGTGCCTATCTGGACATTGTGCTAATTTTACAATTTCCCTCTGGTTTCCCAAATTCTCAGGTGTCCCCGCAGCAGCCACATGTGGGGGTCACCTGTACCTTCCATTTATCCCTCCTCCCCCGACCCCGTCTGCTGAGCAGAGAGCTCTAAATGACCTCTGGGCCACATCGATGCCCGAGGACCAGCAGGTCACCTGGCCTCCCTATCTAACGCCGCTGACACTGTCCTCAGAGGAGCAGGGGACAGACACTTGAGAGGTTTGTTTTTGAAGAGCTCCTGTTATCTTTTGTGTTGAGTCATGTGGGTACATAGAGGTGTCACTTTAGCAGCTTCTCTTTCTTGGCAGTGACCTTGAGACCTAAAAGTGGGCCACCAGATGCTCTGGAGGGGACCCGGAGAAAACACCCTGTCTGTCCCCAGCCTTAGACAGAGCAACTTATCTTGCATTCATTCAACAATTATTTCTTCCAGGCCAGGCCCCATGCTGAGCACTGAGAAGCTGACGTTGCACCAGAGAGACAGGTAGCTCCCTACCCCCAGGAAGTTGTGTTGTGAAGTGGGGTGGCATCAGGTACTTTATTAATAGCTTCCTGGCAGGTCATAATAGTGCTGAGTTCCAGCCATAGGACTGTTTAGCAGGAAGAGTTGTAGCCTCTCCCAGTCCCCCAGCGTGGGGCACAACAAGTCTCACTCTTCAAATCACCAAGTCTTTCTTCTACCCCCTACTCCTGCCCTGGACCAGAAGAATCCCAGGACCAGAGCCCGGTGCCCAACACACTTAATAAGTACGATTCGATTGCCTGGGTGTGGATACACGGCTCCTTTCACAGTATAACATACAAATCGTAATCGGCTGCCCGTTGTCTTGCCACCTTTGGACGGGGTCCAGGAGGGCACTTGAGGTGCAGCTCTGCCGGGCTTTAAGCCACAGGTACACACACACACACACACACACACACACACACTCACTCACTCACACACACACTCACTCACTCACTCACTCACATACACCCGGACTCTTTGAGAGTTTAAAATAGGCTGAAACTCAGGCCTGGTAAACTTGGACAGCAAACTGCCTGGGGTTTAATAGGAGCAGAAAACATGCCTGGTTGGGGGAGCGGGTTGTTGTTGTTGTTGGTTTGTTTTTTCCAGCCAGCCCAGTTGAGCGCATGCCGCTAATCGGCAAGGCGACCTCGGTTTTCAGGTAGATTCATCGCATCTAAGATAACCACAAAAAGAGAGCTCTACAGATAGATGGCTTGGTTTCTAATGATCCGCACACGGGTCCCGGCAGCTGTCCCCGTCATGCCCTCTCCCTCCTGCCTCACTCCGCATCCCATAAGCGCCTACCTGACATGGCTCCTTCCTGCCCCGGTGCACACTTCCCACAGCTTCCGGACTCGGCAGGAGGTGCGGGAGCCCCTGAGACCAGCCGGGCTGTGTCCCCCACCCTGTTCCCTGCTATCATCCCTCCAATCGCTCCAAATGGGTACTTGGGCTGCCCCTACATCTTGACCTCTGAGCACCTCCTCAATCCATCGAAGGTTTCCCGGTGACCACAGTGTTCGCAATGATTAATTAGTAAGCTCGTGTTTACAGAGTGCTGAGTGTGTACGGCACGTTGAGCCAACTTTATCTCTGCTGGCCTCCCTCATCCTTTCTTGTTTTCCCAGCATCTCAGGGTAGGGGGACCACCCAGCTCTCTCAGGCTCTGAAAGGCCCCTCTACATTCACCCCGTCTGCCCCATCCATCACTCAAGAGCTCCTTCCAGCCTCTCCATCTCTTCTCCCTCTTTTTCACAGTGCTGTTGTTTTTCTTAGTATGACTTTACCCCTCCCCAAAAGACAGTTACACAAGTAGAGGTGGGAGGAAGATAGAGAAACAGAAGTCAATGATGACTAAGTCAGCTTAGCTCCCTCCACGCTGGGATACTGTCAGAATTGGCTCTCGCTTGCCCCGCCTCTAAAAATCCCTTGCCGAGGGTGTGATTTTCCCTGAAGATCATTCTTTCCACATGACCAAATGCTGTCATGCATCACCAGTCCAGATCGTTTCTTTCTGCCCAAATCCAAGCTTGGGACACAGCGCCAGGGTCATTCAAAAGTGATTTCCCTAATGAACAGGCAACTGTTAGTTCCTGGGAGTCTCACGATCTAATCAGTGCTCAGCATTTATCCCTGCTTTTCCTTCACCACTTTTTTGATTTCTAAAGAAGTGCTTTTCCTGAAGTCCAAAAGCCTCAGATGGGAAATGTTTAAATAAGACGCAGCCCCCAGCATGCATCTCTGGCTTTAGAGCAGATCTGCGGTTGTTTATTACGGACAGAGCCCAGCTCGGCAAATGGGGGCAGAGCCCTGGGCCGCTTGAGCTTGCGCCCTGCAGTCCCAGAGCCTCAGAAGCCTAACGCCCAGAGCAGCTGACAAAACCACCCCGAGGTGTTAAAAGGGCTCACCCTTCCCAGGCAGCACTTCCTGAGCTCTGCCTGCACATCATAGCAAGTCCTGGGCGTTCCACTCCCCTTGCAGTAGGTGGACTAGGTAATAATCAGGAATTCCCCAACCTGTGCATCGTGGAGCCGGGCCTGGCCTCCCGAGGGTGGTGTCCACACAAGCCCAGTGGGCGTTTAATCCAGATAGTCCAGGTGAATAATTCAAACTAAGCAGGCTTTTCACATATACGTAAGTTGTTGTTTTTTAAGAATGCAAACCCTCACACAATTTCTCCTCTGTTAAAAGTTTGCTCCCACGTCAAGTAGATGCAAAACAGTTCATAATAAAGGCAGCCCTGTTTCATGCAGACCCATTATAAATCATAGGTTAAAGCAAAGTGACGTACATCAGATTTCTTTTAAAGTAATTAGCTGCTTTGTGAAGAAGGCTAAGAATTTGGCAAACTGGAACACCTGCAGACAGAATCTTTAAAGTTTCAATCCACACTCTGTCCCCAGTCTTTTGCATTCAATAAAAAACAAATGATTGTACTTCTGCTGGGTCCTTCAAGGCCACATACGGGAGATACAGAAACTGGTCTTTTGCAAGTGACTGGGCCAAACTGCCCAAGACCAACAGACACTTAATTCCAAGCTTTAAAAAACCAATATCATGTTACTTAACCTGAACACCTTTATCAAACTCAGAAACAATCTCAAAAATAAGTTAATGAAAATTTCATGTTTTCTGAATGCTGTAGGGGTTTTTTCCCTCTTGATGTCATGCTTTTCTAAATGCCTTTTAAGTTAATTCAGCAATATTCTTCAACTATGGCAAATCGACAAATATCAGGTGAGGCTCTGTTCAGGCAGGTCATTTTGTAACAGCTGCTGGCTTTACCTGCTCAAGTGCCCCCAGAGCATGGTTTTTTAATGTCCTGTATCCATCTTTCCTTGGCACCTTGACTCCCTAGAGGGGTTTGGGCACAGGGGTCTTCCTAACATCTTAGAGAATAAACACAAAGTACAGCCCTCCTCCTAGATGAGTGCTCCTCAGACTTCAGGGAGCGGAACTTCCCTGGGTGCTTGTTAAAATACAGAGTTCTGGGCCCTACCCCAGGGATCAGTTTTGTCTGTCTGGATTGGAGCCTGGGCCTCTGTATAATTAGCCACCCTCCTCCATCTGCCCCCACCGTGGGTTTCTCTTGCTGGAGGTCCACAGCTTTGCAGTTTGAGTGTGATCATAGAGAGAAACCCCATCCCATGAGCCTTTGGCGAGGACACGTCTCCTCTGGTCAGTTTCCCTAAAGCAGAGTCACAGCCGACAGCGTGGCCCAGCAGCCATTCTGCCAAGTCATCTCTGCGATGTGCTGGACCGGGGGGCGGGGGGAGAGAGGACCAGTCCCTTCGCCCTTCTGCGTTCCCCGTCTCCCAACGCCTTTCAGGACTGGAGCAAGCCTCATCTCCCTCGCAGCCGCTGGTTCATCCTTTTCCAAAAGATGCAGCAGCTTCCGCTGTGATTCAGTCTAAACGGGGGGTACCCGCTCACCAGGGCCACCTTCTTCATACCCATGCAACCCCCAATGACAACGCCAGTGTGTAACGAGTCGTCTCCATGACAACCGACAGGGTGCCACGAACCCAAGAGTACGACTTCACAGCGTGGAGATTCCAGAGAAGGGGTTGGAGGCGGCGACCCCCGAAGCCCCCGACCCACACCCAAACTGCAGGGGAGGAGCCCGTCTTCTTCCCGCCAGCCCGACCGCTCCCGCTCAGCTGGCGCATTGGGAATGGAGATGGGGATGGATTTTTTACGGAAACCCCCAGTCTCACAGAGTAGAGGATGGCGGGCTTGGCGTCACCAGCACACTGCGCCACCAGCACACTGGGGGCCCAGCGAATGACACCAAGCCCGCGCGCAGCGCAGGGCCGGGAGCGGGGGCGGGGAGCGGGCGGGCCCCGAGGGGCGTAAGTCCCACCTTCGGGGGCGGTGCCTGGCGCGGGGAGTGTCAGGAACAGGAAGAGCGCGGCCAGAGGCGGTGCGGGCGCGCGGCGACAGGGGCCGGGCCGAGGCGAGCACCGCGCGGGCCACCATGGCCACGGACGAGCTGGCCAGCAAGCTGAGCCGGCGGCTACAGATGGAAGGCGAGGGCGGCGGCGAGGCCCCAGAGCAGCCCGGCCTGAACGGGGCGGCGGCGGCGGCGGCGTCCGGGGCGCAGGACGAGGCGGCCGACGCGCTGGGCAGCGCGGACGACGAGCTGAGCGCCAAGCTACTGCGGCGCGCCGACCTCAACCAGGGCATCGGCGAGCCCCAGTCGCCCAGCCGCCGCGTCTTCAACCCCTACACCGAGTTCAAGGAGTTCTCCAGGAAGCAGATCAAGGACATGGAGAAGATGTTCAAGCAGTGAGTGCCCGCCCGACCCGGCCCCCCAACCCACCCCCAGCCGGCCTCGGGCCCCGACCCCCCGACCCGCCGACCCCGAGACGCCCCGGGACCCCTGCCGCCAACCTAGCTCCCCAGAACCACCAGAGGTGGGGACCCTGCGGCCCCTTTCAGATAATCATGAGCTGCGGAGCCCTCCGCCCCACTTGGCGGATACGGGTCTGGGGATCCCGGCCCCTGGCACGCGACCCTTTCGCGAGGCGACGCCGCCCCCCAGGCACCACACACGCACGCACACGGAGTCGGGGACCCGCGGCTCCCTAGATAATCACGACTCCCGGCGAACCCCCGGTACCACCACATACCTGGGTCTGCACACTCCGGGTCGCTGGCCTAGGACCCTGCCCTGTTAGTGACACTCCTCCCGCTGCCACCACACAACGAGACTGGGGACTCCCGTGGCCTCCCTTCCAACCCCCAAGCCAACCCACGCTGGCCACAGCCACCCCGCAGCGCCTCAGCGAAGGTGACCATTTCCTGCACCCCGTGCCACACGCATTCCTTTCCTTGGGGTCTCTTCATTTCCTCTACCTGCCTCAGACCCCCCTCCCCCTCATCCCGTGCGGTTACTCGGCATCTGGTAGCAAACTACCGTCTGAAACCCTTCAGCCACTCCCACCCCGGCCCCCCGCTACTTACTGTTAGCTGGGACCCCAGCCTTCATCCCCAGCTGGTCTTCCTAGGAAAGGACCCCTCAGTCCCTGCTCCCCCCCCCCTCGCCACTTGCTGGCATGGGCAACCTTGCCTGGACGCCCCTGCCACCCCCGCATATGCCCCTTAAGGGTTTAATCACCTCGCATACACTGCCCCTCCCTCCTCTTGCCCTCACCCCCCACCCAGCGGCTTTGCCGTCACTGCCCCCTGCTTCCTCTCCTCACTCCCTCGCCAGTGCCCCTCCTGCTACTGTGTGCCCCTTCTGTCCCCACACAGGGTCCCAGGTGCCTTACACTTTCCCAGCTTCCCAGTTGCTCTCATCCCTACACTTGACTCCATACAATTCCACACCCTGGGTTCTGGGCAAATTGGACAAGGCACCCCCAGGTGGGTGGGATTCAGCCCTGCCCCCACCCCCAGCACCCTTAATATCTCTGTTGGGGGACTAGGGAGAAAAAGCTACAGGTCCCCTCTGGTCCATCCCTGGGTCTATCCCAGTTGGGATAGAGAGGGTCAGCCCTGCTCCCCTCCAGCCTTGCTGGGGCAGGGTGGTTGGGGGGGCGGGGTGGAGGTACACAGCCCTCCCACCTTTGAATCCTTCCCACTTCCTATTGCCTGTTGCCCCACCCTTGGCTTCTGGAGGGGACACAGCCCAGGAATACTGGTCTGGAATGTGTCTGGGAGGAAGGGGAACTGTCCTGGAGCTGAGTCTAGGGTGGAGGAGTCAGGTCTCTCTGCCTGAGACAAACAGCCCTAAGCGGAGGGGTGGGGTGCCGGGCCTATGGGCCCACCTGCCGAGGGGGAGGCGGAGCAGGCGGGGGAGTGTGTCTGCACCCAAGGCAGCTGGCTGTCCAGCCGGGAGGCCCAGGAAGGTGGTGTTTTGCAACCCCAGAGCTTGAGAAAGGCTCTTCCCATTTCTCGCACTTGCTGCAGCTGCTGCTTCTGCATTTGGCCCCAGCGAGCAGGGGAAGAGGTTTCTGGTTCCCAGACCTGGATGGCTGAGCGCCCATACTTTTCCAGGGGCCAACCTGGGGAAAACCAGCCCTTGACTCCCCTCTGGGCCTCTGCAGGCAAGTCCCAGGGCGTGGAGGCTGCCTCTTTGAATGCAGGGTCCTATCGGGAGCTCTTCCGAAGTTTCTTCCCAGCCGGAGGCTGGCACAGTCAGGAGAGCAGGCTTCCAAGGAGGAAATTTCCAGGATTTCCAGGAGATGAAGATTTCCAAAATCCTGGCAGGAATAGACTGAAAGTTCTTTGAGTTTAGGGTGGGTGTAACTTCCTCGCCTAGAACTTCCTGGTAGAGCCGCGAGCTTAGTTATTGCAGCCAAGATCCCTGTGTCGATAGTAGCAAGGCACTAAGGAGCTTGCAGACCCCTCCCAGCAACCCCAGCACAGGGCATCAGCATTCTTGTGGCGCGGCTCGGGGGTCGGGGCACAGAAGTAACCTGCTGTGATCCGAACCCCAGTCTGTGACTCCAACACCCATGCTCTTTCTGCTTCCCCATCGCAGCCACCTGCTACCACGTGGGAAAACACACGCCTCCAGCACCCCCTTCCACGCTCATGAGTGATTTTCTGCTCTGGGGACCCACTCACCGCCAGCCCGCTCCTTTCCCCTAGAGCTCTCCTCATAGGCTTCCACAGCATCCCTGCCCCCTTCCAAAAACAAAAACAAACAAACAAAAAAAAACCCCAGCTGTTTGGGAGAGCCTAGATACCCCGCAGAGAAGGGACCTGGGAGGCTGCAGCTAGTCTGCAAGGGGCATGTGGCTGGGGTGGGGGGGAGTCTCCAAGCTGCCTTTGCAAGACAAACTCACCTTTTACAGAGGCTGTTTGCCGTGGTAGTTTGGCGAGGAGTACTTTGATGAAGACCTGGGGGACCCGAACCCTCGAAAGCCCCCTCTTGGCACAGCTCCTGCTTGCCTCTGGGGCGTTGGGAGGGGCGAGGGGGCAGGAAGGGGCCAGGGAGCTGGACTTCTAGGGAAGGAAGTGCTGCCCGCGGGGGGCGGGGGACCTGGCTTGAATGGAGAGCTGCAGATTTTGTATTCAAGGAAACAAGGCTTCACTGTGCCAGCCAAGCCCAGCCCTGCCGAGGCCGCCTGTGAACAGCCAACAGCCAGGCTCTCCTGGAGGGCAAAACCCCAGTTTGGCTTCTGCTGCCTAAGTGGGGCTGCAGCCCCAGATCCAAGCGGGTCCCGATCTGAGGATGACAGCCCGGGCTCTGCTGAGACTTCCACCTCTGGCTCCTGTGGCAGGGAGGACGGAGCCGGCCCTCTGGGGAAGCCGTCCGCCAGAGTCCAGGGCAGGAGAAGGGAGGTCAGAGGGAGCTGGGAGCTGGCCTTCCCTTGGAGGCCCGGAGCCCGGGCATGTGCCCTGGCTCTGCCCCTGAGTTAGCTAGGCTGCCCGCCCTCCCTGCACCTCAGTCTCCCCATCTGTGAGAGGAGCAGGCTCTATCTGATGATTCCCAAAGGTCATTTGGCAGCGACCTTATTTCTGAGGGGCCCTGAACCCTTCCCGGCAGCAAGACTGCCTTCCAGGGGCTTCCGGTCTGTTTGTTCCATCTTCATCAGCAGGTGCTTCCTGAGGAGGGAGGTGGGGGAGAGAAAAGGGGGCTCATGAAAGACGGGCTCTCCGCCACCATCACTGGCTTCATGCCCCAGCCGTGCAGGGTCCAGTGGGACAGACCTTCTCCCCATTTTACAGAAGAGGAAACTGAGACCCAGAGGGTATAGTGATTTGCTTGGGATCACAGAGAGGTTCTTAGCGACTGAACCAGAGCATCCTTGTCTGGCCAGCGGGGATAGTGGTCCCCACGTCTGGCGGTGAAGCTCGGAGCTAGGTGACACAAGGTGCTAGCCCATGGACACGCCCTGTCAGTGGGGCCTGGACAGTCCTCCCTCCTCGTGCAACCTCGGGCTGCGCCCGCCACCTCTGATCCGCCCTCACCCTACCTCTCTGCCCGTCCATCAGGGCTGTCTCCGGATCCCTCCAGACCGGGGGGATGATGTAGCCCCAGAGAGCTTCAGGGGGCCCCCCTGGGCTGGCCCTCGCCTGCGTGGGACTCGGCAGGGTTTTGTAAGCCAAGCCCTGCCGGAGACGAAGGCAGACGTGTAATTCTGAACCTGCTGTGCAATCTGAGGACGATGCCCTAGTTCCCGGCCGCCCAGCCTCGTCCCCAGCCACTTCATCCCATGACCCCTTGCGTCAGAGAGGCAGGCTTCCCTCTCCTTTTTTGGACGCCTCTTCCTTTCCCGCCCTGCCCTCCTCCTCTTCACCTGCTCACACGCCCACTGCTCCCAGAAGGCAGAGTGGTGTAGTGGTTAAGAGCAGGGCCTTTGGACCCTGCGACCCTGGGTCTGAATCGCAGCGCTGGGGCCTGGGGCAGGACACTGCAGCCTTTCCGAGCCTCAGCTGCCCACCCTGGGGCAGGGAGAACAACGGCATCTGCACTCAGGGCTGTTCCGTCGTACTGAGCCCACTGCCTGGCACAAAGTCAGTGCTCACGAAGGTCCCGTCACCATCATCCCCAGCCCTAGCAGCGGTGGTTGTCTGGGCTGTCACCAAGGTAGCGCCGCGGGACCCACTGGCTACCTCCACGTACCGCCCACGGAGCCGCTGGCCTGCAGCGACCCTCTTGCTGTGGGCGAGTGTCAGGAACCCAACCTGAGAGCGTTTTCTCCTGCTGAGCAGACGCTCTGATCAACAGCTACGTAGGCTTTGATATGTAACAAAAATGGGAAAAGGAGTTCATCATCACTTAATTACATGCAAGGCAGGAGGCCGAAAAGAGGGAAGAGCAGAGAGCAGCTCTGGGGGGACACTCAAGCAGGGCCCCAGCACCCAGTGGCCACCGCCCAGTTGGGTGACGCTGAGCAGGGCGCAGGCTTCTCCCCAGGGGCTGCAGAACCTACCAAGCAAAGTTCTGAGGAGTCGGTGCGATTAGTCCTGAGCTTTGTGGAGTCCACCCCTGGACCTGGTCTGTAGGTGATGATTCTGGAAAACCTCAGGTCCGCTCCTTAGTTCATTCGTCCAACAGCTGTTTTGTTAGTTCCTGCTGCGCGCAAGGCCCAGGAAACTAAGAGAAGAAGAAAGTCCCTGCCCTCGAAGCTTGAAGTCCTGGAGGGTGCCATGGATGGGGGCTTCTGGAGGACAGAGGACAGGCCCCCAGGGCTTGAGATGGGGGGCTCCATGTCTCTGCTTCTACCTGGAGGGACTGCCCCAGGCCCATGATGCCCCCTGTTCAGTGGAGGCCCCAGGCCCAGGTGCTCCCGAGGGAGCCTCTGCGTGTTATTGCAGAAACTGAATTGACC